AAAAAAAAAAAAAAAAAGATACACCACTGCGAGAAGGGTTCCTCCGCAAGCCAAACTTCGTGGTTGCGGTCCTTTACGAGCTTCTTCCCCTCCACCATTCCCAGCCGACATAAGCGGCCCCGTTTCTAGAAGTCGCCGATTGCGACGTTGCTCAAGCTGGCTTCACCACGCTCAGGATTCGGCTCTTCGAGCTCATTTAGCGATCGTCCAACCCGTGCACATCATTCACGACAACGCTCTTCTGTCAGCCACATCGTGATCAACCCGGGCTTGCTCTCGGGTGATTCTCAAAGGCTACAGCAGCCTCACAACGGACCTTTATCCCCCATTCCAGGTATGTACTGAACTGTAAGGTGACGTTCTCGGTTGTCTAGTCGATGTCTCACTTCTCATACCTCGAGGCTTCTTGGCGCCTTTCCCGACATGTTCTCGGTTGTTGTTCTCCCCGCTGTCTCTTCTTATATCTTTTGTATCTCCCCTTCCGTGTTCAGCTTTGGTATGACCTCAACTTTGAGCTCTGCTTAGCCACCCTGGCATCCTCTCTGGACATTACTACACCACCAATTCGTTCTTTCTTTTCTTTTTGTAAATACATTCCGCTCGACTAGACTTTCATGGACAACCACATACTATAGCACAATTCGCGGGCTAATCACTGAGCCCGCCTCCTTCAGGTACCCCAGGACCTTCCATGCCCATTTCGAGAAGCCCTTCACCTGTCCCTGGTGGTGGCTGGTCTAGCCCGGGCTTGAGCCTTGACAGCGGAAAAACGACTCCTACAGCTGTAAGCGGTGGACCTGTTGTATGGGAATCGGCCAAAATGCGACCTCATAACTCGAGCACGTTTTCCTCGTTCTCGACCCAGAACAAGGGTTTCTTCAGCAGACATATGCGACGACTATCGAGCAGCCTTCCTCAATTTCAAGGACAGCGCGACAACTGGAAAGAGAAGGGCGGGCGAGGACCACGATGGATTCGAAAAGTGCCGCTTGCCGGCAGGATACGATCGATATACGGACGAATGGGAAGGAGACTCAAGATGATCTTGCTCTTCATCCTGATAGCCATTCTCTGCTACACTGTTTTCTACACAACTCGTAAGTTGCGCACTCTAGTCCGGCATGTTCGAATTTCAGTACTGATTTTGTAGCTCTCGCCTACTACTGGCGAAGATCGTTTGGCGGCGGTAACAAGTTTGTCATTATTTTGGGCGCAAACGTAGGAGGAGGTGTCATGGAGTGGAAGGGCGCCAGAGAATGGGCCATCGAGCGAGACAGCGTGCGAAACAAGCGGAAATACGTCAATCGATGGGGTTATGACCTGGAGATTGTCGACATGAGCACCAAGAAGAAGTACGCGCACGAATGGCGAGAGAGCTGGGAGAAAGTCGACTTCGTCCGATCGACTCTGAGGAAATATCCCAAGGCTGAATGGTAAGCTGAATCTGACAAGAGGAGTAGAAGGCAACACTGACAGTAGTATCAGGGTATGGTGGTTGGATCTGAATACCTTCGTCATGGAACCCTCGGTATCACTCCAAGACCACATCTTCAATCAGCTCGAGCAAGTGACTGAGCGCGACATCAACTACTTCAACCCTCGCAACATCTCGCATCCGTTCACCGAACCCTACCTCGATGAGACGTCGCTAAGCCCTGTCGGGGACGGAAAGGCCAGCTCGATCAACATGCTTATGACGCAGGACTGCGCTGGCTTTAACCTAGGCTCGTTCTTCATGCGACGTAGCGAATGGACTGATCGACTTCTCGACGTGTGGTGGGACCCGGTCACATACGAGCAGAGGCACATGCAGTGGGAGCACAAAGAACAAGATGCGCTGGACCAGCTGTACCAAACACAGCCATGGGTGCGCAAGCATATTGGTTTCCTCCATCAGCGGAAGATTAACAGTTTCCCACCTGGAGCTTGCAATCCCGATGGCGGTCCCAAGAACCCGCACATCCATTATGATGAGAACCAGCGCGACTTTCTGGTCAACATGGCGGGCTGCGAATGGGGCCGCGACTGCTGGGGCGAGATGTACTACTACCGAGAGTTCAGTTACTGGCTCAACCGCAACCCATGGGAGCGCTTCAAGGAAGACCTCATTGCAGTCATCTGGTTCAAACTCACTGGCCAGAAGGTCAAGTTGTGAAGAGCACTTGAATGAGCTTCTGTTATGAACAATGTAACAATGCACTGCAACGAACGACGCAACTATTCGGATATAGACGCATCAGCTTTTCGACATGATATACGGAGAAAATGGACACAAGGGCAATCAACAGCACGATCGACAGCGTTGATGCTTACCCCGGAGTTCTGTACATGATTTACTTTTTATTCGACTGCATATACCCACTTAGACGACGCATATTAGAAGGAGTAAAGGAACATCCCCGAGGAGATGAAAGGGGGGTTTCCTGACTGACATTGCATGGGGCGGTTTAGACTTTGGGAACATGGGCTGTTTCCCAAACCGTTACTTTTTTCATATATATAAAAAGGATGAGATAAGATGAGATGAAAGGATGTTTAGATATGAAAGGGATGCGAAGGAGGATGTACGGTTTCAAGTGTACAGCCATCAGGGATCTATAGGCCGGCATCACTTTCTACTGGTCCGAAAGAAATGTTATACAATGAATCAAGACCTGATATTGAAAGTTTTATTAGAAGAAAGTGGTTCGTGTTTGTCGTAATCCTTGGAAACTCTGTGGCTACGAAGAAGGATGATCCTGAAAGATATAGCTCATGCAATGGCTGCAACGAGGCCATCGCCAGGGTGTCAGAAGAAGAATTGGCCGTCGAGAACCTGAGAGACGAAATAATTAGGTCACCTTATGCTAGCTTAGACTAACACTCAGGCTACTTTATCTTGACGCTCCTAGCCTCGGAGGATAAGTTTTCTGTAACCATGCTGCGGGCACAGGTAACGCCATGTGAAAGTTTATATGACTGAAGATCATGCTCTTCAAGTCATTAGAGCCTGGGTTAACGTCGATCCTTGGCTATATTGAATGAGACTCGCAGGCGATTATGTGGTCTGGCTTGAAATCCGGGATCACGGCACGGAGCAATATGCCGGGACATACGAGAAACATGGGTATTGCAGTCAGGAGCTAGCCGATCGAGCCGCCGTTGACTCTGTTTCCTAGTTTTTCCAAAGAGAGAAGATTGAGATGCAAGTTTGGCCAGAAACGCAGATCATGTCGAAGCAGGAAGTCGGAAAAAGGAGAAGTGCGAAAGCTGGTAGATCTCTTTCAAGACAAAGAGAAAGGAGGTGGCAGAAAGGTTTGGGGTTTACCTTGCCGAAAGCAGGTTGGGATAGAGGTTTAGAAGGATCTAACGTTAGTATGGCTTCCATCGCTAAGACTACGTTTCAGAATCGGTCATTGTCCTTGTCCGTCGTCTTCTGTTTTAAAGTGTGGCGCTTATAGGGATAACGCGCGTCGAAGCGAAAGACTCAGGTCTAGGCTGGGAATGTCTTAGTTGTGGAATGTCCCAGCCCAGTTTGGAGGTTGGGTCGTTATGCTAAGAAGATGCTTTGTTGGATATCTTTGTCCCAAAGCTGGGCTGGGCATCGTGTAGAGACGAGACAAGGGTGGCGGGGATATTCATAGATACTGGCAGGGAGATAGAAACAAGTTGTTAGAGCGCGCGGCTATAGAAACGCTGGCTACCGGGGCAATTGAGAATCCACAGATCCAGACCGCTGTTGACTTGGCATCCTCATTCTTCTGCTGTTTACAGTAGACTTCAATAGACAGCGATAGCATTTATTCCAAAGAACTTCCTAGAAACAGTTTTTATGTTTCGTTCTCGTCTGTTTCAATCGCCTCAGGTCAAATCCATCATCCGGAAGCCCTTCCCCTTCCCCTCTTCTCCACTTCCAGCCAGCCCAGTGCTCGAGTCGGGTTTCTCCACTATAAGATAGCGTGCTTTATAGTGGACGCAAACCCCTGGATTCGTCTCGACCAATTATCAACTTCTAAATGCATGTCTCCCTGCCTGAACCGGCCAGTGCCAGGCACGCCAAGCCACAGCCGGTTACGCTAAGCTTTGTCTCGCCTTGAGCGATTGGCTTAGGAGTCAGGACGAGCACATGTCAGTCTCGTCCCGTCCTTTGTTGCTTGAGTAGACTGACAGGCTACGCATCAGAGCCTCTAGATCAAGAGTGCTTGTACGAGTATCATTGGCTCATCCAGTTATATGACTAGCCCAGCTACTGTTTCGGATACTCTAGAATATGACCCTAGCATGATCTACCGATCTCGGTTCTGGTTCTGGATAGTAGAGCCAAGAACAAGCCCAAGGAAAACAAAGACAGAATGACATGCTACCAGCGATTTTCTGTTTCTGAAAGGAGCTTGGCGTCGTTTGTTGCATTGCATTCTCAGTGCAGTGCCTTGCCTAGCCTTGCATTACAAAGGAGGGAGCAGAGACATAGGCATATAGATAGCTCCCGCATTCCATGTTCCTTTGAGACCTGGACGTCAACCACACTCACTCTTTTTTCCCCTCTTGGTGTCTTTCTTTTTATTCCCTTTTTTGCCTCTTCCGTCTTTCAGTGTCTGGTTACTCTGCTTGGCTGGGCCTCGGGAAATAAATCAATCCATCATCCTGTCTCTCTTTCATTCTATTGCTCGGCTGCATTCGTCGCCAATTCACCGTTTCAATCTTTTCGGTAGCTGGCTGGCCACTCTTATTAAGAGTTATTCACTCTCTATTGTCTCCTTCTCACTGCGAGTTGCAATTATATTCACTTGGCTCCCTCCTTGGCAGTGTCAGAGCTATTGTTTCGTTGCGCGTAAGGCACTTCAATAGCCTCCTCCTCCAGCCCTTCGCTTTAGGCTGGGGATTTCTTGGTATAGACAATAGCTTGTCTTTCTATTGTTATAAATCTTTGGCAGACTGCGCTGTTTGAATCACCACTCAAATCAACGAATACACGCCACATCACCACACCAACTCAATATCAACGCACAACTTCTGTTATAAAATTCAATTCTTTTCCAAATCGTGTCTTCTTCTCGTCTTTACTCTTACAAAGACACTAGAAGCGCACATAACATCTATCGTTGGTCTCGACACTCAACACCAACACACTTCATCCCCACTACTTGGCGATGCATACTTCAATCCTCACACTAGGCCTTGTGGCCTTCCTCCAAGGCGCTGCAGCTTCAAAGAACAGCTCCAATTCTGGATACTCTTGCACTCATACCTACGACTCGAGCAACTTCTTCGAGGCATTCGAATTCTTCAACGCCGATGATCCTACCAACGGGTTCGTCGAGTACGTCGACGCCGACACAGCAAACAGCGAGGGCCTGGCGGGTTTTGTCGAGGGACAAGTTTACATGGGAGTAGACTACAAGACAAAGAACCCCTCCAAGGGACGCAAGTCAGTTCGTGTTACTTCCCACGACACCTTCACCCACGGCCTCTTCATCGCCGATATTGCCCACATGCCTGGCAGTATCCCTGGTATCTGGCCTGCCTATTGGATGTTCGGCTCGCCCTGGCCCACGCTCGGTGAGATTGATATCATTGAGGGCGTCAACACTCAGACGGAGAACAAGATCACTCTTCACACCGGTCCTGGGTGCAAGATCACCAACGAAGGCTCCGATCAGGGCAGCACCCTTGTGAACGACAACTGCAACGCCGGTGGAGCCAACGAAGGATGTGGACAGACAACCTACGATAACCAGAACTACGGAGATGGTTTCAACGACATCGGCGGTGGTGTCTACGCCATGGAGTGGACATCGGACCACATCTCCGTCTGGTTCTTCAAGCGGGGCCGCATTCCGCAAGACATTCAGTCCGACAACCCCGATCCTGCCTCCTGGGGTGCTCCTTCTGCCAAGTTCAACGGAGGTCAAGGCTGCAACATCGACGATCACTTCAAGGAAAACAACATCGTTTTCACCAATACCTTCTGCGGCGACTGGGCTGGCTCTCCTGATGTGTGGGGCAAGAACCCCGAGACATCATCTCTAGGAAGTTGCAACGACTATGTTGCCTCCAACCCTGCTGACTTCAAGAACGCCTACTGGCTCATAAACAGTATCAAGGTTTATAGCCAAGGAGAATCAAACAATGGAGGCAATGGCGGAAACAGTGGAAACGGTGGAAACAGCGGCGAGGGTAACAGTGGTGAAGGCAATTCAGGCAACGGAAACTCTGGCAATGGCAACTCTGGTAACGGAAACTCTGGCAACGGTAACAGCGGCAATGGCAACACTGGCAACAACAACAGTGGAAACAACAACTCCGGTGATAACAACTCTGGCAACGGCAACAGTGGCAATGGCCAGAGCGGCAACGGTGATGGATACAACCCTGGAAACAACGGTGACGACCAGACATACACTCCTCCTCAGAGTCCACCAAGCCAGGAGAGCGGCAATGTCTGGTACGTTCCTACCAGCAGCCAGAAGGACCAGAAGAACGGCGATGGCTCCAGCCAGCAAGGCCAAAGCTACGACAATGGTCAATGGCATGGCCCAGGAGCTTACAGCAAGCCCAAGGTCCATAGCCATGGTGGTAGCCACAGAGGCAGCACAAGCTGGGACGGCAAGGGCTGGAGAGTCGGTTCCAGACGATCCATGGCCAAGCGATACCTCGCGTGAGTGAATCGTCGTGTCTTGCTTGTCGTTTCATCTGATACCCAAACCAAAAAAGAATGAAAAGAGAAAGGAGTTCGGGTCAAAGTGGAAGTTGAGGGCGGCGTTATTGGATCACTATTTGAACAGATACTCAGCATCTCTACTTGTTTACATTTTCGGTTATTAGATTTCCTATGTCAAACTTCTTAACCTTCTTAGTATATATATATCTATAGGTATTCAGTCATCAACCATTCATTTGTGTTGGTAGTTGATCTCGAGGATGAGCATGCATCAATACGAATCTTATGAGCATATCGAGTCTTGTCTCTATTCTTGATTTCTGAATGAATGATTTGTCCTTGAGAGACATGATAGTAATGATCTTGAGTAAGAAAGGACGTTGAGGATGCCCCTGTTGGTTAGTCATCCTAATTGATGTTAGTGGTGTTGGGGATGAGCTACACCAAAAGTGGTTCCTCATCTCATACTCCACCATCATGATACTCTATTAATGGTACATTACCTTGAGAGTATTATTTTCCTTATTTGAACGTACTATAGGAATAATGTTTAACAATCTTACTACGTCAATTATGATGCAGAATATTGTGTCATGACTGTCCTAGAAACTACTGAAACTACTACTACTACTACTACTACTCGTCATCGTTATCCGTTATGCTAAGCCAACATCCATATTCATGAGAGCGGGTCCTAACTAACATGAACGACTGATTATTAAACCTTGGCCATCTGCTCGGTCAACTTTATAATTCTTTCCGATACTCACGATCAATCAGACAAAATCCAAAGCTGTAAATCCTCAACACTTTTGAAATCATTGTTATTTAAAGCCTTGGATACTCCGAACTCGGTCAAGCCAGATCGTCACTACAAACAATCCTCACCAACCACATAAATCCTCATCATGGAGTCTTTTCTCGGCCTCGACCTATCAAGGAACTATTCCTTCTTCACCGTATGTTACTTTCTATCCCCTCACTCATCAACTTCTGCTAATACTCTTGTAGGTTCCAGCTGCTTTCTTTATCATCGCCTTCCCCCACGCCTACACCATCACCGCCGCCAGGGGAACATACGACAACGCCAACCCCCGCTCCCACAAGAACATTATTGAGAAGAGCGATAACTTTACCAAATCCGTAAGAATCGTCCCTTATTTCATATCTTTCGCCACTGACATTCCTCCAGGACAAGCAATTCTTCCTTCGAGCAAAGGCAGCTACAGAAAACGGCTTCGAGACACTCGGTCTCTACGCAGCCAGTATCGTAGCCGCAAACTTCGCAGGTGTATCAACACCTGCAGTCAACCTTCTTAGCTTCGGCTATGTAGCAAGTCGAATTGGCTACAACGTTGCCTACTTGTGGCTGCAGGCCGATCGTCGCCTGGCCCCAGTGCGCAGCCTGGTGTGGACGGTGAGTATTGGACTCATCGTCACCTTGTGGGTTAAGGCTGGAAACAAGATGCTATCAGCTTAGTTTCTATAAACCATGTTGGAGGTTCAATGGATATGAGAAATACAATTTTTGCTCTAAGCCAATGGCATACGAGCTTTAACACCCCATACCTGGTCCTCGGCGATTTTACCCGTCGTGTACAACTCTTTGCCTCAGATACAAAAGCCCGAGTTCATCTGCCGACTTCATACGCGGCGATTCGCTTAGCTTGTTTGTAACGTACTTATTCTGATCTTCTGGTTTGATGGTGCGAGCCAAATAAAACCCAGCCACGGAGTCATGTGGAAAGTATGCCATCATCTCCCAACGCAAACACATCGCTGTCCCATGGCCCAGGTGTCAAGGACTGTTCTCGAATGTAGTACTTGTTCTACTACAATCTTCATATAAGACCCTCGACTTCCTCTTCTACTTCTACTTCTAATAAACTCATATTCTCTTCAATCATTCTGAAACAACACATCCATCATGTTTCCCATCGATTACTTGATCATCCTCTTTGCCTCCACTACCCTGGCCCTTCCTGGCAAGCCAGCAGTCTTCCTCGACAATGTCCCCACGACAACGACCGCTCCCGCTCCTGAGCAGGCACTCAGCTGCGATTACAGCTACTGCGATGAGAACCATGTTTCGTGGTGCTTCCACTTCGTTCCCTTCACTACCATCGACCCAACACTGGGTCCCATGCCCGGCGAGACAAGGGCTTCTGTCGGAGTCTGTGGTCCCAAGACGGCGATGCCAGTCCCAACATATCGATAATGATGTGCGGGTCTTGACATCGAGTTGCGTTGGTCGTTCTTTGGGGGACATATTCATGGATATTGGAAACGTGTATTCCAGATGAAAGCAAAGTAATGAGCGAACTTGAGATATCTCTGTCTAAACCAAAACATAAAACTGTGAATCTAAATAATCAAATGACAACCCAACATGATACCTGGGCGCCTAACATCCTTGCCCAAATCTACCAAGAGAAGGACCAAATCCAAACTATACGCTCCTAGGCTCTGGGTAAAGAGCCAAAATGCTTCCATGATTTCATGATATTCCTAACCCTGCGCCTATCCATGCATTGTTCGTTGCGTTTGTAAGTACCCTTAGTACATCTCGGCTCCTCCAAAACTCTTGTGTCGTGTCAGAGTTGCTCGGGCCTGGGTTGCCCGGGGAAGCTGATCCCGAGTAGACTTGCGTCTGTTCAATGGTCGGCGACCTGCAGCCTCGTCTGCTCCACTCTGTCCTTCTTCGGCCTCAATCATAACATCAGCTGGCATGGCGGCATCATCCTTGATCTTGGCCACGAAGAAGGATGCAACCACAACACAAATACCGCCAAGGGCGAACACGATAGAGATGCTATGGTCGCCTGGTGTACCTCGCGGCTTCTGCCAGAGCTTGAAAATGACACTAGAGCCCACAGTAGCGATAATCTGCGGTGCAGCAATGGCCATGTTGTGAATGCCAAGAATCACTCCAGCCTGGTCAATTTCTTCCTCCTCTTCGTCATCCCCGATTCCACCGTTGTTTGCTCTGGCAGCCGCTTGCCGAATCTTCTGGGCACGGATCAGGGCATCCCTCCGGCTGATCTCAGCGCTGATGATGGCCCAAGGAGCCCACAGTGTCATGGCCCAGGTAATACCAACAAGTCCAACCAGCACGGTGGCCGCCTTGACGGTGCGCACAAACAGAGTGGCGAACATGCATCCAGCAAAGAGGAGAAGGGAGAGGAACCAAGCGCGCTTGAGGGTGAGGCCAGGGATAGCCAGCTTGTCCAACCATGAGGGCTTCTCATCGTCGTCTTCATCGTAATAGCCGGAAGCTGGTGTCTCTCCCGGAACGTTTGTGATAGGCTGGCTATCGTACGTGGGAGCAATGAAGAAGGGGAGGAAGACGTTCGTGAGCAAGCTCACGATGGAGTTAATGAGAAGTGCGAATGTACCAATTCGAGTCGCTTGCTCATATAGCTTGTTGAGCTGCTCCGGTGGCATGTGGGGGTTCGCTTCAAGGTATGGCTCTACATAGATCTCCCCAATGTACGAGGATGTGTAAAACAACAGAGGGAAGAAACCAACCCAGGCGCAGAACTGGACCTCGCAAACCCTCTTGATCTGAGGTGGCAGACGCTTGATCGATTTGAAGATTGTGAGGAAGAACGAGAACACGCCGTGCTGCTCTTTCTTGGCGGGCCCGTCAAGTCGAGGGTCTCGTTCCTTGATGATGGCAGTGCTCACAAATACAGTCAAGGCAAGGGCAACACAAGCGATAGCACAGAGGATTTGGAACTGCGTCTTTCCGAGGAATCCGAGGTGACGAGTCAAGTCGACATATCCGGCAATGTATCCAACGATGTTACCGAATCCAGTAATTCGACTAGCCATGGCGTTGGCGGACTCCTGCTGGTGAGCTGGGGCGCAGTCGACAATGAACGCACGGATGGAGGCCTGGACGGTGTTGATGGCAAAGTCGAGAACATAGACACCAATAACTGCAACAACAATGGTTGTAGTCTTGACGCCTTGTGACTCGGGATCGAAACCAAGGATGTTGGAAGCACTCGCAACAATTTCTTTGGCCCAAGCAAGGAACAGTAGAGAAAGGATGGTTGCAACAGAGCCTCCAATCATGAAAGGCTTTCTCTTTCCCATGGGTAGTCGACAATTGTCACTCAACATACCCACGTATGGCTGAACGAGAGTACCGGTAAGGGGGCCGGCAATCCAGACCAGAGCCATAAGAGACTTGCTGAGCCCGAGAGATAAAAGATATGGTGAACCATTCGAGAGCTCAACGGACCATGCGATCTGAAGACCACCAATACTGATGGTCAACAGGAGCAGATACCATATGCTCTTGGTTGTCTGCGAATCATCCGACTCCCCATGAACAGCAGTATTAGTATTGGCGTCGTGTCTCAGGAGAGGCGATTGTTCGTCGGTTCCCTGTGCGGCGACACGGGCATAAGACTGATTGCCGGGGGTTCTTCGTGGGTTAGAGGCGGACGAAGCAGGTCGTCCCTCACCTCCAGAGCGTTCCGGTGGGACACCCATCGTGAATATAGTCGAGGCTGATGAACTGCAGTAGTAACGAACTTGCTCTTGTCGAGTTGATTCAGGGATTCGCTGCTTTTAAGAGGCTGTGGCTAAGATGCCGTAGCCAGAGACCGGATGCGGGGGCGCAAAGAGTGAATTCAGATGACTGCAAAGAGTCGTCGGCAGTTGCTGTTCGGGACAGGGAGGGACGAAGACGGTGACTGTCAACAGGCAGAGATTTTGAAATGATCTAGACCATGCCGAGTGCAGGATAGACAAAGGATGAGACAGGCAAGACAAGTCGTCCGAAAAAGCAAACAAGAAGGGAAGTCGGACGGAATTAATGTTGTGGTCTAATGAGATAGGTAGGTATTTTTTTCCCGTGCGTCGTGTTGAGATGGATCAACAAATGTCCGCTGATATTTTGAAACTGTATTCTATCATGTGGTCAAATCAAAACTCACGCGACCGCTGCTGGCGTACTCGTGCAGGCGTGGCAGGTGAAGAGAGGCTGGCGCAGGCCGGTAAGAAATGTGAAAGAGATGCGTCACTGGGTCTCCGCCTCCAATAGATGGTGATGTAAATCATCTGTGATCGAGGCCCCGTTCCTGATCCTGAGTCGCTCCGGGGCAGATTTTACGCTATGTCATTGGCCACTGCGCCTGTCTTCTGCTGCTGACCCACTGAAGGGCCTCTAAAAACTCCATTGTTGCTGCATCCTTGGACTGCTTTTACTGTGGAACTTACCCTGGATGTAGATTTCACTGCATGAAAATCTGACTTTAGATTCAACTCAACATGCAGTGACTGCTCTATCGAGGAGCTTTTCACCCGCATCTGAGACAGAATTCGATTGCACGTGGTGGAAGATACTGTCAATCTCGAGGCGGTCAGCTAAAATCTGCTTTGGCAACTCAGCCTAATTGCCAGAGGCACGCAAACGAGCATCGCCAAATCTGCGCTTGCATCGATGTATGACGTTCTGTAGGGAGCAAAGGCCCGGAAAACCCACGATGGTTGCACGCTAGCCTTCGATATTAAGTGGTGCTCTTTCCAAGAGCCTCAACAGACGTTATCAGTGTTGGGCCATTTGTTATCATATCTTATCTCGACTTGCCTCGGACTGTCCTGTCTTGTACCCAGAGCATCACGGTGATACATTGAACCGAAGTTCCAGATAAACCCCACATTAGATTGAACACTATTGATGCCTCAGGTAGCAAGCAAGGACCAACTGCCAGAGCTAACCGAGCGCTGAGAACATCCCAGTCTCCGAGGAAAACCACCATGATGCAACCAGATCTTTCCCTCTGGGCTGCTCACGATATCTTCCCCCATGTCATTTACGTATGTCAAGAAGTAGGATTCGCCTCGCCACAGCGGAGTTCCTCCGAGAGACACAGAAGCGAGGAGCGGGCCCAAAATGCATTCGGTGAGGTATCCAGCGAATGGTACACTGTCTAGGCTGTTCGCCTGTCAGCCTGAAGTGAACGGCTGTCAACGGGTTGGCTTGGACAAGGTTGATACGTTATCGTCCCCACCATGCCAAGGAAAAGGACGCCGTTCTCTGTTATCATCGCCAACTCCGGCATGTAGCCTGATAATTGCATCTAACAAGATGAAAGACAAGAAAGAACACAAGAAGCAGAATTTTCTTCAGAGGCAACTATAGCCGCCTCAATCAGTTTCTGCTAGCTAACCAACAACAGAAGGTGCCATGCCGTACATCTTCGATTCGATAAGCTCAGTCAAACAAGCAATTATGCGCTGCTAACGGAACGCCAAGCCCACCGCCGAGAACAAGTGGCGAATGATGCTGTGCTGCCGCAACGGGAACCAACGGGAACGGCGATACGCAATCGGGGCACGTCTTGGAGAGAAGACCGTAACAAACACCGGTCCGGTGTCTGCCGACACTGACGACCGCCATCTCCGTAATGGTTGCAAAAACGGAACCAAAATGCAAGACGCTCACTAATTTGTTTACTCGAAATTCAAAATTTAGTTGAGCGGATCAAAGAACGGCAGTTCAGGACTCGAGACACCATCAACGTCTTCAACGGTCTGGTTTTGGTCGCGCGACTGTCTACCAAAAGAAGGATGAGGCTGGTTGGATGACTTTGCTCACAAGCCAACAACCGAGTAAGGGCCGATTGGTACGTACGTACATAGTAATGTCAGAATGCGCACCACAAATGCTCGCAACCACAACACCGAACAACCGAGACCAAGCAGCTTGCAAAGGGGGATCTCCAAGCAGGGATCAGTTACGTTACCGTACCCATGTTGCCAGACTTGGCAAAACTGTGCTAGGTTTAGCCGACCTGCAGAGGACCGTAGGGAGAAAGGCTGGAAAGGATACTGTGCAGTATCTTTGGACAGTATCTCGGTGCCTGGAAGTGATTGAATGTCACTATCAAAGTCTGTTGAAAGTGGCTAAATCAGAAACTTGAATAATGCAACACCTCCCGACGAAGCTAGGCGGACTCAGCTCGGCGTTACCTTCCAGTAATGACGCTACTTATCAGCAGTCTCGGCCTGTTCGCGACCCCGTCCAAACCCCAAGGACCCCAAGAGTTATAGTGGGAAAAGAGGGGATTCTGTGGAAGACTCGGCTGTGGGGACCTCCATGGCTCGAATTTGTCGCCGACCCCGTGTTTTGAGATGCAAGTTGGGGTCTAATGGTGTCGAAAACGACCAATGTTACACCACGGACGAGGCATATTGCCGGGTTTCATTATCCATAACGCCAAAGCAGTTGGGAAGAAGGTTTCTGAGGCGTCGCGACGTTATGCAACAGATATTAACGGCTGATACACGAGGCGCTTCACGACTCAACTCCTGGACGCCAATGTTTCCTCTGATTTCCATATCCACAGCTCTTCACTGCCGACCGGGCACGCTCGGCTATGTACAGTATGATGGAAATGAACAAGGCTTTCATTGGACCCAGTCAGCCAGTTAGTGGTAACATGCACGAAATTCCTGGTGCCTACAGTCGCAGTCTCTTTGCCAGGTGGACACCCTGTCAGAGCGATCATAGCAATGATCACCGGCTAAAATCAGAACAAACTTCTAGTGTCGCCAGCGACCTACCCCTTTGAGTGAGAGTTTACCAATGGTGGCGTGCGCGTCTGTGTCTCCTGCAGACTGCTGGGTTTTGTTTCTAAATACTGGCATTTCCGATCCTCCCATCCACCACATGTCAGCGCGAGAGGGTTGCAGAGCTGCACAAGTACTGTTTGTACCTCTCAACTCCCCGGTCCGATATTGCAGGGTTTCTCCATACAGTTGTTATGGGCCTCGCTGACCTCATTGAGGGTCGACCCCCGTATAAGCCGCCGAAGCCTCCGCTATTCTCCGCACCCCAGTCTATCGTGAGCAAATCACAACCTGCTGTTCTGATTGTGCTCCCCAGAGCCAGGGGTTAGCGGACCCATCGACCATTCAGAAGCCACTCACAGTTGCTCATGTATCTCTTGTACACGGGATAAGGGACCTCGAGGCAGTTCCACCTCCACAGCCAAGTCCAGTTTCCAAGGCGCCACCGGAGAACGCATGGATGGATGCCCCCATGTTGTTCAAACCGACCAAAGACTTTGAGGGGTTTTCCTATCTCGAGGGATTGTGTTTAAATGTCCCGGCTCCTGCACTTATCTGTTCGGGTCCATAAAGATAAATGATCGCCCACTATTCCTGTTTACTCCCAATCTTGATGATCTCGTCAATTCTAAGCTCATTACCTTGAATCGTCACCAACTCAACGCCCAATTCACCAATTCATCGAGCTTGCTCTAATACAACAACACTCACTCAACACTTGTACACTCACTCACAACAACTTTCACAATGGCTATCCGAGAACACTTCCGCCGCGCTCTGCGCTCCGACGCTTCCGCATCAAACATTGTCGACGCCAACACATCTGGGAAAATCACAGCCACCATGACCAAATCCAGCCAGAACAGCGACAAGTCTGATGCATCATCAAAATCATCTCTCGTCAACAAGCTGTCACGTACCTGGACGTGGGGGTCCAAGGACAAGGACGCCACCAAGGAACGCAAGACCAAGAACAAGAAGGGAAAGAAGATCACACACCCTAGCGAGAAGCCCATGACGGCCCAAAATCTCCAACACCAGGAAATGCTTTCTCAGTTTAGCTTCACGTTTGGTGCCTCTTCTCCCGAGCAGATCGAAGAGGACGGCTTCTTGGGCATCAGCCCTTGCTGCACACGAGCTCCCAGCGTTGTCAACTTCTCCTTGGAAGGTGACAGCGAAAGCGACGATCAGACTTCATCATCTTCATCCTCCATCAAATCATCATAGTCAATTTCCTGAATTGGCAAAGCCGATGATAATGGATGGACGGGAATCATGCGGGCACGCCGATAGTCTAGGGGCGAAAGCTGGAAGAGTTCTAGAACGCCAGCTGTAACTCCCACTACCAAAAGCTCAACGACACTCAGACGCAACTACAACACACCAAGTCATTTTCCTTGGATGGACTCATTGCATTGGGCGATGCATTTCTATCATCTAATTACATCTTCCGGACCCGTCTTCTGTCAGCATCTTTTTCACCGATTGGGCGACGCATCTATCTTCAGATCAGCACGTGTTCCAACCAAAATTGGAAGATCAGCGGCTGATCTGAACAACACCACAACAATTCCGCCTCACCTCACATGGTTCCCCATAATTCTTTCCAAATGGGAACAACACAAAATAGACAACCAAAACAAAAGCAGTGCGCATTGGCTGTCTTTCTATCGTCGAGGCGTGGCCTCTGACGACGGTGTCTCGGGCACCGTAGAAAAACCGCATGAATTTATTTGAAACGCCACGATATGTGGTATGAGTAGCATATTGGATTTAGCGATTGCCATACGGAGTTTTTGCATATCATCATGGTCATGCAACGGGCAGATAGACCAAAACTGGGCGTTTTAAATTTGATATAGACAATAAAAGTCTTTACTTGTTTTACAATTACACTTTGCTTCGTCGATGTGACATAAACAGTATCGTTATCTTCCGACATTAGAAAACAGACTACTAGATGGCATAAGTTGGTCTTTGCAATAATTTCCTCAAAGAGTGCTTTGACAAATGGTTGTCCAGACTGTACCGTTGATACTTAACCGGCCTGTGGGCGACAGAAGAATTGTTCTCTAGGCTCAGGATGCCAAAATAAGCAGCCCAAATTCTGGTCTACGCATGCATCAAATGCCTATACTATTGCGTCTCTTATGCTCTCGGTGATCAACTTTTCTGGCACCCTGATGCTGGCTCAACGACGACTGTTTGGACGCCAAACAGTGCCAAAGTGACGCCGACTTGGAGAGGAAATCCAGAGTAGATATTCTGAACAGTATATATTGAAATAATAAAGCACAATGTTTCTGTTCGCACAGGTAATCATGAACATCATCTGTAACTACTCTAGGTCCAAACTCAGTCTGCTCCAAACGGACATACTTATATATCCCGAGCAATGCCCAGCTACAAAAGGATTTATGAAATATACAAATATCGATTTTTCATCCGTCTTCATGATGCCGCATAGCAAAACATAGTCGTGTGCTGAGCCGTCACTGTCAGTGCCACCCCTCTGTCACTGCCCGGTGGGCTGCAAAAAAAGAGGCACTGCGTGGCACCGAAATACCGGCAGCCCAGGCACTTCCTAATATAAGTTGAACAGTACAATTTTAATTTTCTTTGCAAATTAATCATTAATCCCAAGGATCCGATGTGTCACAGCTTCCACGTTGGTACCTTCCACTCACCCGGGACACCTCTAAGCCGATACTTCCTGTTACTTGCACGGGAAGGAGCGATTCCATATTGCGCGGGCACCTGCTGTAAACATCACAACGAGCCCGTGATTAACCCATTTCGTCCCGTCACGGTCCTTGCATTGACTCACTGCCTGATGCACATCGGCTCCTTCACTTGAAGTCATTTCTTGGCCTTTACTTAACACTTACTTCTTCTCTTCCTCCGACAACACCGCTCCCCTCGCAGGTTATCTCGCCGTATCAACAACTCCGTCATATATATCGCCAGCGCAAGGCTTTCAGGCTACTGCTGCTGCTACCATGTCGAGCAAGTCTTGGTACGCCCTCAAATCCAAGGCTGTGCACACCCGATATGGCTTGACCAAAAACATCCAGGTCCTCCTTCAAGGCCTGGAAAGCTTTCACGCCGGCATCATCGATGCGAGAGAGCTGGGGAGCATGGTCCGATTAAGTCCCAAACGCCGGGAATCTGTCGCCGCAACTATAGCCAAATGTGCTCGTATGATCAACAAAGAGCCTCAGGAGTCCAAGACCTGCGTCGACATCATAGAGATGTGTACTGAAATCCTCGAGGTTGCTGGTAAGTGTGGGCCGGCTCCCTATCATATACTCGTCCGAGAAGGCCAAACCGATGAATAACGTTCGCCGTAGATCGTCCACCGCCTATCGAGGGCTTCCCTTTCATGAGACTACCTGCCGAGATACGCGAGCACATTGTCGATTTGATGGTCGATGCCGTCTATAAAGGAAAGGCAATCAAACCTGGCACACGAAAAGTGAACTGCAATTGCCCAAAGATCGAACGCGAGTATGAGCCGTATCAGTCTCCCCAGATGAAGGCTTTACCATCCATTCTTGGTCCAGCACTCAACCACGAATTCTTTCGTATCTTCTTTCGTAAAAAGACCGTTCGTTTTCGCTGCTGCTGCGAGTTGCTGCATCATCTCGACCACAACCCCCTGCTCGTACAGAACGTTCGGGACATCAAAGTTCACTGGTGTGGACCGATGTCAGCAGATACCTTCAAGAAACTTGCTGAGTGCGACAAGCTCGAGGCCCTGACAATCAGCATTTCCAAATCCACTCTCGCGCATCTCAGTCCACGATCCAATTTGATGAAGACCTTCTTTCCCCTCACCTACCGTCACGTCAGAGTCACAGACGTTCTCGGGCTGGACGAGCTTTTGCAAATACGGGGTTTGAAAGAGGTTCGGGTTGTTCATGCTCAGACCAAGAGCACCAACCTGACCGTCGAAATGGACAGAGCCAATCTGTCTGAGCTATTGGCCGATCAACTCAAGAAAGACAAGGTACGTCGCTGGGAGCCTAGGAGATGAGAGAATTCATACTCTTTATGCCTGTCTAGACTGGCACATAGGCTACTTTGTTTTTGGCGCCCTCGGCAGGAAATTCCTTGATTATGCTAACGCCAGTAGGGTTACAACCCCCTTGACGATTTCTAGCTGGCCGAGATAGCAGTCTCACGAGAAACGACGATGTTGAGCTTACAAGCCAGCTTGGCATGATGAACGGATATTGCTTTCAAGGAAGGTCTGGAGGATATGAAATAGAAATAACGAAACGTGTCCCCACGGACAACTGATTTGACACGGCCGTCTGGAGGTGCCGATGAAGCACTGGTACATATTTTATGGAAACAATCAGGATTATGTAGAGATGTAACAACAGATAAATTACGGAAGGCTCCATTTGGTGAAAACACTAAAGATTCCGTACTCAAAAAGCGTTGCTATGATTGGTCTTGTCTCATACCTGAACAAAAAGTAAAGGCATCCGGCTCAAGATCAGCCGTTGGACTTGGCTGACCGAGCAATGGAAAAAGACGATTGAGTTTTGCCGCGACATACAGCTTGTGACGAATAAAAACCTACCTTTGAGATACTCAAAGGCTTGTTGCCATTGTGTTGAATCTAATTGAGAGTCAACGAGTTCCTCGACATGCCCCTGTCTCATGGCATTGGATGCTTGCTTGAAGTAAACAAGTCAAAGCCAGGTTTGGTTGAGCGGAAATTTTGAGAACAGAGCGAGCCGAGCAAGGGAGCACTGTGTTGTATGTGCCAAAAATTGACATTGAGACTGTGCTAGTGAAACTGAAACACAGTGCATTGGTTCATCGTGCTGCTCATTGTATCTTTCATTCCGACACTCTTGATATTGAGTGGTATAGTTTGAGTTTATATAAACCTCAAAAGCATAATATCATAACCGTTGTTGCGTGGCTGCTGTTGCTCATAAGGCCAATTCCCTGAATCGCTCACGAACTGTAACTGACCCAGCATGCACAGTGCCCGTCATATAGTCACGTGCTGTTCCATTCGGGTTAGCGTCGTTCTCGGATTAACCCCTTCCCGCAGAAGTTTTGCCTGTGTGCCCTAACCTTGGATCCACCCACAACCACCATTTCCATAAGCGAGACCTCCTCGTCTTTTTCTATCTAACTATCCCGATCATTGAACAACGATCGACTGAGCAACTGGATCGCCAAAGTTGCCCATCATGTCGCTCGTCTCGGGAGAGAAGTCGAACTTCCAGTTCGTAAGTCATCCCCTCCAGTATCGCAATATCGAAATCGAATTCATCGCCGACGCCGCTGCTCGAATCGCTCTCGCGCCACCCGCCCGGCGTCTGGTGCACCGAAATCGATCTGACGAGAAATATCATCCAAAATAACATGTGCTAACGACGAGCAGATTCTCCGTCTTCTCAACACCAATGTTGACGGAAAGCAGAAGGTTATGTACGCCTTGACCAAGATCAAGGGTGTCGGTCGCCGATACTCTAACTTGGTCTGCAAGAAGGCCGATGTCGATCTGAACAAGCGGTACGATTTTCTACTCTCGGGCAATATTTCAAAGCATACTGACAGTATCACAGCGCTGGTGAGCTCACCTCCGAAGAGCTCGAGCGAATTGTCACCATCCTCCAAAACCCTACCCAGTACAAGATTCCCACGTGGTTCATCAACCGACAGCGCGATATCGTCGATGGCAAGGACTCCCACATCCTCGCCAACGGTGTCGACTCCAAGCTCCGTGAGGATCTCGAGCGCCTCAAGAAGATCCGCGCTCACCGTGGTCTCCGACACTACTGGGGTCTCCGTGTCCGTGGTCAGCACACCAAGACCACCGGTCGCCGTGGCAGGACCGTCGGTGTCTCCAAGAAGAAGGGTGGTTAAACTATTTATCGGTGTTGGTTATGGGTGGACAGGCGTGACGGCTGGTTTCTCCATCTTTCTGAGCATTCTGAGGGGTTTGCTTTCTGGCATATGCAGCCATGGCTGTACTCTAGATCAGAGTCACGAATCAAAAGCATTCAAGTAAAATGTTCATCACGGGAAAGGGGAGATGTCTTATGATAAAGCTATGTGAACCTTATAGCCGAACGAAGTCCACGAAAGGTGAAAAATGGCGTTTCGCCACGGCGATGGAAAAGATGTAATGATTCCGGGTATCATGATTTCTTTTTAACTACTACTACTCGTGTATACGTTACGTGATTAGTCCTCGTGTGTAACAGCCATATCTAAGACTTCGACCCGTCCTTGTCCCTTGGTCTCGTTACCAATGAAATCAGATAGGGGCTTAAAAGCTCCAGGCTCAACAAAGCCTACCACTTCCCACTCCGATCCAACAACGTCTTGGCTCTCTACCTGTTCAACATAGCTTAGAATCTTGTCCTTGACTGTGCCGACAGCCTTTTGCTCGCCTTCCTCTTCCTTGCTCGCGCCCTTTGGCGCTTTAATGGCTTGTTTAAGGACGTTGGTAGTACAGGCGATACGGAGCCTCATACGGGCCCTCGCAACTGGGATAGGCTGATGGGCGATGAGGGCCTTCATCGCTTCAAGTGCCTGACTCTTTGCGCTCTTGGTCGTGCTAACACCAGTCCAGTTGTGCTGAGGTCGAGGCTTGGCCTCTCCAGCCTCTCCAGTCGCAGGTGTTCCAGTAGCACTTCCTGCGGCACTCTTGTCGGGTGTAGCGTTATGAGCCTGGGAGCTGAGCATATCCAGAGCCTTCTCGATCATGCCGGATGTATAAACGCGCTTGGTCCTTGGGTCGACCAGTTTACTGGCGACTATGCTGACGACCTCGTTGTGCACACGCTCTGTCTGCGCCGCGCGCTCTTTCTCTCCAACTTGCATCTCGCCCTTCTTGAGAATCTCAAGAATGATGTCGTCTGTGGACTTGCCCTTGCCAAAAGCCTTGTCGAGGTCCTCACGAGGTGCTGTCTGGCCTTTTGAGACATTAAGGAAGACGTTTGGGATCTGGAGAACATTGTCGAGGTCGGTCTCGATGCCGGATCGCCACTCAAGGACCTTATTCTTGTAACATGCGAGCTCGAAGCGCTTCTTTCCCTTCTTGAGTCGCACAAGGGAGACATTGGTAAGCTTGATCTGGTTGGAGGGTTGTTGAATTTGGCGAGACATGATGAACGGTATACGAGGTAAGCCGAACTAAAGGGAGATTTCGAAATAAGGACGCTGCGTAAAAGTTGCTGAGGTGAAAGAGAAATGGATGCGGTAGATTAAGTACCTGCCTACTACTTGTTTAATTCTACCAGAACTTTTTTCCTGACCCCGCCATCAGCCAGGATTGGATTTCTCACTGCGTAATGCCCCGCAATGGGCGCCTTCGTCATATGGAACCACACATCATGCTTTGGGTCACTTCGACTCATCAGTAACGACAATACAACTGACTACTTACCTACTCATACTGATATCAAACAGATGAGTCCTCTTTTCTTTTGTATCATCTGCGGATAGATCTATTTCTTAGGCTGTCCTTACTCCTAACACTAACAGTGAAATCTACAATATCGTGCTTATATGAGTAGTACATATGTGACTTATAGCATGTGCTCTATGCAGTGTATCTAGGTATGGATCTTGGCATTTACCTCATGGTTTAGGAGAGTCTCTTTGTCTTGTGATTCGATACATTTAAGCCATTCATGTATTGGCAACGAGGTCTCCTGTGAGCCTCTATATGACTAAGGAGTTGAGCGTCTCAGTTATTCCATGGTCCTCCGAATCTCTCACTGGGTCTCTTGCCTGGATTTGTCTGGCAATACGTAACAGAAGGTCTTGTTCATTGACAATATACTTATAAACAACACCAATTTCTGCACAGTCGTTCACTCAGAGACAAGTGTTTGCTAACAGTACAGTAACGTACACCCGCATATGGGGCAGTCTTTGAACTGTTTTGGACATGTTATAGGAAATCCCCTGATTCGCCCAGGGATTGACCATGGGTAACCGAGCGTCTATGATAGTACTAAAAGACTAGGAAGGTAGCCCGAGGAGTCTACTAACAGGTAATATATTAGAAACAAAGGGAGCGTTGTCTTTATAACACAAAAAGAAACTATATGCCAAGGTATGAGATCAATAGAAGCTCGGAGTTAAGAGGACAGGAACCAAACATCAAGATAGTGCCTGAAAATCATGCTGCCTCAGGGTAAGGTAGATAGATGCCACAGGGACAGCACAGTGCTTTAAGGTTCCATCAATTCCGGGCATCGGTAACTTACTCAACCGTGCAACGAATCCCTGGTGCAATATGATAACCGCTGAGTCTTACCGCCTCACTTGTGTTTCACCGTTTCTTATGCCAGGGCTGTTATTGTCTGATCGTCCGTGTTTGTGTTTGTTTGGTCAGGAACAAGGCCATGGGATCAGCTGCTGACAGTCCATTGCTGAAACCGGCCAGTCCAGCCAACATTCCAAAACCATCATTTGGGCAGATGCACTGTACATATTAAATTGAACTGTTACAGTAGAAGTAGTAAGTTTGCCAAAGACAAGCCTGAGCCCAGACCAAGAAAGCAATTGCAAACGGCGGGAAATGGTACAGCAATTGGTTTCTGACTGTGTTTTAGTGCGTGCATTATCAGACGCGTACAGTAACAAAAGACCCTGTATCATCTACGTCACTACTCTGTGGACGGTTACCGGATTGATATCCCGGCTGCTACTTTCAGGCATGATAATAGCACTTTTGAAGACGAATGCATGGCCAAAGGAGAACCGACTGAGAGCGGAAACCGTTCTCCTGAATCAATGAAGCACAGGCATTATCACGAGGCAGCCTGCCAGCCTCAAAATCGCGGACAACAACAAGCCGTGAACGCCTCTTATCAACGACTCATCAAGGTGAGATAGCATCGACGAGTCACGTTGTTGCAAGTGGATATTTGAGTTGTCGGCTCGCCGCCTTCCTAGCTTAGCTTGGCTCTGGACCTGTACCTGGCATGGGGTGACACGCAACACCGCACTAACAGATACTGGCATAAACTCTATGGACGTTTGATAGTGTAGCTCCCTGGCAACTGCCTGAATCGCCCCTGCCGCTAGGGAAGCAGGAAGCATAGCCGCTACGCGGGGTGTGGTCAGCTGCAGGTTGCTAGGTCCAAGTCTCAGACAAACTGGAGACTGGGGGAAGCTTCCCAGCCATAATTACGTCGCTCACCTGGCTTGCGCGTTTACTTTCTCTCTCTTCCATCAACATCAACCATCCTTCTTGTTGATAACATCTCAATAATCTTCAGCTTGTTATCAGCATCTTCAGTACTAGCATCACTGAAGCCGGCACAAACAGCATACAATGCGTTTGTCAACCTCTGCCCTCATCCTGGGCGCTGCCTCTTCGGCCATGGGCCTGCAAGAGCAGCAGGTCCTAGGCGGCGACTCCAAGCCTCTTGTCGACATCGACGTGAACGCCTGGACTAAGCCCCTTGAGAAGTTCTTCGGCGAGATCTCGTCAGAGGCCAAGGCTGTCTGGGACGAAGTCACGCTTCTTGCTCCTGATGCTGTTGAGGCTTTCAAGAAGCAGGTTCTTACTCCCCCCAAGAAGGTCAACCGTCGACCCGACACCCACTGGGACCATGTCGTCAAGGGCGCTGATGTTCAGTCCCTCTGGGCCGAGAAGGACGGCGAGAAGCGCCGCGAGGTTGGCGGCAAGCTCGAGAACTACAACCTCCGCGCCAAGAAGGTCGACCCTTCCAAGCTCGGTGTTGACAAGGTCAAGCAGTACAGTGGTTACCTTGACGATGAGGAGGAGGACAAGCATCTCTTTTACTGTAAGTCCAAACCGTTATAAACTCAAATTGCAACTAAGCTAATAAACGAAAGGGTTCTTCGAGTCCCGCAACGACCCTAAGAACGACCCCGTCGTCCTCTGGCTCAACGGTGGCCCCGGCTGCTCTTCCCTGACCGGTCTCTTCCTTGAGCTTGGACCTGCTTCCATCAACAAGAAGATTGAGCTTGTCAACAACCCTGAGTCGTGGAACAACAACGCTTCAGTTATCTTCCTCGACCAGCCCGTCAACGTCGGCTACTCCTACAGCGGCGGTTCCGTTAGCAACACCGTTGCTGCTGGCAAGGACATCTACGCCCTTCTCACCCTCTTCTTCCACCAGTTCCCTGAGTACGCCAAGCAGGACTTCCACATTGCTGGCGAGTCTTACGCCGGTCACTACATCCCCGTCTTTGCAAACGAGATCCTCTCCCACGATGACCGCAACATCAACCTCAAGAGTGTCCTCATTGGTAACGGTCTTACCGATGGCTACACCCAGTACGCCTACTACCGCCCCATGGCCTGTGGCGAGGGTGGCTACCCCTCTGTGCTGAGCGACAGCGAGTGCCAGTCCATGGACAACGCTCTTCCTCGCTGCCAGTCTCTGATCAAGGGCTGCTACGAGTCTGGAAGTGCCTGGTCTTGTGTTCCCGCCAGCATCTACTGCAACAACGCCATGATGGGTCCTTACCAGCGCACCGGCCAGAATGTTTACGACATCCGAGGCAAGTGTGAGGATAGCTCCAACCTCTGCTACTCTGGTCTCGGCTACATTGCCGACTACCTGAACCGCGAGGAGGTCAAGGAGGCTCTCGGTGCCGAGGTCAGCAGCTACGACAGCTGCAACATGGACATCAACCGTAACTTCCTTTTCAACGGTGACTGGATGCAGCCCTACCACCAGCTCGTCCCCAACGTTTTGGACAAGATTCCCGTTCTCATCTACGCCGGTGACGCTGACTTCATCTGCAACTGGCTCGGAAACCAGGCTTGGACCGACAAGCTCCAGTGGTCTGGCCAGAAGGACTTCAGCCATGCCGACCTCAAGCCCCTCAAGCACGCCGGCAAGGAGTACGGTAAGGTCAAGTCCAGCGGTAACTTTACCTTCATGCAGATCTACGGTGCTGGTCACATGGTTCCCATGGACCAGCCCGAGGCTTCTTCTGACTTCTTCAACCGCTGGCTCAGCGGTGAGTGGTTCTAAACTGGATCACTCCTTGTAACCTAAGATGCGTGGGTGTACACTATGGGAAATGATCAAGATTGTGATTTGGAATACACGAGCGAGGATGGCATTGCATGATTATCAGGATGGTTATTAGCTACAATCAGATACGAATTCACCACGTTTACCACGAATCAATGTGCTTGTTTGACCCCTATAATGAAGTCGTGCCAGGTAAGCTGCAGACCTGCAAGTGAGTAGCTGATTGATTGATGTGCTTGGTATTATGTCACATCAGGAGACATGACAAGTCCGACGGAGTTGGCGGAGATCTCCACACCCGGCCGAGTGACGGAAGAGAGATCCACAGTGACCGAGATATGATCCGGCTTCTGCCATTGCAGGTATAAAATACTGTAGTTGCATGGGTGCTTGACGATGGGCATAGAAGGGACAAAGATCTAGTCAACAATGCTGACACGGCTCGATGCATGAACACGTAGAACCGATGACTGAATTTTCATTGTCTTGATTGAACGGCCAGTTGTTGGCCTATTGGCGATGTCTGCTCCATGTCGAGCGAGTGGAGGCCAGGCATCGGGATGAAGTCAAGTTTCCACCGGGTACAAAAGAGACGAGAGCAGAGTGTGAGAAATTAAGCGCAAGTACAAGCACAAACTGGGGCGGATACATGTTGGAGAAGACGTCGAACAACGGAGGAGGCGCCGGGAAGAGGGTAAAGATGCGCGGGCCAAGAGGCGAGATGGCAAGGAGCTTAAGCCTTGGTTGCGATGTTGTAGATTTGTTGAGGATTCTGGGGTTTTGGGCTTCGGTCTTCGGTCTACCGCGGCATGGCAGTGGAGAGAAGGACATCCATAGCTTTCTTGTCCAGTTGACTGACTGTACTGTATCTTTGAGCCCCTGCGGGTTTATTTACGTGCCTGTTACTCGCGTAAGAAATATCTTTGTCGTATATAAAATCTGAAGCGAGTTGATGTTAAGCGAGGTACGGATGGATAGCTCATGACATCAACAGGATCCAGTATAACGAGGAAAGTTAAGTTCTACATGCATCTAGGAACAACTGACTGGAAGAATATCCAGTATAACTCAATCCTTATTCAGCGGAGTAAAAAGTCTCTGTATCAACAGTTTAGTCTCTGCTCACACGACACTACACGGCATGACACAAGACTGACTGACTTACACGGCTTCACTCATGAGAGAAAAGATCGAAAACTGTACCGCGGGGCCCACATGGCCATTGCATTAGCGCATCCCCAACAAAAAAAATAATAATATACGGCTTCGAAAAAGAGTAGCAGCCGCACTCTGTTCAGAGATTTGGAGCAGTTCCCCGCGTGGTCAAGTACCAAGAATTAGATAGTGTATCACATACAAAAGCAGTTAATCAGTTTAACATGTCAATGTACTGATTTGGTTGATATGTCCGACCAGAGATTTCTTCACCCACTAATCCCTGACAGTTTGACTTAGTAAAGCTTTAGTCTAGAACGCCCCCCAGTCAATCGGCCGGAGTTGGTGTCGACGTCGACCACAGATCCACGAGAACCCTTGCAGAGCATCAGAAATAGGCAGGAAGGAAGGACAATAACCAACGGGACTTTGCAATCACAAAGACTGTCCAGCTGTTATTAAACCAATAATAAATCAAGATGGCTCTCAAGGGGCTCTTCTGCCACCTGAAGATGATGAGTTACCATGCCTGATCCGTACGGATTACGGTACGGGTACAGAGTGCAAATACAGTGATTACCTGCCTCGGCCCAGCCCCACATTGCCACATCCATGATAGGATCCAGGACTTTTTTTGTGTCACACATTTAATGCTTCAACGTCAAAGGCACGGCTCGCAATCATGATGGCCACTTGTTGCCGTCAATATGCCAAGAATGGATGAGTACAACCTGTGGAGAATTTTTACGAGCATCAATTCTATGGTACAAGTCAAAGAAAAAAGAGACCAGTAAATACAATCACCGTAAAATAGTACTCATGATAACATAACTTCAAAGTCAACGGAGGTTTATGACCTTTCTTAGACCCTTATTTTACTACCCCGGCTCACCGGCCACAGCCAAGTTAAAGATGTAAATGATAGGTCGGTACAAGCGCGGCAACGGGTACCACGTTTGGCAAACAGGTGCCAGTTTCCCAATGTTTTCTCAAACCGGAGCAGGAGCTGGGCATTGATGATACCTGCCTTGCCTGCCTCTAGAACAAAAGCTCGGGACGGGTCTACCTACGGGTCTCCTCCATGGGTCCATCCCCGGCCGGGCTAGGAAGGCAGGACCCTCATTTTGATCTCCTTAGGTACTTGCCCAACTTTACTGTACAAGTCAAGTTTGAGCCGGGGTGGACTTCGAGAAAAAACGAAGTTAAAGCTAACCTCCCTCTCCTGCATCTTTAAGAAGTGAATCAGAACCTCTTGCCTCCCCTTTTTTGTTTGTTCTTCTTCTACTACTTTACCTTATACCCCAACTCCGTCTCGACCCTTTGTCATTACCGACGACTTATATTCCGCCGATATCGTTATTTATACCGATCAATTGCATCTTCCTCCTCCTGCCTATACTCGTCTCAACTTGGGATAACTTGGATAATCCGTTATCATGGCCGAGCACTTCAAACTGCTGGGCTCCTTGCCCGATTCGAGCCTCTTCAGCTTCCCACCCACAAATGCGCCTTCTCCCATTGCGCCTGTCGATGTCCCAACTTCGATTATGCGCCCCTTCAACATTCCTGAGCAGTGGTTCACTTCTGCTCTCGACGCCAAGGTTCCTCTGACCATTGCTATCCTCTATGCCGTCACTGTCAAGAGCCTCAACATCTACAACAAGTCTACTGGCAAGAAGCCATGGGCTATCAGCAAGACCCGGCCATTCTTTGCTTTTGTGGTTCTCCACAACATTTTCCTCTGCGTTTACTCTGCTTGGACTTTCTGGGGTATGCTTAGCGGCATGAGAAGGAGCATCCAAAATCCTACCGGTCCTCAGGGTCTTGCTGGTACTGCTGACAGCTTCTGCCGTCTACATGGTGCTGCTGGCCTTGGCAACTCAGTCTACTACAACGAGACCTCAAGCTCGTTCGTTTCTTCAACTGAGCAGGCGGCAGTCGTCAACGGTCTCCCCAGTGGAACTGTTGGTGGCCGTATGTGGAACGAGGGATTGGCTTACTATGGCTGGATCTTCTATCTCAGCAAGTTCTACGAGGTTCTTGACACCTTCATCATCCTCGCCAAGGGCAAGCTCAGCTCTACTCTTCAGACCTACCACCACGCTGGAGCCATGCTCTGCATGTGGGCTGGCATGCGTTACATGTCTGCTCCCATTTGGCAGTTTGTTCTTATTAACTCGTTCATTCACTCCCTGATGGTAAGTCAACTTTTCCAAAGCATTTCTGGTACCTGACTAATTTGATCCTAGTACTTCTACTATACACTCACTGCTTTCTCCATTCGGGTTCCTACTCCTGTCAAGCGATCCCTTACCACGATGCAAATTACCCAGTTCATCGTTGGAGCAAGCAACACAATTGCCTACTCTTTCATCTCTTACAAGGTTCCCGTCAATGTCATCCAGAAGCTCTCTGCTCCAGTACATGCCACCACAGCTGCCCCCGATGCAAGCCAAGAAACTATTGTTGATGGTGCCGTCGAGTCGATCAAGAAGTTCATCTGGGGTGCTGCTGAGGGCGCCGCCGCTCCTGGTGCTGCACCCGTTGCCTCCCAGGCTGTCACTTCTGAGGCTTTCACTGCGGAAACGCAATACATTACTCAACCCTGCATCATGACCACTGGCGAAACCTTTGCTATTTGGCTCAACGTGCTGTACCTTGCTCCTCTGACTTACTTGTTCGTCAGCTTCTTTATTGCTAGCTACGTCAAGCGTAGCAACGCCTCCAGCAAGAAGTCCCATGACGTTAACGCAAACATCGCTCTCGCTGAGAAGGCTGGTTGGGATGCTGCTAAGGGTATCGAGAAGGAGATTTACGATGGTGCGAACACGGCCAACGGTTCTTCAGCCGACGAGGCCTCGCGGGCTTCTACACCGAAGAAGGCCAACGGCAAGTCGCGACGAAAGGCTTAAGAAAAGAGGCGGAAAAGAAAATGAGAAAATACCAGAAATAGAAGGACGGGAAAAGTAATTACGCTTGCAGCGAGATCAACATTTAACTGATCTTAAAGAAGATACAGGTTGCAAGGTTAACAAATGTCAACACTGATACGAGCTTCACTTTATATCAGTATATGCTGCTTTTTCTATAATAATAAACTGAAACTTAAAACACTATAACATTAAATTCTCCAATGCCTATAAAATAGTTGGGACTAATCTAAACAGAGCCTTGTTTCTCCTTTTCAACACCTTTAAACATATGGTGGCAAGACTGGTTGGCATCTAAAGGTCCATCTCTTAACAACCTTTATCGATGCAGCCTTTATAAAACCGGTTGTCTGTGTCTTAACCTTGTTCCTTTAGAATATAGCAATACCACAAGATAAATCGAGAAGAACTAACACTCCATACATTGATGCCGTTCTGGAAAGCTAATTTAACAATTGCCCACAACAGTTGTTCATGAGCACATAGCACCATGGTCAGGAGCTTGGAGCAAAGGGACTGGACTGAAGCTTTTAGACACGGTGAATGCACAGGTCGGGTCTCAGAGCTTGAGGTTATCGTGCTCTCTGATGCACTTGCATGTCTCATGTCACTGTGCAACTCATTACAATCAGTTTGCTAATGGTTAGCAAGGTTGCAATCTAGAGACAAAGTCTAACAAAGTTATATGAACAAGGACCAGATAGAGGGTTCCTCTTGGTCGGTCGGTCGGTGGTCTAGGTGGGTAACAGAAGAGATGTCCTCTAAGAGTTGGAAGAACTGGCCGTCGTAAGCATAAGAGACGAAATAGTTTAGTCATCTCATGCCAATTTAGACAAGCATTTATGCCACTTTATTTTGGTGGTCTGACAACCTGCCGGTGGAGCAGCTACTTCACATCACTTATAAGCATGCTATTGAATATACTGGCAGGCTTTTGATATGCATCCCTTCAAATGCAACAGAAGCTTGGAAGACTGGGCATCTTATCATCACGAGACAGAAGTCTGATATAAGGTGGAAACATTGTGGGATGTAATATATAGCAGCAACGGTTCAAAAGAGTCTGGCAGCACACAGCGAAACCAGTTCAAATTGGCCGGAAGACTACCTAAGTTCATAACATCGTAAATTCTCTTTCCGTGCCACGTATGGCAATGCAAGTTCCTTAAACCATCTATGAGTGACCCAAGCTATGTATAATTGCTCTTGATGCGCCTTCCGAGCAATAAAAAAAAGCAAAAACATTAAATGACACAACCAGTAGAGCATCCTCTATGGGCTCTAACAAGATATTGGTTGCCGAAACGCTATCATAACGATAGTTGCATAATAGCAGGTCAAAATGATCCTGCTTTCCAGAACGCCTCGCTTTGATTGATAGCAACCGATTGAAAAACAAATGCAAAATGCAAGGTCCAACTGACAGTCGGCGACTGGCCAATGAGGACAGAGATGATAATGGTAGAAAGGGGATGGTTGGAAAGATGAGATAATTGGTGGGGCTGGACAAGGAACCGAGTAACTTGTCGGGTGATTTCTATCGGTCTATTATAGTTCTGTCATGGCTTCGTGAAGCAGACGGCTTCGGGTATCTCATACTGCCGACGGGGCAGGGGTAGTAGCGAACGTGGTGGATAGTGGTACGTTGATGCAACAAGAACGATATCAACTTCATGCAGAGAAAGCCGCCCGATCTCGATAAGTCGAGAGACTAATCTGCACACTGTTGTTGTTCGCCCTCAGCTACAAGTTGCGACAGCTGACAATCTCGTGTTCGCTTAGAAAGTGCTCCAGTTCCAGTCTCTAGGCACACTGGCAGCAAGTTCGGGGCCACGGGGCAAGTCAGATCCGTCTCCAAAGCCAGCAGCTATGGGAGTCGACGTGGGGTAAGGAGCGTCCGAAGATGCGGTGCTCGAAGCACGGCTGCTGTTTCGAGTGTACCAGCTCTTGAACTCTTCGCAACAATGGCGACATGTTCGGGAAAGAGGTGCACGGGGATTGAATTTGGCATCATGATCGAGAGGAGCGACAAAGGTCGAATGAGAGTCACAAAAGATGTGGCCACACTTCCGGCAGTGGTGGCGGCGAGTAAAGTAGCTGAAAGTTCGCTTGCAAGTCGGGTCGTCGCAGACAGTAGATTCGGAGTCGGGCTGCAGAGAACTCATGTTAGCAACTGTGAACTGCAGGAAAGCGACGGAAACAATTCATTGGTGACTGGAGTGAGACTGTTCCGAGTGTTTGGGTTATACAAAACGGGAATGTTGGATACACGTGAAACAGAGGCGTATGGAGGTGTAGTACGGGGAAGGTCTAGTAACGGTCGCTTATTTGCTTTACATACCTTCCAGTGCTTTCGTGTAGGTTGAGACTTGACTTCGGGAAACAGCTCGGGATCAAAGTCGCCGTCTATGCTGCTCTGGGCGCTGTCACCAGTAGAAACACGCGCCAACTTGTTGCCAAAGACAGACATGCCGGGGATATTTATGAGGCTGCTGTTGGTGCGTCGCAGGGTGTTCTCTGACTCGGTACTGGAGGCAGATGCACCGTCATCGATAGGCATCTTGCTGGTCTTGGAAGGGAACAAGTTGGGGCGCAGGGCCGCAGGCATGTACATAGGGCGAGTCTGTCGTGCATGATGCGATCTGGGAGATGTAGGATTTGAAGAGGCAGAATCGGGGCTGCTGGACTGGGTGTTGATGGGAGAGATCTGAGGACCAACTGAGATCTGATATGAGTGATTGCGTTGATGTGTAGGGCGCTGCTGCTGAGGGAAGAAATGACGCGAGTGCTGGTCCCCTGGAAAAGTGGGCATGATGAGGTCGGCAGCCATATTGTATGTTGGTCGAGCTGGATTCGGAAGGCAGCTCGATGTATGTATATTCAGGTTTGGCTCGTAGCGTGTTATGTCGGCAGATGAGTATTTGGAGATGGAAGAGACAAAGTTGTCAAGTCCGGGGGTTGAATGGACAAATAAAGGTAGAAGTGGCGGATAGGTATTCGTAAGATTGTCGATTGGGTTTGAGATACTACAAATGTAGTTGAACAGAAAGTTAGACGAGCGAGAGTCAAGGGCGGGCCATGGCAGAGTTTAAACCAAAGCGAACAGGCTCAAGGAGGGAGTAGATCTTGGGAACATAGCACGGCCAACGCCGTCGCGTGGAGGAGACTGGGGGCGGATGGAGGGTACGTACCTGTTCTTGGTAGAACTGACTGGGGGATCCTAACCTAACTCTCTAGTCTAGCGTGAGACCAGGATGTGCCCTCTCTTGCAGTTGCAGGTGGAGATGGAGGCGGTGGAGCTTATGATGGAGTGGGCGTGGCTTGTGCTTGCTGCTTGGCTCGACTTTTGGAGCAAAGCGTCCTTCTGCAACGACAAGGGTCTGCCCTTGTTGCGCGTTTTGCTCTCTCCGTATGTCCTCGTCGGGTGTCGAGGGTCTCAACGGCTCGCGGTCGTTAATGTCTCAGTAGCAGTCCGAAATGGGGCTGCTAGTAATTAATGTCTCTCAAGCCTCCCTTTGCCAATGTAAATCCTTCAGCTTCAAATCGTTTTATCTGTCTCGTAAAGCGCTACGCAAAGATGTTGTCTCGCGATTGCTAGGCTGTGATGTAATTCAGGATTCTTGCGATTCATTCAGATGGTCGAGGTATCCGGATACGGTAAAAGGTCTCGAGAGATAAACGGAACGGTTGCTCAATACCTGTGCGTAATTGTGGAAGGAATATTTCCTATATGGACATTTTGGTTGGATAGTGTCGGAGCTCGCTGGGGCCAACTCCAATCCAGTGGATAGACCCGGTCACTCGAGGAATTACTCTCCTGGCAGCTGGCTGTTTACTACGTATGAAGTTACACTGCTGGTCCGTGTCCAGCTGTGATGCAAGTTGTCTGTTGGTGATAAATATTGAATGCCAGGGGTTGGGCAACGAACAGCGAAGTGCACAACAACGAATGCCGAAGATGATGATGTCCAGATTGTGATGTGCTGCGGATTTACGTACGAACGGATACTGTGTAGATACACGTACGGTACTATGTGTTACGACCTCGACAAGAGTCTCGGCTAGATCATAACATGTCGTTCGAGTCAGGCAACATATTTGTGTCCTGCACCAGTGCATTCTCGACCTTTCTTCCCGAGTTTTGAATCGTGTTGACTTTGACGCTTCCAACAACTTCGAGAGTCGTGTCGAATCCGTCGAGTACAGTGCTGCAAGGCCAGCAACTCTGCAACGCAACAAGGTGTGGCCAAACTCCTCCGGTGCGCGGGGCTGACTATCGTAGGGCGGCAATTGGACAAGCGCGGTCTTTTAGTCCGGTAAGTCCCCGCTAGATAGCGAAAGCGCTTGACAAGGTTCAAGGGTCGAGGAGACCTATCCCAAAGGATGTTGTGTGATTGGGCAACTGCGGTTCCCGTCTTGGTAGCAGGGAGCTTTGGCTCCTCTGCATCTGTCCTTTGGGTTGTTTTGCTTTGCTCTAGGCTGCTGGTTATGTCTTAGGCCGGCAGCGGAGTCTCTGCAGTCTGCGACGCCTAGAAACCGGCCTGGAACGGAGTAGAATGAGGAAACGGCAAGACGGCATGCCCGACCGTTCGTTACTGTGGTGGTCTGTTCTGTTCGTTGACCGGCTTGACAGTTGTAACTACAGGATAAATATCGTATCGCAGGTTGTTTTGATCAAGTTTGTGAATGAACCAACTGTTACGTACAAATCAGTTAGGGCCCATGAGCTTAGATTACTTAGAATTGGAAACAGCAACCTGACCCGGCTGCCATGGAGCATTTGGGGAAAGAGTGGAGGCGCAACTGAGGTAGGTACGGTGGATATCAACAGCAGTTGCAATTCGACAAAAACAGAAACAGCGTCCCATTCACTACCTAAGTTAAGTCACTGCAATGTTGTATCGTTTACCTCTTCACCGGTTCTCAGTACAATCTGCAATACAACGCACACACTTTGACACGCACGCACGGCCTTTAATATGGATTGACATATGTGTGTTGCTTTTCATAGCAAAATCATCATGCATTGATTGCTATTGCTGTACGGTAACCGTCACGTTATGTGCGAACTGTACGCGCAGGGATCTGTGCTCGCTGTGCTCGACCCCTCGGTATTACAGGCGCTGCAGTGCACGACTAGGTAGCTGAGCAAACAACCGTTGCATTCTGATTTGGCAGGTTCCGAGAGACCATGACTGACTAATGTCATGACACAGCGAACAAAGCGATGCCTCCCATCTCCTTTCTGGCATGACATGCCTATCTACCGATCCGATCGCATGCAACATTTGCTGTGCTTCAGCTTCAGGTTTAAGATTTCAGACATCTCGATCGGCGTATTCCAAGGCTTAATGTACGGTAATTCTGAAGGCACATCTTCTGTTTCGTAGAGCATCACTTTCGTCATGATCTTCCATCAGCAACACCATGATGCAAAAGATCGACTTCCGGATGTTCGACCCCTTTCCCGTCTGCCAACAGCGGCATCGCAATGCCATCTCTCTTAACCAACTTCACCATGATTTACGAAGGAATACTTCACGACAGCATCATCCCGCCCCCCCTCTACCTTTTTTACCTCTGCTATTCAAGCTTAGTCCCAGCCATGACTAGTTCGCCTACGCATCCATCATTGAGATATGACATATGGTTGGTTTACTCGGTTCTTGGTAGGCCCTCACGGACTCCACTCTGATGCATTCTCGCCGCTCCACCTGGACGGCGTTTTTAGAGGATCGCCAACGGGCTTCAATTAGACAAGTGCAACTTGTGCAAGGCAACTGGCCGACAGGAAGTGGGCAGGATGGGATATTGAAAGACAAGCTCAAATCGCTACCCACCGAGTCCACCATCGGCCCGGGTTTGTTTGTTGCGTGTTCAACTGGGACCCCTTGCCTCGATCTTCCTTTGGCTCTCTTCAGCTTCTGAAATGGTCCATCGCCGTTTAAAGGTCTCGTGACCTTCCTGTCTGGTCTCGGGGTTCAGGGGCCTTTTACGTTTCACTTTGCCCTGGGCGAAGTCTAAGACCGTGCTGCTCCAAATTTCTCGGCCGGAGGAGACTGTGCTTTCTCGGAGGTAACCTAACCAATTCGGAACTCATCGGGCCTACGTTGAATAGATCCATACTCAACAAGGAGATGGGATCAAAGTCCAGAACTACAGGTAACCCGACAGGTGGATGACAGAAGAATTGTCTTCTAAGGCATAGGCTACAATAATAAAGTAGCCTAAATGCTGGTCTAAGGCAGCATAAGGTGACCAAATGATTTCGTCTCTTATGCCTCCAGGGGCCAATTCTTCTGATACCCTGAGGCCTGACAACTTCAACCGGCACATCGAATGGCGTTCTGCCTATCAAGAACGTCATGTTCTTACCGCTCATTACTTCAATTAGTTGAGTCGACACTCTTTACTCGCTTTGGATAAACTCTCATCGGACCGCCAGCAGTGACCATGGCTAATTACAGAAGCGCTGGGTTTGATAGAAAGGAATAGGTAACGAGTTGCGGTACGATACCTCGGCGCTTCGTCATGTCCCGCTAGCCTATTGCCGCTGTCTTCTCGAATCTTGGAAGCTTTTCAGACTATCTGAACTTGAAAGGGAATCCCTTCACCCGCCACCTGAAGGCTCCACCAAAGTGGCCTGTGCAGGTTTTTATCCATCTCCTCGGTGGACGATTCAGCCAAAAGTGGTTTGCCTCTGCCGCAGCGCGCTCCGCTGCTAGACCCCTGCTTAGTTATTTCCACTAGGCGCTGCCGAGTCCTGACGGAGCCTTGAAGCTGGTGATCCACCGAGGCTCGTTGCAGCCACGTTTCCTCCATCTTGGAGACCTCAATTCGTGGCGTTGCCGACAAGCCTTTTCCGTCAACGTGGGGAGTGGAACCGAGGTTCTTTTCTAAATCTGCCATCTCCCGCCAATTATGGTACTATACCACGAGATTACCGCCGAGATGTCCGTCACCGACTGTCTCCCTGAGGCACTTGAGACATGGAGGCTCCGTACGACCAGATAATTAATTAGTTCCGGCAGAAAAGGCACAAGGGCTCGGTTCTGATCGGCGCGTTCGAGACCGAAGTGATTCAACCTCGTATGCCAACGAATCAGGGTAGCTTAGCGTCGCATATCGAATTTTGTCAGAAATTCAGGGTCCAAATCAGGTGGTCCAAGCGATGAGCTACGGAGATGCAACTCATATGTTTACTGTAACCCAGATGAGGGGAATTACGTACGTCTGTAGCCACAGAGGGTCTTTGAAATGCTGGAATATCAGAGCTGTCCACGAACACCATGTCTGTCGGATCCTTGAGACGAGACGTGATATGCAGAAGCGAATGAGGAAGGATCTTGATCTACAATTGAGGAGTGCGGAGATGGCTGCAGGGGACCTAGGGACTAGATTTTGAATCTCTGGATATCTCGCACGTCAACAGTGAAGGAAATGCGCTTAAGGATCAGGTGAGCAGCAGCAGCAATCCGTCTGGCATCTGCGAGTCTGAGACATCGCTGAGAAAGAGTCCAAGCCACGGACAGTCCCCTACTTCAGATCCATCATCCGTGCATACTTAGGGGTTCAAGACTATCGCTTTCACCGCCGGTCATTGCAAAGACCCTTAGAAAGCTCCAGTAGTCAATTTGTCTAGTATTCGAATAAAGACCACGTTTTTGCTGTGTTTAGTGGTTGAGTGAGGCTGGTGCTCCAGAAGGTGTGATCAAATTGATAATTAGGTACTATACTCGACCCAGGAGCACAGACATTGAGCGAACAACGGTACGTGCATGTTTTTTTGCCCCATCATTTGGATCCTTTAATTATTATGCTTCAGCCTCTTAGCTTACACGATTGCTATTACAGTTACAGTAAGTGGTCGACTCAGGGTCCAAAGTTGAGAACAGTTATGTAATTACAGTACTCCTAATTAATGTAACTAGTCACTCGTGGGACTTTATAACTCGTCAGCTTTGGCATTATTCGCCTCAGTATGGATACAGTCAGTAATTATAGTACAGTACTCAATCTAATACAATCTAGAAACTCTGGAATCATAGGCAATCTAGACAATCTAGACAATCTCAGTGCTTGTAAAGTTGCATTGTATATGTAATAAGTCCGCAGGTCCGTTAGGTTCTTTTCCAATAGTCAGTGTCAGTCTAGCCCCATGTTTTAGAGTACGTACTCGTTTTCAAATGCCAAGACAAGGTAAGACTTTGTAGTGGATATCGCGCTTTACTTGTATCGGAAGTCGACCTTCAAGTTGCGGCTCCTCGGCATTCTTATCACTCGCCTTCAATTGGCTGTATCTTACACCCTCTCTGAGTTTTGACAGATAAACTTAATAACACGCGAGCAGGCTTTGTAAGTGCCTGAGGCATATTCCCGTGCCTCTGTATGAGTGTATGTACAGTACATATGCATAAGCTTGAGATGGTGGCCAAACCTAACCAATTGCCGTTCTCTTGTTGATCAGATCAACTTCAGCGAGATGCGTAACACAGAATGAGGGTTGTAGAGTTGCAGGTACATAACCTCCACCGCCTTTTTACCCCCTCATATACTGTTTCGCATTGCCAGCGCTTCTACCTTTGCCTCTGCCTCAAAGGGGTCATGTGCAACACCTTGCGTAAAGGCCTTCCCTCTCTGCAGATAATTCCGAGCCTCGTCACTTTTTTGCGTTTCTATCTCGTCTTTAAAAGGAAGTTGCACGCTTAGCCTCAAGCTACATACCAGGGTATTGGTTTGAGGTACGTATCGGGCGGCTCCGTTGTGTGTTGTTTGTGTACAATATCTGCAGTATACTATCCATATTTGCTTTTTCCCATCTTCTTTAGTGGCTTGCGCGGCTCTCGTTTAATTGATCTCACGATATTCGTAAGGCGAAACTTCGCTTCCGTCTGAGTTGCGCATATCACTCGCAGATGAGAGGTGATTAAACGAGCGTCGTGCGTGGTGGCTAGCACAGATTGATTGATAGGATCTAACATGGTCATTTGTATCCACATACACACTAGTTAGTAGCCATGGGGAAGACGATCACAGTACGGAGCTGCTTTCTTCTCTCGTGCGAGAACAAGACCAATTTCATCCGTAATTCTCCAGTTGTATGCGTCTGCCAGCCCCGACCTCCAGGTGTTGTGAGCTTTGATCAGAGGGAGCCCTACTGCGGACCCTGCGTTTCGAGGTAATGGATAGTTCGTGGGTCGCATAGGTCAAGCCTCCTTTGGAGATTATGACAGGTGACTCGTTCTCCATCGTGGCTATTCACTATAGGACTCTTCATCTTCACCGTAAGATGATGTTTTGAACAGCAGTTGCATTGGTTCGTGCTGTTGTTGTTGGACTCGGCTCACTCCATTTCCCATCTTCCACTTTTGCCGCCATCCTTGAGAACCACCCTCAACCCCTCAATGACCATACCCTTATCCACTGCCTTGCACATATCGTAAACTGTCAGTGCCGCTGTAGACGCCGCCGTCAACGCCTCCATCTCCACGCCTGTCTTGCCATCGCACGTGACCGTAGCAGCGATCTCGACTCTGTCGTCACCCCTGACGTCGAGATCAACCGTCGCCTTGGAGAGCGCTATAGGGTGGCAGAGTGGAATCAGGTCTGGAGTCCGCTTGGATGCCATGATGCCCGCGATTCGCGCAACACCTAGAACATCGCCCTTCTTCATCTGGTTGTCCCTAATGAGACCAATTGCCGTGGCGTTGGAGAACCTGACAGTGCACGCAGCTTTGGCAATGCGTGATGTCACCGTCTTTTCTGATATGGAAACCATTCGTGCCTCTCCAGATGACGAGACGTGGGTCAGCTTTGCCTTGTTGCTGTCATCTTGACTACTGGCATGGCGGGTCTGCGAGAACCTCTTTTGTGAGAGTAAAGAGCGACCGGGGATAAAGAAAGGGCCGTTACGCAAGAGAAGTTGTACCCGAGGAGGCATGATGCGAGACGTTGAAGACTGGCTAATGGGATCTACAACGAAACTCAATTCAGCATTACGTTCAACTCGTTATGGGAGGGTATCCAAGCCTCATATAAGATAAACCAAAAAAAAGCCAACCCCTCTTAACGCCGCCCCATAGCCATGAGCGAGTGATAGTTGCCCCGCGAACTATCTCCAAAATAGTTTCTCAAGTATTCACTCCAACATGATGTATTATGTGCAGGAAAGTGAGGGGATGGGTACTGTAAAGGAGCGCCATCACCCACCTATCAAGATCATGGGCCTGTTCTTCATGTGTTCCAACTCACCGATTCCAGCATGTTTTGCCTTCTTCCTCTTGACAGCTGCACCGATGACTTCCAGTAGTTCCATCTCGTTGGGTGCCAGGCCAAGAGGAGTTCGGTCCGATGTTAGCAGATCCCTCCGTCGGTCCATCTCGATCTGCTTCATTGCTTCGAAAGCTTGCTCATCGATGGGTTCGCCGCTGTTAGACTTGCGAAGAATATCCCGTAGAGACACTTCGGCGTTGCCAAACAGACATACCTTGAGGTTCCCATCACCCGTGATTCGAAGACGGTTGCAGCTCCCGCAGAAGTTGTGTGTCATGCTCGTAATAAACCCTATCTTTCCCGCAAAGCCTGGGATATGCCATGTCTTGCTCGTGTCGTTCTTGTGGTCTTGCACCTTTTGTAAGGTGGGATACTTTGTTCTGATCAGGTCCAGCATTTCTTGATAGCTGAACATCTTGTTTTTACTCCACTTGTTGCCGTCAAATGGCATGTACTCGATAAATCGCACCTCGATATTCTTTTCTTGCGTCATGTCCACAAATGGAAGCACTTCTCTGTCGTTGACGCCCCGCATAACTACACAGTTGATCTTGAGCTTGATGCCAGCACCGAGCCTGTTCATTTCGAGGATCCGATCGATACTCTTCTGGACTGCATCGTATCCTTTCCTTCTTGTCATGATTTGGAATTGCCATGGATCTAGCGTGTCGAGACTCAAATTGACGCCCGTCAAACCGCTCTCCACCATCTTGTCCAGTTTCCGGTGCAGTGAGATGCCATTGGTTGTAATGCAGATTTCCTTGAGCCCATGCTGCCGTAGTTGTCCAATCTGGTGCATGAGAGGCAGGATGTCTCGGCGCACGGTCGGCTCTCCTCCCGTCAATCTAATCTTCGAGACGCCCTGGGACACAAACACTGAGGACAGGAGGACGATCTCAGGGGTTGTCAAGAGCTCTCGATCCGGTGACAAGGGCACGCCTTCTTCGGGCATACAGTAGACGCATCGCAGGTTACATCGCTCAGCGACGGAAATACGGAGGTAGTCGTGTTGTCGATGAAAATTATCGGTAAGGAAATCCGAGAAAGGTTTCGAATCTCGGATGCGCTGGCGGCGAGGTTGTAGAAGGTCGATCTCTGGCGACGAAGATGGAGATTCGCGGGGTCTTTCTTGAGGCGCAACGGCTGCTGCGGTTGCAACGGCCCTGGAAGCAAAGGCAGGCGCGCGCAGAGAAGCCGCTATTCCGATTGTTCTTTGAAGGGTAGATGAGGCCAAAGCTCTCGAATTCAATGCGCGAGGCGACATATTTGGGGACCAGGATGAAATAGAAAGAGGTTTGATGTAGAAAGCTTGCTATAAAAACATGATTTCGATTTTGTCGCAACCACGAAATAATGAATAGAGAAGGTTTCGGTAAGCGAATATAATGATTTACTAATTTTATTTAATGACAACGTACAGTACAGTGAACCCTATCATGGTTTCAAAATACTAACGCAACTATGAGGTGGTGCGGGCATGTTGTTAATCTTATCGTGTACAGTACTGCAGCATGTCCGGCCGTCGCCACAATCCGTTCCCCGCGCTGAGTAATGGAAATAGTTCCGTGTAAGCCGCGGAGTTGCACAAAGAGATCCATCCATTTGCACGTTAGTTCCAGAGTGGACTGATAAGGTCTCTCTCTCTCTCTTTTATCACATTTACATTTGTACTCATCCAAAGTTTGACATGGTCGAAGGCGAGGTTATTGGCTGTAACTCAAAGACCAAGAGATGAATAAGTAACTGCTGACGCATCAATTTATAAGATTTCTGTCATCGTACATTATATCATTATTCTCGCTTGGGACCTGGAATAGCACTAAATGCATTCTTTATAAGTAAAAAGGTAGTGGTGGTATGACTGACTAAAGGTGATTGCCCTTAACTGTCTTGTCATGAGTATGCGTCCCAATGCGCGATCACCTTTCGCTTATTCCTTACCCATCTGGCTGATCTAAATATTGACTATCAATTCTGTCATTTAATGTAGTTGCCCTACTAAGGATAGTTTAATTTGGGTTGTTGAGAGGCTTCCCATCAACAACTTGTGTCAGTTTAACTCCATGCGACTGTAGGGTAGTTAGAGGTCCGTTGTTAAGTCGTTAGCAGCAGGCCGCGCTAAGCCAGATTCGGCAATAAGTCAACAATACTATTATCGATAAGTTCTGTGCTGCTAATTGAACCTCACAACCACGACAGCTGTCGTAGCAATTGTGAACTCACCATTAGACCTTTGATACAGACAAGAATATACAGGTAGCTTCTGCCTGTTATCCATTATCGCCATTATCGCTGGTTTCTGTTACTATCTGCCCTCCCCAACTTTAACCCCGCGATTGCAAGTCTTCATTCTCACCTTCCTTCTGTACCTTCCTTTCAGGCAACCGACAGACCGTGAAGAGGCAGTCACGATGCAGGCCTCGCGTGTTTTCAAAGGTAAGTACCTTCCGAGTCATTATGCGGCTCACTTTCCTATATGTCTCCTCAACATCGATTCGGCATTGAAGAGAATCAACGTTAACCAACCATTGTCAACCCTCACAGCATCGCCTCACTGTGCTGCCAGTCCTGATGGCAAGTTTATTGCCACACTCTCTTCTCAGAGTATCATAGTGCGCTCAGCGCCCTCACTCTCGATTGCACAGACGATCAAGTTACCGCCAGACCTTACGACCCCCGTGTCCACGTTGGCGTGGGCACCGTCATCATCTCGTATCCTTGTTGCAGGCACCGACCAGATTCATGTCTTCTCGATAGTTGACTCGTCATTCCGAGCCACGATCAGGAACCCTGCGACAGGCGGAGGAAAACAAACTCTTGTGCAGTTTGGTGCATATGATGACGAGGTCTTTGCTTGTGCTGCTTTCGGCCTTAAACTTTCTATTTTCGACCTTTCTACTTCCAAAGCTATTGAGCTCAACAACCCCAAATTCTATCTCCCTTCATCCGCCCAAAGAGGGTATTCTTTGCGACCACAGAGTTCTCACCTGGCCATCTTGACGCGGACAAGTGGACGAGATGCCCTCAGTATCCACGAGCCCAAGACGAGACAGACGTTACGATCTTGGTATCCAGAAACGGTAGATGCTCACGGCTTGGCGTGGACCCCTGATGGGAAATGGCTCCTGCTGTGGGAAGCCTCGGCACATGGCCATAAGCTCCTTCTGTATACACCCGACGGACAATTCTTCCGCTCCATTGGCGCATCTAGCATTGCCCAGGGCCAAGACGCTGATCTAGAGACCGGGATTAAGTGTTGCAGTCTCAGTCATGATGCATCGTTCTGCGCCATTGGTGACGGTAGCAGAACAGTGAGCGCTCTCCACACAAGAACATGGAGAGATGGCTTGAGGCTTACCCACCCCACCACAGTTGTGCCCAAGGACACACTTCAGGTGAGATCAATTTGTCTTCCAATTACTTCTATTCTTACATAACATACCAGGTCTGGCAAGAACAGATCAACAGCTCCTCCCAAGGGAGTGCCTCTTACACATTTCTACGCGCAACCCAGATGGTTTCACCTCCGAGTCGATTGGTAGATGGAAAGCCCCCAGCCGATGTCAAGACAGGATGTTCCTCTTTGGCGTTCGACGCATCTTCGACTCTATTAGTCACTAAACTTGACGACACACCCACTACTCTGTGGATCTGGGATGTCACCGCAGCTGAACTTCGGGCGGTGCTTATGTTCCACTCAGTCGTCGACTTTCAATGGCATCCAACCGCCCGCGAGCTTCTATTGGTGACGTGCCAGGAAGATAAGTACCGTGGTGTATCTTTCATTTGGGATCCACTATCTCAAGGGCCCAAAGCAGTCAATTTGGGGTCTCACCTCCCGAACGGCAAGGTCACTGGTAAAACACGAGCTGCCTGGATAAATGGTGAGCCCGAGTTCCCGGTTCTGCTACTGTCGGATGTGCAAAACGGTATCTTGATATCGTGCGCAGATACGGCGCAGTGCCCAACGCCCTGGCACGAAGGGGCCACCGGCGATAGAACGTTGGGATCGGTGCATGATATCGGAGACACGATTGACGTATCCGCTCTGATGCCAGATGATACATCAACACTGGACGATACCTTCTCTTTTAAGCACAACTGAGAATCAGGGACTGGCTCGCCACGATCTAGATAAAAAACAAAACAAGAACCACCATTGTGGTAAAAGGCGATAGCTTGGCATGTGGAAAGATACCAGGATACAAAGACGAAACTATCTCGGCTCAAGTCGAAGCCGCACGCAACCTGCACAGGCGGCTGGGGTACTGTTACACAAGTGGCGCTAATCTGATGTCAATGCATTGACCAGAAGGCACATAGTTTTCTCTTCTCTCAGGGAAGCGAATTTCTGCAGGTTATGTCCCCAAATAAGCAATGAAAACTAGCGTTGATGCCGCAACAATGTCATGAAGATTGGGTCGCGACAGGGGAAGCCATTTGGTTGTCTTTACTCTTTCAACCAGCGCTAGAAGAGGACCCAGCGAGATTTTCGCCGAGCTGCGATCTCTGTCTGGTTACTTAATGACGAGATCTATCACAATCAAACGTCTAATAAGAAGCGGTTCCCAGCTGGTGGAGTTCTGATCCCAATATGATATGTCACTTTATCAGACGGGACTCATCCTGGCACTCTGCATATCGACCAGGGAGACATGCTTGGATAGTGGTTGGGTCTGTGGCTTGCAACGTCCTGCACAAATTGATCAACGTTCGTGCAGACCGCACCACTTCTATTTAATTCTCTTTATTGTTGGCGACTAACAGGGACTTTTAAATCCGACCGCATCACCGTGTCCTAGTAACTAGACTCGCGACTAGTCGTCCCCACCTACGCATAAGGACTGAAGAGTACCTGTCGAAATGCCAGTAAGGTCTCAGGTTACACTACATGCACGGCACACCGTCAAACAGGAAAGAGGCGCCGACCTTGCCATGTACGGGGCTGCTTAGTCTCAGCGCTTCCTGGTCTTGCGTACACCATGAGACGACATCTGCTTGTGCAGAACGCCCGCCTTCTCAGGATGCATCACCCCAGGCCCCGGAGACCCTAATTAAAGGACGAAAGACTGGGATCCAATGCAAGTAAATCCCGAGCTGGTAAAGAACGGTCTAAAAGCAATATTGGGGAAATTGTAGACAAGTTGTTGTCTCTTTTGCTCCCAATGCTGCTCTCGAGTGAACTGTCTTCGAAGATGGGATATAAAAGTCCAGCCTGTTCTATTCTGTTATTGCACTGTCATGTATTGCATCACGACTTAACATATATTGGTACCTACCTCGACAAACTTTTATTTTCGAGCTGTGGCGATTTAACGAGGCCATCAACGGGTACCACTGTTGAATATAAATCCTGGGCTGTCTGTCACCTTAGTGCCGCTCGCTCCTAATACCATCTCACCGTCACACAGCTTTTGTTGTCGTCTCAACCTTCTGTAACATCACACAAAAGCCCGTTTGGAAGCTGAGACGACTCGGCTTCGTGCATATTACTGCCAGCCCATGCCTACCGAGGCTACCATCCAAGCGGATGTCGCTCCGGGTAACGAAACTGGCATCTATTACATTACTATTTGCAACGTAAGTTACTGGGTATGCAGCATATCGGCACTATCACAACATCTAACTCTTTTGATAGTTACCGTTCGGAACATCATGGCAGCAGTTGAAAGACTGGACACGAACTGCATGCGTTGTTGACCACATAGAAGTCTTCCAAGGCAGTACCTCTGGATGGGTTCGAGTCAAAGGGAGAGAAAACTTTGAGAATGCCTGGGGTAAGAGAACACTACCATAATCAGCATCTGTTGGTGTTGACATGACAGCAGGTCTCCTCAACGGCGGTGTTTTCAATGGACGCTTGATTGTTGCGTCTGATAAGAACCGCAGTCATTCCATCAAGATCAGGGAACTTGTCATGCCGCCGCAAAGAACTCAAAAACCACAACAAGGAGCCCAAATGCCACAGCAAGGGCCTCAGATATCACAACAAAGACCTCAGATACCACAGACACCGCAATACCAGCCTGCCCCTGTCCCGCCAACCCGTCATATGCTGCCAACACCGATGACTGCACCGCCTCCGTATTCTATAGCACCCGAGCAGGTAGGACAGCCTCCACAGCCTTCATGTGTGATAGAAGCCTAACCTATGTTTACCGAGCTGTAGTACTACATGACTAGCTATTCCCAGATCAGCGACCCCAGATTCGTCAGTCATCCTCTTTCGACCCAAGGTTATACCCAGCAACCACCGATCATAGTAGCAACAAGCGTACCGTTTGGGCCCGCGACGTATGCGGCTGTAGGACCAGGCAGTTATTACGCCTATGACTATGAGACTAGAAGCTCACATAATCCAATTGCTTACGCTCCGCCAAATCAGCCTGAGGGGCCGCAATTCGCTCTACCTTATCCTGGCCTCGACGAGCACTCTGACTTTTACCACGAATGCAAATACTCCACTAGAGAACCACCTTATAGGTCGGAATGGGTCTTGACGGAGCCAAGAAAAATACATGTGTCACCATTCCCGCAACAGGCGCGTGCTGAGGACGTCAAGTCGTGGATACGACGCAGGGTAGACAAGACCAAGATCGATTCTATGGAGATTCCAAAGAACAGCAACAGCAAATACCTCAGAGGCTACGTCCTAGTCGTTTTCGACAGTGCCTCGGCCGCGAATATGGCTATAGAGCAACTAAACAAAGCACGCTTTCAAGGCCGGAGAGTGATAGCGCGACCCACTAGAGAAAGTGCGGTAGTCGAACAACCTGGATTTTCGCATGAAACGACTACCTGGGGCGAGCCCAAGTCAGCCGATACGAATACTCCAACAGCCGGTCATCGCGCAAGAGACGGGGACCGTCATAGAAACGAGAAGACACAGCGACCAAAGAACAGAGAGACCAAGTCAGGAAGCTCTGATAAGAAGAAGGCGCCACTGCCAGACAAGAAAGCATCGGGATCAAAGGGGGACAAGAAATCGTCATCCAAGAAGCCCCCCTCTCAAGAAGAGATCAGCAGGAAAGACGAAGGGCCGGTTGTTGTAGATGGAACATGCCAACGTCACGACAAGTAGTGGCGGTGGGCATCCGCTTTCCTGGTTCAGCCCATACTTGTGTCTACAGTACATGCTCTGTAATGGCAGGATATACCATCAGATGTCAACTAATGACGAAGTGGTGTAGCTTCTTACAATTGACCAGTAGTAAATCGTGCGTTTTTTGCATCAAGAAGTGGGCTATGTTTAAGTCTGGTCATGGAGAATCTTGCATTATCAACGTTTTCAAGTATCAAAACCACGAGTTTCTATAACGCTTGCTTTTGGTTGTTACCAAAAATTCTATCACAATCCAGTTCCTCGGTTGTCATCGATCCGGCAGGGCCAACAATGTACTCAATATACAGGCTGTGCGACTACTAAGGTCGATGAGTAAAGAGGTTAATATGCCAAGGTACGACCAAAAGCAAGGAGAGTACCCTGGCACTTGCATCAGGTTCAAGATTAGCCAACCATCCACCAGAAAAATCTCACACTTTTGCTTTTGTTAGCAAAAAGCCAAAGAAACGCTGACAGGCTGAAGGGGTTTCCCCTGGTTGGTACACTCTTATGGTATTACTGAACGTACTACGTATTACAACAGTTAATTATGGACACGGCGTGGTTCATTGGTGGAGTCAGACGAGAGGGTTTCCTGTTTTGTACTGGAGTTGTAGCAACGCGGCTATGTAATTCCTGAGTCGAAGGATTCAAGCAAGTGACAAACGTAGCCTCCGAATATTCGCGGTGTCTTCTGTCGGAGCCTTTTCTCACAGGGACCACTTACGTAGGTAGATAATAGTAGCTTAAAGCCCAAGCTATGAAATAGTCTCCGTAGGATTATCAGCCAACCAGGTAATGAATTGCCGCTAGCAGGGGGTGTGACTGATTCAGCCATGTAAAGGAGGGAAGCAGGAATAGATGATCGAGATAAAGGATGCTCATGGGAAGGAATCGATAAATTATGCTTATACTACCATGTCCCGGCAGATAGAAAATCACAAACGCGGACCTCCTGAATTTCTTTTATTCCTCCGAGTTTAGCAACACGATTCTACTGAAGGTCGTGTTACACGACAACGACCATGACCCTCGATGCAGCTCTGAGACGTGCATGGTGCTATCTGATGCAGTCGACATCGATAGCACGGGAATATTGCCGGCAGCCCCGGATATTTGACTGACGCTTAACCATGCCATGCCATGCATGTTGGTTAGGTGGGTTGCACGAATAGAATGCGCCGATCCCTGTGTAACCTGACAAGTAACTCCACACTTCTTCCATCGTGGAGACGCCGGCCGTTAGATCATGTAGATCGTATCGAACCGAATCAGCTGTCTCATGCCGCTCCATCGCCCGCTGTCACCCCTGTCAACTTGTCAAATCTGCACTGAATACAGACTGTGCAGTAGTATTTCATGTCACACACCCACCCAGGCTTGCCAGGGCAGTTCAATTGCAGATGCGCATCTTTGTTTAGCCTCGTCATCTTTCGTAATGAATATGCGTGCCCAACTGCAGGACGTGCACATAATTAAGCTTGCCAGAAAGATATGTTGCATGCATGAGGTTTGCGAATTGCACCCTGCTCCCAACGTGCCAACCTCATGGCCTGGACTCGTGAAACTGTATGCTCGACACGTGGAGGCCGTTGGCTCAACCACCGAAATCCATCTTCAACGCAATGCTTGGCTGTCCAGAATCCCCTGCGGCCGCCTGGCTCACTGAACCTGTATTCTGACGGCCAAATCGGATAACCTCCTCGAGAAATCCCTTCTGTCCAGCACTCATGCCGCCAACCACCGCTCTGAACATCTCCTGATCTGTTGCCGCGAGCTCCAGTAGTCGTGCGCTAGTCTCTTGGTAAACCTCCTCCCCTTCAGCTGTAGCCCGCGCCATTAAAGTTGGTACCACCACTGTGATGGCCGCCAATCGTCGACTGTTGTCGACTGCAGCCGCATATTGACACAGCGTGTGGGCAACCAGGGCCCTAGCATTTTCGGGATCTTCAGGGTCCGTATCAGTTACAAAGGCTACTAGTTTAGGGAACAAATAGCGAGCAATGCTGAGATCAGCACCAGTCGATGATGGCTGAAGAAGAATGGATCTGATGCAGTTGGCCGCAATTTTGGCAGTCTAAGGTGACGTGAAATGCAGTTAGTGATTTGTTTCCAAGTGTTCGAATGAGAGAAGAAATAGGAAGAACATACCATTCGATCAGTAAGGCAGTCCATCAACTCGTCCAAATAACGTGCTACAAGAGCCTCCGAAGCTGGTAGGTGATTTTGACCTCCGGTGAACAGGATGGTCGTGGCCATCAGGCAGTTCTTGACGCACGTGAGAGATTGGGGCGCTTCACGCTTCTGTGCGTTCAGGTAGATGGAGAGGAATCTACGCAGGCATCCTTGCAGTTGGATATCTGTAGAAGACGGCTCACCGTTGCTATGACTTCTTCGAGACTTGGACATGCTGCCAACGAAGCGCTTCAACGTGGGTAAAGACTGCGGGGCTATGAGCTCTTGACACCCAGGGGTTGACAAAATCGTGGCAAAGATGTGCACGATACATGCATGCAAATCTGTCTTGATGATGACTGGGAAGACCTCTGCCGCGTCCACGAGCGCATTCAGAGATGACCGTATCAGTAGGATAGCCTCCTCGTTCATCTGGTGCCGAGCCGGTTGGTTTCCTTCTGAGAGATTGGGCAAGAGGCCCGCAAGAACCAAAACGATGATGCGTGTAAGCTCAAAGAGTTGATCAATATCATCAGACAAGTCACCCTCCTCATTGGCGTGCCGCCTGGCGGAAGGGTGTGCAATGCATAGACTTCTAGCAATCTCCACGATCACACCTTGGATATCTAGGCTTTCGGTAAGTACTAAACGGTCTAGTAGGTCCATTGTCTCGGAGAACACATCTGGCCTGTAGATAGCATGACCAGACACGCTGGGATGCAGAATCTTTTTGAGGGCTTGCAAGATGGCCAGTGTCTGGTCGTGTGCTGCGAGGGAGTCGCTTTGCCCAGAGCGAGTGGCAAGTGCTTCAAAGGCGAGACCGAACAAGACAAAGAAGAATGCCACAGGCTCGTCCCGGTAGTTGATGTCAGAGTTCTTGCCTTTACCGCTGGTCGCAGGGCCATCTGATTCTTTACCATCTAAAGCATCAAACACAAATTCGCTGTCTTGCTCAATCAGGCTAGCAATGGCATCCACCAACTTCAGCCAAGCGTCTTGGTAGAATCGCAGTAACGTCTCGCGGTTCAGAGCAGCGTAGATGCTGTCGAGACTTCCGGATAACGAAGGGGGTCCGAGAGTCATGGAGATGTCAGGCTCAAACCGAAGACGCGCAAACTCGCGCAATGACTCCAACCACAAGGGGGTCAAGGTACCGATGTGAGGTCTGAGGACATCCAATAGATAATGCTGCTCGGAGCTTGCTACCTGCAATTCCGCCCAGGCAGAGAAAACGGAGATCTTTACCATCACCTGCGCATTGGAACTAAGGCTCTTAAGGTCGCCAATTGAAGCGTTCTCGCTGTCCTTGGAGAAGTTCTCCAGAGCACTGACAAGAGTCTTGAGAATCCTGCCCATGCGATCTACATCGGTGACGATACCGATAGAGATGAAGCTGGCGCAGACATTAACAGCTTCTGAAGCGAGCTCAGGCGATGAATCGGCAGCAAAGGCCGGGGTAAGGGCCGAGCTAATCTGGGCCTGATACTGCTCCAGCAACATTGCCTCATCAAAGTCTGGATCAGGTGTTTTGCCAAACATCTTCAACACGTCTCCTATGATCTTCAGGCCCCAGATCCGAAGCTCCAAGACACTTGAGGTTGATGCAGAGAAGGCCATGCGCACAACATCAGCAACTTTACTTTGAAGATCGTTCTGTGCTTTAGACTCTCCATTGGCAGTAACGTCCTTGGTAATGATGGCAAACATTTCATCGATACAGCCCAGCGCAAAAGTGGTGACCTGCCACCGCAGAGGTTCAACCTCAGAAGTTGCCTTGGTCTCCTTCTCGTCCTTGGCAGCGCCAGCCGCCGCAGCAAAACCAGCAACCTCCTCATCTTGCAGATCCGGTAAACCACCACCTTTGGGTTTAGATTGGGCCTCTTCATTCTTAGGCCTGGCCCTTGTCATTTTCAAAACCGCTTGAAATCGCTGAAGCCAGACATTTGTCTCTGCAAGACACGTGGAGTACATCCAGTTGCGGATGATATTACGGATGCCATCATGAGATGGCACCGTATCGAGCACAAGCCATAACTGTTCCTCGAATCCTTTCTCTGCTTCGCGTAGGACGTCTTGAGGATTTCGCTTCATCATGTTGTGTATTCCATCTACCGATACATCCCGTAAGGTAGTAGATTCAGACATGAGGTATGTTTGAAGAAGTTTGACGTACTCGGCGAAGTGCATATGTCCGGGAGCGTAGAGAGACAAATGCTCAAAACAGCCAAGCGCTGCCCTTTGTACTAGCAAATCATCTTCCTCGCGGAATCTGTTCACAAGAGTGAATATGAGTTCTCGTGACTTCAAGGCATCCTGTAGATCTGGACCCAAGACGTTAATAAGCGAATCAACGCATCGTGCAATAGCAGATGTTGTGGATAGATCCATTTCAAGATTCATGGTTATCGCAGACGAAATCTCAGCATGATGAGTCTCGGAAACGTAAAGCTGAACAAGCATTCCCAGAGTGCTTGGTACGTAGCCGGCAAAGCTGAGTCCCGAAGCGTCCGAGGCCAACGATAGCGCCTCGAGGGCCCAGAAATGAACCACTGGATGGGGATCATTGCAGAGAGACATCAAAATACCAAGAATAGTCTTGAGATGGTATCCAGCAGCCATACCTCCAACTTGAGTTTGAATTGAGCCCAGTGCCATAGCACAGCCCGCTCTTGCACTAGGCTCACGATTTCCGACAATAGTGTCAACAAGATACTTGATTTCGTTGTTTGTGAATGCATTTCCATACACGTTGCATAGGCGGGCCGTAGCAGCGTAGCCCAGACTTCTAACATGTTCATCTGGGTCAAGAACAAAATCGCGAACAATGTCCTGCAACAATGCTTCAACGGCTTGGTTTGAAACATCACCAGAAGGTGATCTCGTCTCCTTTACAGCCACCCTCATTGTAGCCAGAATGGCAGCTGCCAGATTGGCATTCATAGCAGCCTTGCGCCCTGGATCTCTGATGAGCGTACCAGCGGACGCGAAGGTTCGAATCTGTTCCAAAATACTCTCCTGAACCTTGCCTGGAGTGAGTGGGAATGCGAATGCGAACAGTTGAATAGCCGCATTAATAACCTCTGTGGCGGGAGGATCAGGAGTTGTCGAAGAATGATCGGCACTTCCGATATACAGGACAGAAGCGTCGTGTTCCAGGCTACCACAAATCGGCGAGCGAAGTAGATTGTTTATCGTGTCATCGGGGCTATCGAGTTCATCCTTGTGATCATCGGAGTTTTCTTGCTGCCCAGGAAGCTTTCGCACACGAGGTCCAGCAACAAGTCCAGTAATACCAAACCCAGAGTTGTCGCCTACATCCCAGACAGACTCAAACGTAGCAGCCGCATTGGCGATCGAGGCACTCAAAGAATTGGGCGCGTAGTTTTCAGGATCAGCAAACAAGGAGATCGCAAGCGTTAAGAGGTTTGACTGCAAAAGAGCCTCGCTTCCACCCGCCGGGCTGAGGTTAACAAGCTTCACATAACACTGCAAGACTCTTCGCTGAACCATCATTTCGAGATCCGAAAGCTGCAAAGAAGGAGCCAGTCTCTGGTTGACGTCGTCGGAGTTTTTCTTGGAAGGGAGAGTCCGCAAGAAGGCTGTCGTGTTCTGAAGCATGGTAGCGATTCTCTTTGACACATCCACGGTCAAGAGACGGCTATTAAACTCCAGGAACGCCAGTATTGAGCCCATTGCACACTCTCGTACGTGCGTCAAAAAGGAGACCTCAAGGAAGCTTCTGGCTGACGTGTTATCTTTGGCTAAGGGCTTGGGGAGAGCATTCTTCCATAGCAAGAGTAGCTGAGAGAGATGAATCTTGACGAAGTTTGGGCCCAAGGACATCAAGCCTCCAATAAGAATCCAGGCGACCTGAATTTGCGTGCTTGCAACGCGGAGTTGTGCCTGACTGCTCGATTTCAACATGTTAGTCGCAATAGTCAAAACGCGACTATTTATTTCAACAGATCCATGCAGAGGACGGGCAGGACTCGCGCTCAAGGTGGCGGCAAGCCCGTGTGCAAATCCAATGCATCTTCTCGGGGAGTTGCGACCAGATCCGAGTTGAGATAGCTCTCGGTTGAGACTGTTCATACAAACCGAAAGACAAGGAAGAAGCTGCTGGGGGCAAGCGAGGACTAAGGTTTTCATGCAGTGGGATGCAAAGACTTGAACAGTATAACTAGGGTGTTGCAAGACTTGCAAGAGACCATCTCTACAAGGCTCTGCAAAGCTGTTTGCGGCCGAGCCCAGAGACTGGATAAGTGACGAGACAGCGCTCAGCGTTGCGATCAGAGTGTGCTTGGAAGGCTCTGGCCGCTCGGTCAATGCCTGGGGATAATTCTTGAAGATATTGTTAATCAGTGTTTTGGCAGCCGATATTTGACCGGATTCACCCAGGATCTTGCGGCCAATAACATCTTGAATGACAACATCCACGATCTTTCTCGAAATCAAGAGGCGATAACGATTATTGGCAATTGTGGGGTAGCCCAAAACATCGATTGTGAGACTTTCGACGATTTTGAGATAGTTTGTTTCGACAAGCTTCTCTCCAAGTCGTCTGAAAAGCTTACCATAGCATATACCAATGGCTGCTCGAGTCCTGTTGGAGGCTGTTGATTTGGTGTACTGTGAAGCCAAGTTCTTTAAGATGTCTGAAAGAGTCAAAGCCAGAACTTGACTGCGTCTGCCTGATGGAGCTGGACTCGCTGATCTAGAGGGAATATCCAGTTCGTCGTCGGCGATGTTAGGGATCGTAGACTGACGCTTCAGCGCCTTTTTGGTCTTTTTACCCTTGGGGGATGCAACTTCAGGAAGGCCACCTTCCGAATGCCCTTGGAACAAAGCTTCAGCAAAGCACTCTGCAGCAGCCTGCCGTACCTGAGTAGAAGGGGAGTCGAACGCTTTGGAAATCGCGCTCTCAAGTTTGTCAAAGTCGCTCGAGTTCAAGAAGTAAGGCGTATGCTTGAATAGCGCCTTAAGAGCCCGACAAGCAGAGGCGATAACGAGGTGACCCTTGTCTGATGATGCATGGTTTCGTCCTTGTTTCCAGATATCACGAGCAACCGTCTCGTCCATGCTGCTTTCTATCATGCCAACGATCTTCCCAAGCGCGGTAAGACATGCCGCTCGAAGTCCGGCGTGGTTGGACGAAGCTTTGAGGAGCTTGAGCAATGACGAGCAACCAAGCTGGTGCAGCCCAATGGCGCTATCGCCAGCAGAAGCAAACACATCTCCTAAACAGACGACAGCAGCATGCTTTGTCCGTATGTCTGCCTCTGTTTTCGTCTTTCCGCTAGATACAAGCGCGACCAAGTCGTTGATCGTCTCGAACAAAAGCTTTCTATCTCCAATCCCAAAGATATGCGCCAAACACTTTCCCAAGTTATTTCGTATGACTCGAGAAGGTTGCGGTGATGCAAGGTTGATGATTTGGAAGATCTCCTTCTTTAGATAGAACTGCTGCGCTGTGCAGTCGTCCGCTTCTAAGCCCAGAACATGTTTTGTCAGGCTCGACACAAAGGTAAGTAGATAGAGGTCCTGTTGCTCGGCGGGAAGAGATTGGAGCTTCGGAAGATCGAGCTCTGGATTCGCCGTCGCGGTGTCGAGGGGAGCTTGCGCTTCGCTGTTGCGGGCTGGAGGTTCGGGCTCTTGAGTTGACGACATAGCGCACGATTATCGATCGACGCCGTCAACGCAATTCTGTTTCGACGAATGTGTATATATACTGCAGTGTTGAGGAATTGTGTACTGTATTTCTTGTTATGTTTCAAGAGGTGAGCCAGGGAACTTCGAGGTTCCCCATGCCACATGCCACTAAGCTAAGGTGGATTGCTCCAAGGGGGTGGAATGCTCAGCAGGTACGATACGGATACCGCCTACCTCTACTTTACACGGAAGGTGGGGCATATCGTGTCTCTGGACCGGAGTTTGCCCGTTGCATTAACAAGCTCAATCTGAGCAAAGAAGTTATGATGGATATCAATATATTCATCACTGGGAACTCTTTGGTTTGACTCGAAGCTATTTTGGTCTCTTTCCACCGCCCTGCTTGTCTACCATGGCTACCCGACAGGGTCTGAACTCGCTGTTGAAGACACCCAGGTCGATTTCTTCTCTCCAACAGTCAACCTCGACAATCTGTCGACAATGTCAAAGATCATTTGTAACTACACCAGTCCATTCGGCTGGACATAACAAATGGTCCAAGACGAAACATATCAAAGCTGTGACGGATAAGAAGAAAATGAGCGAAAGGGCTGCTTTTACCAAAACAATTGCTATGTACTCCAGAAGTAGGCAGTCACTGGGTATTGCATGGTCTGATAGCATTTCTAATGTTCGATAGTGTATGGTGATAATATCAAATTCAACCCTCAACTTGCCGCTGCGATAACTGCAGCAACAAAAGGTAAATAAATGCACCCAAGAGTATGGGCTATCATCTAACTACAATCGTAGCGAGTATCCCAAAGAATTTGATTGAGGCTGCAGTCGCACGAGGCCAGGGTCGCTCAGCCACAGGCGCCCAGCTTGAATCCATGTCTCTAGAGGCTCTCATGCCTCCTGATATAGCAATGGTTGTCGACGCTGAAACAGACAATAAGACCCGCACTCTTCACGATCTACGCCTTGTTGTGAAGAAAGCTGGTGGCATCGTCGGATCCACCACATTTTATTTCACAAGGCGTGGCCGAGCCGTTTTCAAGGCCAAGGAAGGCGGACCTACGCTTTCCGAGGTTCTAGATGAAGCAATTGAGCACGAAGGGCTTGAGGATGTGGAGGAGCTACCAGAGGGCGACTTCTTGGCTTGGACACAACCAAACACTCTAACATCGATCACTGAAGCTCTATCCAACAAGTTCGAGCTTGAGATTTTGGATTCCGATATCGTCTGGGCTCCCAATGAGGACACCAAAGTTAGTATCGACACATCCATGCAGGCTGATTCTCTCGACGCTCTGTTCAATGGACTCAAAGAATATCCCGAAGTCAAGGCTATATATGCCAATGTACGACAGGGGACCGTGGGAGACGAAGAGTGGGACAAGATTGAAAGAAATTTGGATGTATAACATGTCGACCAGCGCCGTTTGTAACAATTTTGTACAATGTTGTATTTTACCAACACAACCAAGAGGAGTGTTTCAATGTCTTCCGAACGCCGTTAATACATGGTCAATGCCGTCGTAGATCCTTCCGATCAAAGGTGTAGTGTACATGTTTCTTCCTCGACTTCCCCAAAGCTTTTAAGAATCGTTGCCTTCATTGCTCGGGGTTTGCGCTGCTCGTCGACGCTCCTCTTCGAGCTTTCTGGCCTGTCGCAGCTTTTGTCGCGCGACAATGCGCTCGTATTCGGCCTTGATCTCGTCTCGATCTTTGGGAATTTTGTTGCACTCCTCAGGCTTGGGCCAGAATCCGGGAACGGCGAAGCGATGGTCGAGGTTGGTTCCGAAGTAGAACATGATTCCAATAGGAAACATGACGTACGTGCCGAACTGGGTGTCTGGGTTAGTATCATGCTCGCAACTGATCGATGGTCTTGATCATGGGTAATCCGGCTTCACGAATCTTTCCTCCGTAAGGGGCTCGTGGCTTACCTTGAACACTTCGAGATTAAGACCACCCATTATGAGAATCCTGGACTTGAACAATTGCACTTGTGCGAATGAATTAAGGTTGCAGTCAACGGGGCAAAATGTTTGCTCAGACGATGTGATGATGCTTCTAGGCGGATAGCCCCGGTAGAACGGTACCTAGACAAATACCCCACATTCTGCAAATCAGGTCGCAATGATTGGTAGCATTTCGAGTGACCTGATCTGTCTGTGAGAGGCACATCATGAAATCAACCCAAAGGAGGTATGCGATAAGAGAAAGATTCATATTAGGGTATTCCAAGAGCTTCTTTCTCTCACAATATGTCCTGATAAGCCATTGCCCCCTTCTGAAGAGGTATATATAACGTTTTCTAATCGTAGGCCGTCCTTGAATCCCAACCTACCGCCAGTATATATATATTTATATATAACTCCTTGTCACAATATGTCTAACGCCAACGAGTTTATCCAGAATCCCAGGCTTAAGCCTTACCGTATACATAAGATCCCCAAACTCCTTGTCGTACCCACAGTGCACTTTCAGTTCAACTTTGAACTGCCAGCCCTTGCCTTTTGAGCCTCCTCCATCATTAAACGTTCTGTGAAACTGCGTGGGGTGCCGGAAAAGCCAGTATTGGCAACGCTCGCACGGAAGCTACTGAGGTCCGCCTCATCCATTCCGCTGCGCCCGTCCAGCCCTCCTACAAACGTATTGAAATGCCCCAGCGAGGCAGCTTGGGCATGTACTTCAGGGTTGCGAACAACAGGCATAATGACTGGTCGTCCCTTATATGAACCCACGGAGCCAGCTTGATACCGGGCAATGGTTGGAGTTGTCGGACCCGATGGACTAGCTGGTTTAGTGATATGGACTGCCGGGGAGGTCGCATACAAAGATTGCTCAGACTCGGGCACATCCGGCAAGTCAACTTCAGACTCTTCTTCCACTTCGGGCACGATTGATTCTGATTTTGAAGTTGGTTTCACCGGTGCAGACGAGTCCTCAGAGTCCTCGAAATGAAACAGTTCATCTTCGTCTACACCTGCTTCCAATCCCTCGACGGTTTCTGAATCCTTCTTGGTCCCCAGACCTTGGGCCTCAGTTGATGTTGCACTTGCAACGGCCTTGTCCATCTGTCTCTCCTCTGGTATCCTATTCAAAGACGGCGATGCTGGAGCTTTCTTGTTGGTGAATGATTTTGGTTTCGCCATTGAGAGGAAGTCGTCATCGGACGACTCCTCGTCCTCGTCTGGTTCCTCACTGACACTTCCCAAAGTACGCTCTATCCGAACAGACTCAGGCACATGGCGCGATGACGGGGGTTCTGGTGCAAGAATTACAGGACTTTTTTGCTCTCCTGATGGAGAGTTGGAGACTAATGCCGATGCATTACCCGTCCCAGCAGCGGCTTGGTCGGGATTCGAGTTGACCTCTGTCCAAACGCCTTCCTCCAAAGGTGCTCTAGATAACGCCCTAAGCGCCTCTGAGGATGAGATCTTACGTGGCGGAGGGAGATCTTCTGGATCGTCGTCAAGCATAGTTTCAGTGCGTGCTTGGTCGGCCGGGAAAACGGGGGCTGCAGCGGGAATCATGGAATCGGTAGGTTGCGGTGATGCTGTGGGCAAGACTTCTGCACCCATAACGTCAAAACGCACACGTCGCGGACTTTGTGGGGGTTTAGATCCGCTTGAAGAACGTCTCAAGACGCTCCGTGGTGTTTTCGGCTCGCTTCGATCCGAATGGCCTGAGGAGACTGTATCATTGGTTGAACGACGAACATGACCTGGTCGCCCGGGCGAATGAGGCAATGTCGAAAATACATCCTCCAATTGATCATTGCCAGGTTGTGCTTGCTGGTCCTGATGGTGTTCGGTTGCTGCGCCTTTCTTCTCCTCTGCTTGGATACTTGACTCAGGCAACAACATGTCGAGGTGTGCGTGGTTGTTTGTAAGGGGAGGAGAGGTTGGCTGCCTGGGAGGAGACCCCTCTAGCAGGGGAAGATAAAAGAGCAATTCGTCGTGATGTCGATCGCGGGGGCTGCCTGGAGGCTCTGCGGCTCCCGATCCGGAGGTAGCGACGGTGGTCGGCGGGGAAGGGTGGCGCTGTGCCGATTCAAGATGGGTGAGTGTTCGTGAGTCAAGGCCCAGATCCAGGTCCTGACTGGTGAGAACGGAGCTGAGGTCTGGGTATTTGGACAATGACTTGGCAAGGGACTGGATAACATTGGAAGCAATGTCAGGTTGCGTGTCTCGAAGCAGCTCCTGGTAGTAGCGCAGGAAATCAGCTGCCATCTCGTGGCGAAAGGTGTGAACCTTGTGCTCGAGCTCTGAAAGCCTCTGCGAGAGGCTATTGACAAGGCTTGCCTCATCCATAGCGCTTTAGGTAGTTAACGTTAACAGGTGCCTCCAGGCGAACTATGACTCGGCAATGAGGGATGTCTCGGTATGCGCATGACGCAACAAGCTTGGTGAGATGCTTGTCCAAAGTAGGGGTTGAACTTTTTATGAAAGCCAATGCGCGAAAGTTTTGCGGGATTGTGAGCAAAAATAGAGATAGGGAACGACATCGATAAATTGAGTGAAGTTTGGTCTGGTACCGTAGTGTGACGACCGCCTATGGAACGAACTATGGAACTAATGGATAGCGGCCCATGCTTGTTCTTAGGCTGGCTAGACCATTCGAAAACTTTACGATGGGGCTCGGTCGTTCTGTGTATTCTCTCTCCTTCTCTTTCTATCGTTCTGATGATCACAATAGTGATACTCCATTAGTAGCTTCTGCACGCAATTGCATAACAGTCTAATCCCCAGTCATCTGGCTGTTTGTGCTAGGTGAACTGACTGGTCTCCTCTGATCTCATAACCTCTTATGACATCTCACGCCCAGCCAAGCATAGGTCGACTCTGTGTCCTGAATGGCCGGTTCTGGACTACGGCTATCACTTCACAACTGCCTATCTGATCCATGAACAGCTGCCCTGGAGGTACTCGGCAGATTCAATTGGGTCACTGACGAATCCCCGCCGGTTAGCCCCGCCAGTTAAACAAACAGCCCAACATTGGATCCATGTTCACGAGGGACATTCATTAATTAGGTGCTGTAATACTGTACATACGTGCTGTGCTTCTCCCAGCTGCAGTTATCTTGCTTGGTGGATAAGTACTATGGATACTTATCAACGCGATCGATCGAAAGAAGCTCAAAACTTTTGCACTGTAGTTGCATCATAGGAGGGCCTTTCAGCTCCTCAACAATGCATCTCTTTACCTGTGCGGGCAGGCAATTGCAACAGGCAATCCCAATGACACAATATTCACGTGTGAATGGTGAAGACTGGTGAACATCATAAGGAAGTGATCCATGGAGAAGTGTGAAGTTGTCGATTTATCACTCAGTGAGTACCTGCTGTAAGGTAACCTGAAAGACCATCTCAGGTTCACAAAAGGTTACCTACAACAGTGTTGAATTTTATTGTTCAGTTGCAATTATTGGTCAACAAGTTCTCAACCGTTACTTGAATGAGATTCTCTACATAGCCTGCTCCGTACGCAGCAGTTCAATCAATGTGTTCGTCGCTCAACAGGACGTGATGCTGCCACTCTTTACATAGGTACCTACCTAGTACCTATTCCAAACTACACATCATCCTGTAAATATAGCATGTGATCTAAGTGCCAACAAAGAACTTCTTATCTACCTAATAAAAACAATCCTTTTCTTTTTCTCATCATAACAATGCCAATAATACGGGCCATGTCTCGGAGAGGTGCAAACGTGCCTGAATACAGCTGTAGCTTACACCGCCTACTACTTCGAGCAATCCGGGGCTCATTCTGCCACAAATTATCCTGGAGCTCTAGCTGCACTTCCCGGGACACTCTGCCAGAGATATCCTCATCAAAGGTCGCGTTCATATTCACGACAACACCTACCGATCCCGTCGCCCTATGAACGCATTGATTCAATACAATTATCAAAAACGAAATACCTGCCCATAACCATGTCGACAATAACCCCCGATGCGCTTCAATCGGGACAGCCTCCCGTTATTCCCTTGTCCTTCAACGGTAACCAGCCCGAAAAGGTGACGCTCTACCCACTGTCCAACTACACGTTTGGTGTCAAAGAGACCCAACCCGAGGAGGACCCCTCCGTAATCGCTCGTCTGAAGCGACTTGAAGAGCATTATACGGAACATGGCATGCGACGCACTTGCGAAGGCATTCTTGTTTGTCATGAACACAACCATCCACATATTCTGATGCTGCAAATTGCCAACGCCTTCTTCAAACTCCCCGGTGACTACTTGCGCCCTGAAGACGACGAGATCCAAGGTTTCAAGTCGCGACTTGATGAGCGATTGGCACCTGTCGGCCGTCTGGGAGAGGGTGAGGAGGCTGGCGACTGGCAAGTTGGCGACTGCTTGGCCCAGTGGTGGAGGCCCAACTTCGAAACCTTCATGTATCCATTCATCCCGGCGCATGTAACAAGACCCAAGGAGTGCAAGAAGCTATACTTCATTCAACTGCCCAAACAAAGTAGGTTGGCATAAATCACTGTATATGGTCCGGTGCTAACTCCCATTCACAGAGGTTTTGAGCGTTCCCAAGAACATGAAACTTCTCGCCGTCCCCCTCTTTGAGCTCTACGACAACACTGCACGATACGGCCCACAGCTTTCTGCGATTCCTCATCTGCTAAGCCGATACAACTTCGAGTTTGTGGACGAGAATGGCAATGTCGTAGCTGCGACGCCGGGATCTGCCGCACCGGAGGGTTATGTTCCACACACCAAGGTCCTAGCAGGCGACGACACGGACATGAAGGAGGAAAACGGAACGAGCTGATCTCCTTAATAGTATCTGGAGACATGGCGACGGTGTTTGGCGTTATTGGCATTTGCGTGCATAGGCTAAAGGGTCAATTTTTATTCTCTATATATATCGATGTTCGTTTTCAGTACGTGTTTACTTTAAGCCTTCTCTCCCTGGATAGTTGCAACGACACGTCGCTGGTGCCGAGCCGCACGGAACTCAAGATACCAGATTCCTTGCCAAGTTCCCGTAGCCTGTGACGATGTTAGTTGTTTCTCATTCTGCGGGGTGTCGACTGCTACTGACAAGCTTTCCATCCTTGATGGGGATTGTGACACTGGCTCCAACAAGTGCAGACTTGATGTGAGCAGGCATGTCGTCGGGCCCCTCAGCACTAAGAATTGTTAGTCCTGGTCTTCGTGCGACTTATACAGCGGGTACTCACTCGTGTCGGTAGAGAGCCTCTCCCTTCGGGCCCTCCGCAGGAGCAATTCTATCCAGAGCATCACTCATGTCTTCACGAACATCAGAGTCCCCTGTATTTTCCGCCTGTTAGAAACTGCATCTGCAGGGGTTTCGTATAAGTCCTTGAACTTACAGTTCTCATTCAGACTCAGGGCACAGCTTGTGTGCTGGACGAAAAGATTCAAAAGGCCAACTTTGTAGTCTCGAATTTCGGGGAGAGAAGAGACGACCTGATCAGTTATAAGGTAAGATCCCCGCGACTTGGGAGCGAGTGTGAATTGCTTCTGGAACCAGCTCATGGTTGTTGCTGTTGAGTGGTCTGTTACGGGGAGGGCAGTTGGGTGGGGTTGTGAAGATGACCCTAAGAAGCCGAGTAGACTAAATGGGAGTGTCCAGAGAAAGTGGAAAACACCAGGAAACAGAGATATCACAAGTAAGAGACACAAAAGTACTGGTGTGGTTGCGGAGTTAAGACGTGATGTTTGAGGTTGAGGCATAGCTTAGAACGAGTTGTGCTTGATAGATAACCATGCTAAGTTAACAACCGTCATAGTGGGGCTATAATTGGAGTCTGAATGGGGCTTTTTCGACATCAGTCAAATAAGCTCCCCTGAACCAATCATAGCGCACCATTTATAATCGCGTTCAATACCAGATGTACTGTAGCAAGGACTGCCGAATATACATGCTACTCGGAAGCAGAAAATTTGTCCTTTAAGGCTTGTGGCGTCAAAAGAAAGGAGCCCGGGTGCTGGTATAAATGTATGGTCACATGAAGCGTACAGGTTAATTCGCCTCTTATGCTCTCAATGGCCAATCTTTCTGCCATCTCAACGCTACACTCTTATATGTAAAGGATTCCAGTGCACCCATATATGGACAACATGGTTATGAAAGCCAGGCTTCCAGGCCAGCTCTACGTTCCCAAAAAGAAATTGCCTTCAATATCTGATGGGAAGCATAGCAAATACACAAATCACTCCAGGTAACCTGATGTGCTGGGTCGTTTGTTGTATTCGCGTGGTATATACAGAAGTGAGTTTCACTTGCAAGGAAAGCATAGTATTTGGATTTCTTTACCCCCTCACGCATGTCTAGTGATGTAGGCGGTTTCCTCCCTTCGGATTCAATCTTTCGTGGTTGTTTATGAGAGAGGGTAAGAAGTCTCAGGGAGGGATTCGAGGTGGGTACGGTGGTGCTCATGAGCCTAACGAATGTAAGTAAGGGTCTAGGGAAAAAGTGGTTATGGCATATCGTACAAAAGGCAGGCCGCAGTAACCGCAAACAGCAATCTCGGGCTTGTCGGTGTTGATGAAGACTCTGGGATGGCCCTCGGGACCACCACCACCGTTGCAAGCAACAATGCGCTCATGAGTCCATGTAACGGGCTGCTTGTGGATCATCTCGATAGCAGCCTTGGGTTGAGGCTATCGCATAGTTAGCCGGTCTGATATTCCACCACAGATCTTCAAGTCGGTTGTACCTGGGAGTCGAAGTCGGTCTGCTCGAATCGGGGACCAGTCATAGCCTGAGCACGAGGCTTCTGGCTACGGGACCAAACACCGAGGCGGTTGGGAGCCTGGTTGATCTCGGCGGGCTTGTTCTCATCGATGGGAGCGGGCGAGGCCTCGTTGGTCTTGGTTGAGACAGCGGCCTCGAATTGCCGAGCGGAGGTGGTGAAAGCACGCTGGGAGAGGCGCGCGCTTCGCGCAAAAACGCCAATTGCCCTCAATTGAGATGTGGCCATTGTGAATGTGTGGCTGTTCGGGTGTGAGGATCGATTCGACAGTGTCGGCGCTGAATGCTCTGTTGGTGGTTGTGAGGCATTGAACTTGCCTGTTGACGATGGATGTATCGGAGCCCCGGTTTATCCGTCTACCGAAACATTTTTCGACTCGCTGAGCAGGTACCTAAGCAGAGGAAATGCGACTGGCAATACCTTGGCATCGCATTTCATTTTCTGCGACAAACACATTTTGGCCAATTCCCTTAACCCGACCACGAGGAGGACTTGTGAATCGACCTTTAAGATACCAATCGCAAAAGAAAGGCCGCTTAATTTTACAGATATCTTCACTCCTTGTGTTTGTGACGCTCGGCTTTTTGCCGTGGATAAAAGCTACAACATAACCATACACGATATCTCTTCGCAAATACCCAAGAGCTGATCGATTATATCCCTCGTCATGGCGCCCGAAACACCAAGAGGAGTCTCTTCGAAGCTCCTTACCATGAAGTTTATGCAACGAGCAGTAGCTTCAGAAAATTCGTCTCCCGCTTCAGAAACACACTCCTCCAAGAAGAGAAAAACGGAACATTCTCCGGCAGCAGGTCGCATTGATCTAAACATTAATCAGGCTGCTATTCAAGCCGCGCTGGATGCTCAAGAAACAAAACGTCAAGAGGCTTTGGAGAAGCATGTTGGTGCCGATACACGTTGGGTGCTGAATGATGCGTTGGTTGGGTCGAAAGCTGCCAACCAAGTAAAGACGCCCATGAATGTCGTTTATGTTGGTTATGGTGACATTGATTCTTCTAATGATTCAGGCGACAATGAAGACGTGCCGGCTGCAGGACGTACATCAACAAATAGCTTCAAGAAGGCGAACAACCAGGCACGTCCATTACTGCTCGCGATACACGCAAGAGCTTGCACGGCTGACTAGTGATTAGAAACAAGAAACACAAAAGGCTTCTGATGATGAGGAAGACAGTGAAGATGAGGATTCGGATGATGCAGATACACCATCCCACGGAAGAAAACGGAAGCCATCCACTGATAGCCCAAGCCACTCACGCTCAAGGTCACGCTCACGGCCAAACCCTGAAAGTAACAAGGCTAAAGAGTTACGTGACAAGAGGAAAAAGAAGGAAGTGAAGTTGAGCAGGCCAACATCGATTTCCGGAGGTGGTATTTCCTCAGGGGGCGGTAGTCAATTCTCACCTGCGGGCGGAAAATCCATGACTTGCTACAAGTGCCACCAGAGCGGCCACAAAGCTATTGACTGTCCCAAGAAGGGCTGAACGACGCAGTTGTATAACTAAACTAGATACCGAAGCTGCAATGTCTTGCTAAATGGACGCAAGCTTGTCACAGTACCAGGTTTGCCTCTCACCTCTTTCTTTTCCTTGCTCCTGGGGATGCCAACTGTACATCCATGTACAATATCCAAGCTATGTTTCTGTCCTGAGAATGGGACTAGCAGTACTTGGCATCCATCTGTAAAGTATGGACGCCAAGACACTGCGTGCTTGGATGAAGGAACCGAATTAGCTCGTGGTTGTCTTAAAACGAATAGACATTAAACGTTCAAATACAAAAGTTAATAGCAGAATATTCATTCAATAACATTTAACCCAGTCCAACACATATTTTAAGTGAAGGTGACAGAAAACTTGGCCGTGGAGAGCCTTTAGGTGCCGAAAAAAGTGTATAAAGTGTCAATCTATTTCTTGAAACCTCGAGGACAATCTTTCCGTTACCCAGCAGTTTCCTTATCTGTGTTATGGCCACAGATGGTCGATGGTCCGCCCATTGCAACCGCTTTATCTATTCGCATTCATATGCATCATATGCCAGGCAGCACATGTACGAACGTCGTTGATCTTCTGTCAAAGAGTACATATATACTTGAAGGCCCAGTATTGAAGGTGATAGGGCGATGGTGCTCACTACTGCACCTCGATGATTCTTTGCATCTGAACTTCCTAGGCATTTCTTGAAGGCAACTATAGAGTGTAGTCTTTGTTTACCATTGATTATTGACCTATCGTCTAACAACAGCGTTACAGCAGGGATTGCTCATGGAGTGCTGTCTTCCTTGAGTCTCCTCGCTGCAAATCAGACTCCAACGATTCTACATGTTCATTGATTCAATGGAAATACCTCCGAAAGTCATGATCAATTGCATCTTAGTCCTATATACTACAGCGATTAACGCATCTCCTATGAGTATATATATTCCGTCTTCATCCCCAGATTTGATTCCATTCCCAGTATTTACAATAACCTCCTCTTACGCAATATCTCGAGTGTACTACAAACAACAAAATCTGTTACACAGATCTACGACGTATCTCGGCATTACCCCATCCACATAGCGCGGCTTACGGCATATCAAAGTGCAACAAGACGTTGTTGAACTGGGACTCGAGGTGGCAAGACATTTGACCAACAAGGTCCTCGTCCTCATATTCTTTTCGTCTGAAGCAAGCATCCATATAGCAATAGTGTTCTCCCTAGCTCACCTGTGAACATTTATTGATGATTGTCACATCATCTTGCAATCTGCGGGCAATCATTTGTGAGTCTGGTCCATTCGTTGTCCACGTTTCTTGTTATAGATAGGTTCGGATACATGTGAAGCTCTACTACTGTTCTCTTATTTCCGGCCTCGCTTCACTTTGACCGATGACAGAGCGCAGGGGTGCCCAGTCGTCTGAGTCGGACGCCAAAAGATCTCCCGCGGACCAGGGGCATTTCCTAGGGCGCTGCCTACAGTATTAATGATTTCGCTAGCCAGCCTAGGACACGGTCTGCAGGACAAAGGCCTATGACTAGCAGAAGAAGCAAGAGGGGATGATTTCAAGCTCTTGATACAGCCTACAGCAGAATAGTGCATGGTTGATTGATGAAGAGCGAGCATAGCTAACTTGAGGATTAGAAACCTACCAATCAAACACTTCATCTTGAGGATCAACTCCCACGTAAGTAATTCCCACCTCTCCATGTTGCAGATGCAAACAGATAAGAGAGAATCAAAACAGCCTCACTACTATCCATCGTCTGTTTATTTGTTGTCATCTTACTGCGAAGATACCAATCTCCACAGCTAATGACTGCACCTGCCTTTGCATTCCATTGAGTTTGTTGTTGTAAGATTGATATTACATCCAGCTTAGAGACAACCGACAGTGAGTTGCTGACGAATTATGAATTCCATAGATATAACGCCACTTCTTCTAACGGCTCACTCCATCAAAAAAGAAACGTGAATAAAACACGTTTCCAAAACGAGAAGGTTGCCCTCTTTTCTACCTAGCAATACCATCTCAGAATAAGTGACTAGGAGTTGGCTACTTAGTACTGTGGCCTAAGATCCATAGCTAGTAGGTTGGTAGCTGACTGAGCTTTCACTCTCGTACATCCAGGCAACTAACATACTGTCGCGTTCCTAAATTTACTAAACTACTTGTGATTCCAGAAAGTTCCCATTTTAATACTCCACCATCATTATCCTCTCTTGTGCCTCAGCCTCTGCAGCTGGCGTCCCAACAAGGTGTTTTCAAGGGTCTTACTCCCAGTATTAGAGAACATTTGACCCCATCCCTCGAGAATTTCATATTAATCTTACAACACATATTTGATCTAGAGGTAGTCTGCAATATCCGAGGGAGAAAAAACTCATTCTCTCTTCGCCTTGATGGTACAGTAAGAGCTACATGCAGTACAGTACACAAATTGCATCCTACAGCACAGCACAGCAAAACCTCGGAAGGGGATCCTTTTTCGCCCTATCTACCCACCTCACTGGTAACAGTACTCCACAAAGGTTAGTAGATCGCTCCTTCTGCACAGACCCTTGACCTCTATTTTCCTGTCTGCATTGCGCGTGCTCAGTGGCGCACCCCACAAGCTCTACCTACTAACTTGACGATTCGAGGTTGTGAACTTCTCGGCATCAAAGTGGTTCGGTCATCGAAGGAACACAGACTCGATAACCTGACTCGAGGATACCGTCAGTCTAAGCCAGTGTGATCCTAACCCTAGTCAGTTAGAGCTCAGAGACGCTGGGAAAACTGAGCTAAGGTAACTTCCATGACCCTGCAAGCTTAATGAGGCGAGAAATACTGACTTGTGACCCTAGCAGGTACATCGTTGTTACATGGTACTTAGACCAGACCGCCAGGACCCGGCAGGATAGTAGCTTCACCATCCACTTGTGCTACACTACCCCTCGCCGCCGCTCGCCCCTCCATCTCCTTCGGCTCTCCCCCGCGACAGCGATAGCAACAGCGACATACAATACGCCGCCCTACCCTGCCCTGCCCTGTAACCATACCTATGGGACGGGACTTGTCACCGTACCTTACCTCGTTCTACAACTTAGTAGATTACTGCATCAACACTGCTGCATCAATCTCTTTTCCCGTCCTCGCCGTCAATTGGGTTGCGTTCCGGTACATACATATATACCTTATCCCCGTGGTCTACGCGCCAAAGTGCTGGACAGTAGGTATCCAATAATCGCCTCCCCTTGGCACCCACGTATCACCGCCAACTCGAACGAATCCTTGCGACCAATCGAAAAACCCTTCATCTTCTACTCAACTCTTCTCGCCAGTCGTTCTCTTTTCTTCTCAGATTTCCTCTTAGTCGTGTCGGCGTCGGATTCGGTCTCGATATTCCAGTCTTGCGGCTGCATCATACACAATGCCTCACTCACAGCATGGCGAAGATGCCTCCGCAACAGCGGCCGGCTCCCAAATACCGGTGACACTTGTCGCCGACTCTCTTGAGAAGCCCTCACTTGACGATCGCGATTACCGAGTTGTCCGACTCGACAATGAGCTCGAGGCTCTTTTGGTGCACGATCCCGAGACCGACAAGGCCAGTGCTGCCCTTGACGTCAACGTGGGAAATTTCAGTGATGAATCTGATATTCCTGGTATGGCCCATGCGGTCGAGCATGTAAGCAAATCTTCACCAGATGTTCTATATAGACAATTGGCTAATCTTCTTCCTTGTTGCAGCTTCTTTTCATGGGGACAAAGAAGTTCCCCATTGAGAACGAATATGGTCAATATCTCTCCGCCAATTCAGGAAGCTCCAACGCTTACACCGGACCAACCTCGACGAACTACTTCTTCGATATTTCTGCCAAGCCAGACAACGACCAGGATCCTTCAGACACAAACCCGTCCCCGCTGCGTGAAGCTCTAGATCGGTTTGCCCAGTTCTTCATCGAGCCACTCTTTCTTCCCGAGACCCTCGACCGAGAGCTGAAGGCTGTTGACTCGGAGAACAAGAAGAATCTTCAGAATGACACATGGAGACTGCATCAGCTTGAAAAGTCTCTATCCAACCCCAACCACCCCTTCTGTCATTTCTCGACCGGTAATTTTGAGGTTTTGAAGACCCTTCCTGAGGCACGTGGAATTAATGTCAGGGACAAATTCATCGAGTTCCATGCCAAACACTATTCGGCCAACCGCATGAAGCTGGTTGTTCTCGGGAGAGAGCCTCTTGATGTGCTTCAGAAATGGGTTGCAGAGCTTTTCTCTCCAGTCGTCAACAAGAAACTCCCTCCGAACAGATGGCCCGGCGAGCTTCCATTTCGGGAGTCTGACTTGGGAATGCAATGCTTTGCAAAGCCAGTTATGGACTCGAGAGAGCTAAACCTGTATTTCCCCTTCATCGACGAGGAGTTCATGTTCGCCACTCAACCCAGTCGTTATATCAGCCATCTTATCGGACATGAGGGACCTGGAAGTATCATGTCATATATCAAGTCCAAGGGCTGGGCAAATGGCCTGAGTGCAGGTGCTTATCCCGTATGCCCTGGTACTCCTGGCATTTTCGATGTGCAAGTCCGTTTGACGGAAGAGGTAAGAAAGCCATAATTGTACAACAGCAAACACTGACGCCGCATTACAGGGTCTCAAGAACTACCATGAGATTGTCAAGATTTTCTTTCAGTACGTTACTTTGCTACGAGAAAACCCTCCCCAGGAGTGGATCTTCCAGGAGCAAAAGGGGATGGCAGATGTCGACTTCAAGTTTAAGCAAAAGACACCCGCCAGTCGTTTCACTAGTCGCATTAGTTCTGTCATGCAAAAGCCTCTTCCACGAGAGTGGTTGCTCAGTGGCCATAGCCGACTCCGAGAATTCGCCCCTGATCAGATCGAAAAGGCGCTCTCTACGATTCGCCCGGACAATTTCCGTATGGTCATCGTGTCACGAAATCATCCAGGTGACTGGGACCAGAAAGAGAAGTGGTACGGAACTGAATACCGCCACGAGAAGATCCCCGATGATCTTATGGAGGAAATCAAGAAGGCCGCCGCAGTTTCCCCGAAAGAGCGCCTATCAGCTCTTCATCTACCGCACAAGAATCAGTTCATCCCTAACAAGCTCGAGGTCGAGAAGAAGGAGGTAGATGAGCCTGCACTGAACCCGCGGGTACTACGCAACGATAGCATTGCCAGGACATGGTGGAAGAAGGACGACACTTTCTGGGTTCCTCGTGCAAACGTGATAGTGAGCTTGAAGACACCCCTTATCTATGCTTCCGCGGAAAACAATGTCAAGGCCCGCCTGTTCTCAGATCTGGTTCGCGATGCGCTCGAGGAATACTCCTACGACGCGGAATTGGCTGGTTTGCAGTACAACGTCAGTCTTGACTCGCGGGGTTTGTTCTTGGACGTCAGTGGCTATAACGACAAGCTTCCTGTGCTCTTGGAACAGGTTGTAACAACAATGCGAGACCTTGATATCAAGGAAGATCGCTTCGAGATTGTCAGGGAGCGACTGGTCAGGGGATACAACAACTGGCAGCTTCAATCATCCTACCATCAGGTCGGCGATTACACCAACTGGCTCAACGCGCCTGAACGAGACTTCATAGTAGAAGAGCTTGCAGACGAGTTGCCGAGTGTCACATTGGAAGGTGTCAGATTGTTCCAAAAACAAATGTTGAGCCAAGTGTTTATTGAGGTGTACGTGCATGGTAACATGTACAAGGAGGATGCCCTAAAGGCAACCGATATGGTCGAATCTATCCTGAAGCCTCGAATGTTGCCCAGGGCTCAGTGGCCTATCTTGCGGTCTCTTATCTTAACTGAGGGCTCGAACCACGTCTTCAGGAAGACCCTTAAGGATCCGGCGAACGTCAACCATTGCGTTGAGACTTGGTTCTATGTCGGTAGTCGCGAAGACCGTGAGATTCGTACCAAGACTTTGCTGCTGGACCAGATGCTTCATGAGCCTGCTTTTGATCAACTGAGAACCAAAGAGCAGCTGGGCTACATCGTCTTTAGCGGACCCAGGGCTTTCTCGACAACATATGGTTTCCGCTTCCTTATTCAGAGCGAGATGACACCAGAGTTCCTCGACGCCCGTATCGAGGCGTTCCTTATGAGATACGCAGACACTTTGGAAAAGATGAGTGAGACGGAGTTTGAAGGTCATAAGCGAAGCTTGGTTGTCAGGCGGTTGGAGAAGCTTCGGAATCTCGATCAGGAGTCCACCCGTCACTGGTCTCAAATTACAAACGAATACTATGATTTCGAGCTGGGTAAGCCAAGAAGAAAAAAATCAATCCCACTAACTTCAAAACGACTAACTATTGATAGCCCAACGCGATGCTGCACAAATCAAGCTGCTGACCAAGCCTGAGGTCGTGGAGTTTTACAACAAGCATCTCAACCCAACCTCCACTCGTCGAGCCCGTTTGTCCATCCACTTGCAAGCCCAAGGTAAGGCCGAGGGCGTTGACAAGCGACAAGAGGAGGCCCAGAAGAAGGCGGATGAGGAACCATCTGCTGGAGATGCTGTCGCGACTGCTCAAGAGGTTACAGATGTCAGGCTTTACAAGGCCGGTCTCACTGCCAGTTCCGGCGCGAGACCTGTCAAGGATATCAGCGAGTACGAGGATACAGATGCCAAGCTGTAAGAGTCATTGTTGCCTTGGGCTTTCCTAGGATAGCTGGAGTGCACCGGGGAAATCGGTCTTGGGGAACGTGAGACATGATAACTTGGTCACATTATGCCAGTTTAGCCCGGCATATGCGCTACTTTATTTTTGGTACTCTCAGCCCCGAAAGACAATTTCTCCACCACCCAGTAGGAGTGTTCCTGGAAGGCGTGTTGGTGAGTGCATCTTGTATAGAGGCGCCATATACCGATCTTCTATGTAAGGAAGAAGTCATGGCGGGGATCAAACATGGCCTTGGGTATTTGTTTGTTTTAGCTCGTTTTAGCGAGTTGGGTTTGTACTTTGATATCCATGGAGAGATCCTCGATTAGCGTGGCAGCATGTATATAGCAGCTAGAATAGGAATAAATGATGAGAGACAAAAGAAAAGAAACTGAGTGATTTATAGGGAGTACAAAAAGGGTACAGGCAAAGACCCAGGAACCTAAGCAAATTTTGAGGCGAGGTCTCTTAGTATGGAGGGACATCCATGGCTGCTTTATAATTCTTTGGCGAGATGCTACCCTGGAGCCATGCTGGGTGTTCAATAAACAACATTGAAAGTAGTTTCACTGTTACCCCAAACTCCAAAAGCAAGTTTCCGTCAGGGGATCTGGGTACACTCAGATTGTGGAACCGCTGATCAAAAGAGTGAACAGTAGAAGAAGAAGTATTTGAGCGTAATTCAAGTAGATGATAATATCAAAGGTTTGTAGGTGTCTGTAGACAACCCTCACATTTCTCTTACAACAGCAAGACGAACGAACATATACACCACTACTGGATCTAAGAAACGTAAGCAGTGCTTTCAACGTCTGTGCCAAATCATATCATCGGGTGAAGAAGAAGTTTGTCTGCATTCTTCCAGAAGGATCCGATGTGATGGAGACTCCTGCAGGTCAAGGTCAGTACCAAGGTAAAGGTTGCCAAGTCTAAGGCACTGACCGTTGATAGGACCCAGCTAAACCCTGTTTGGCGGGCAACTGAAAGAAGACAAACGATTCATGGATTGGGGGGCTTGGACTTGGATTTGCTTACCGCCAACCTACAGCAAGCAAGCATGGATGGAACAAAGCAACTGGACATTTCTTTGTTTTATCGAAACAGCTGGTTAAAGAATTTCTTTTGCGGCGATTCCGCCCAAGCTTGGATGGTAGAAGTAAGTACAGATGACAAGACACTGCATGTTGGAGTGAATTCACACCCATTCGCAACAAGCAATCGAGGCACTCTTAGGTAGTAGGTATCCATCCATCGTCATCGGGGATATATTTTTAAGTACCGCCATCGCATCAGCCCGCTAATCAGTCCCGTACCATGCCTATTCAGCTCTTCTCTCATCACCTGTCACTGCCTATCTCACTCTCCATACCTCAGACTGATTTAATCCTTACCAATGGAGCTAAAGTTACCTAGTAGCCCTGGTAAAATATAGACCAAGGTGCTTCTAACCGGGCACATTGACCCCGGGCATGCCCCACACCGTCATTCTCAGCGGTCACAGCCCAGCCCCAAGGCCACTGAAACTTCCTGCTGTGATCCATCATAAAAAATATAACTTGAGAGCCGGCTAACTCCCCCCCCGCCTTCTACTCGCCAGTGAAAAAAATATATTTCTTTCCTCAAACTTAACTGGACTAGACGGCCGGCTTTGTTGGTCCCTATCTCAGATCGAGTAAATGCAACATAACTCTTGTTGTTACTCGTACACTCGCTACGAACGGTCTTTGTTAATCAGCTCCCCTCCGGTTTCTGCCCCCCTCCGTAACCTTCACCGTCAAGGGCACAGACAAGGGCAAGAGCAAGAGCAAGAACAAGAACAAAGACGAAGACGTCCGGTCTTCCCTCTCCACCCATCTAGTTCAAGCACCCCGAGCTGCTCGAGCAGCTCGCCTTCAAGACGTCGTCCTCAAAGAAGAGAAAGCTCTTGCGAAAGGACGAGCCCGTAGATTCCATCGACTCGCCGTCGCCCCCTCCTGACTCGGTCCTACCCTCTTGCGAAGTCGACGACGATCCCGCCTTCTCCTTCTCCGCTGACTCTCAACCCGCCTCGAGCCTCCCGCCGCGTCTCCAGACTCAGAATACCTCTTTTGCCTCGGCCGACTACGCTTCCTCAGCTGCTTCAAGCCCTTGTGCCTCTGCCTACGCCGACCTCTCCATCGAAAGTGACCGTGGCGGCGACGAGACTGGCTCGGCCCGAACCTTGGCCAGAAGCCAGTCTCCCTTGCGTCTTTCTCACCGAGTCATCATGAATGGCGATTCTGACCTACCCCACCGCTCCTCATCGCCTTTGAAACGACGTGCCTCAAGTATGGATCCCGAGAATGAAGCGGATAAGGTCCGTGATGTCGATATGGGTTCATCGCAGGTCAAAGAGTCTGTAGAGGGTCCATCTCAACCACCCGTAGACACCCTGCCGCGTGCTATGAGTGTTGATGCGCCTGAGCCTAATGCGCCTTTGGCCGGCAATGTCCCTTCCTCTCAACGTAAGGCCCATGGACTGTTCCGTTACAAGGCGAAGGAAACCCAGCTAACTCCAATATCACAGCGATTCCTTCCCTGCAAGAACAAATCAAGATCATTGAGACTCTTCTGAAGGCATTTCAGGACTCGCAGCCAAATGAAGGGGACAAGGCTTATCTTGTGTCGAATACTTGGGTTCAGAGAGCGCTTGCGCTGCGCGTCGACTCGAAAGATGTCAAGGAGAGCGATTCTGCATCTGGCCCCCTTGGACCTGTAGACAACTCGGACATCATTGAAGAAGTCATCAAAGAGCCTACTGGCAAAGAGTTTATCCGTCTCAGAGAAGGAACTAACGAGAATGAGTTCACACTCTTCCCCGAGGATGCTTGGAAAATGGTTGTAGATTGGTATGGTGTCAAGGATGGCCAAGAAGCTATTGTCCGAACTGCTATCAACACAGCCGAAGTTGGTGATGAGCCAGTCATTCAATTCGAGTTTCACCCTCCGATTTTCACTATTCATCGCTTGTGGTCAACTCTCAGTCCACTACCCATTGAACAGTCACTCAAAGCCAAGAACCCTCCTCCTTACAGATTCGCGAGAAGCCGCAAATACCATGCTCAGACCTTCATCAAAGAGTTAAAGACGGCCACCGGTGTTCCCATGGATCGCAAAATCCGCCTGTTCACTGTTCCTGAGGTCCAACAGACTACCGGGCCTTCAGAACCGTCCCGGGCCCTCACCCCCCCAGACTCCCCGGGCCGAGGTGAAGGGAGTGGTAATCCTGCGGAATCCTGGTCGAAACTTCTCCTCGATATTGCTTCATTCGAGCAGGTCCGCGAGACCAAGGTGCAGAGCACCCTGGAAGATCACACTGTCAACCCAAATTTCAATGGTTCATCAGCATTGTCTATATTTGATTTGGTCACTGACCAAACTCTTGTTATCGATGAAGCCATTGAAAAGGGATCGTGGGTCAGCACTTACACCGGCAAGAGCCCACCAAATGGACTAGCCATTCCCACGAGAAGCGGCGTGGCGTCCTCCAACGCAAGTGGTCGAAGTAGTCCAGCTCCTGGTGGCGCGTTAACGAGAGGTCGTGCTGGAAGGAAGTCCGGTCGCAATATCGGTGTTGTTGGCCTGTCAAATTTAGGAAATACCTGTTATATGAACTCGGCCCTCCAGTGCGTTCGGAGCGTTGAAGAGCTGACGAAGTACTTCCTGACTGACGAGTTTGTTGATGAGGTCAACAAGACCAACCCTCTGGGATACAACGGCAAGGTCGCCACAACGTACGGGCATTTGCTCAAGGATATATATTCGGAGAGCAGGGGTTCAGTAACCCCGCGAGAGTTTAAGAATACCATTGGTCGCTGCCGGACAACCTTCGCAGGCTACGGCCAACAGGACTCCCAGGAGTTCCTCGGCTTTTTGCTGGATGCTCTCCAAGAAGATCTAAGCCGTGTCAAGAAGAAGCCCTACATTGAGAAGCCTGACTCGACCGACGACATGATCAACAACCCAGAAGCTATAAAGGAAATGGCAGATAAGGTGTGGGATATCACTCGACGCCGAGACGATTCTGTCATTGCCGACCTCTTCACCGGTTTGTATAAATCAACACTCAAGTGCCCCGAATGTGGCAAGATCAGCATCACCTTTGACCCTTTCAACAACCTGACCCTTCCCATACCGGTTGAAGACGTTTGGACGGCCAAGATCAAATTTCTACCCCTCAACGACATTCCCGTTCTGATTGAGGTTGAACTCCCCAAGCACAGCGCGATCGAGCAACTCAAACAGTTCCTCTCTGCCAGGACGGGTATTCCCCCAGAAAGGTTGATAGGAGGAGAAGAGTATAAGGACAGGTTCTTCAAAATATACGAAAACTCTCAAGACGTGAGCGAAGAAATCGCCAGGAACGATCTTGCCACTTTCCATGAATTGGATGCTGTTCCTACCAACTGGCCACACAAGGCCAAGAAGCCTCGCTCAATGTTAGACGTGGACACTCCTCTCGAGACCGAGAATTGGGATGATCCGAGATATGAGCAGATGGTAGTACCTGTGTTCCATCGCGTTCCATCAAGTTATGCACGTGGTCGAGATGGCATGGCTCCTCCCAGCTTCATTTGCTTCACAAAGGAAGAAGCTTCTGATATTGACCTCATCCGACGTAAAGTCTTGGAAAAGGTTGCTACTTTCTCAACCTGGTCTAAGCTAAGAGGCGGTTTTGAGGAAAACTCGGATAACGCTGACGGGGAGGTCATCATTTCTGCCTCGGATGCCGACTCATCGGGCGACAGTAAGGTTATCGCCAACTCAGTTGAAGGCGAGGACGACATCGTAGATGTCCACATGAAGGACGACAGCAACCCACTTCCCCAGCAACCTCAAATCTTGAAGCGATTCAACACAACCCGACCGAACTTCATCAAACCAGATAGCATCCTAGATCCTGAGCTTGAGGATCTTTTCGAACTTTGCTACTTCACCGACAAATCCTACGCTGGCCATGTGCCGACAGGCTGGTCTCATGTTGATCAGCACCAGGCTTTGCCCAAGTTGGCGGACCGAATTCCTCAATCTGCGCCCGACGATGAAGATGCTGGTAGTCGCGATGATGATAGCAGCACACCTTCAGCTAATGAGGATGCGAGCAGCAATGATGAGAGTATCAAGGCCGAGGCACCACATACTCAAATGCTAGACGCATCCAGTGAGGAGGAGGCTCAGGAAACTCCACGAGTAAGTTTTATATCCCCCCGATTCCTTAGTGATATCTCCGCTCATACAGCATAGTCATTCAATGGTCGGCCTTCCAAGATTGGACCCAAGGGACGGCGCAATAAGATGAAGACCCAAAAGTATGGCAAGAAGGCCAACAAGCGACGAGAGCGCGTTCCGAACAAGAAGAACAAGGTGGCTTCCGTTAAACCTCAGCCTCAACCTCCTGCAGTCGCTGACGGTGGTCCTCTTATCCGTCTTGGTGAGGGTCTTGTCGTAGACTGGAATGAAGACACCTTTGATAAGGTCTTTGGTGGCTCTTCAAAGATCTCCGACGAGAAAGGGGCTCCTACTTACCAGGTACCCGAGACACTTAATGATAAGGCATTAAAGATTGTCCAAAGAAGAAGACAGCATCGCCGTACCCGAGGCATTACCTTAGAGGAGTGCTTGGACGAGTTTGAGAGGGCCGAGGTTCTCTCCGAACAAGATATGTGGTACTGCCCCCGTTGCAAAGAGCATCGACGCGCCAGCAAAAAGTTCGATCTGTGGAAGTCACCAGATATTCTTGTGGCCCATCTCAAGCGATTTAGCAGCTCTGGCTACCGCCGAGATAAGCTGGATGTCATGGTTGACTTCCCCATCGAGGGACTTGACCTTACTTCCAGAGTCATCCAGAAGGAAGATGGAAAGGTTGAGATTTATGACTTGATTGCCGTGGATGACCATTATGGAGGTCTTGGAGGAGGTCATTATACTGCCTACGCCAAGAATTTTGTCGATGGGCGGTGGTACAATTACAATGGTGAGTGATTATTTTTGTGCTTCTGTTGCAGAGCGAAGACTAACAGAATAACAGATTCGTCAGCATCCCCAGTGTCCGACCCGTCATCATGCATCACATCAGCTGCGTATCTCCTCTTCTATCGTCGCCGCTCGAGCACCCCTTTGGGCGGGTCGCGGTTCGGAGTCATCTCTGAGAAGTACAAGAACAGCGAAGAGAATTCCGAAGAGGAAGACAGCGAAGCGGGGGAAGGTCAGCGTCTCGGCGAGGGTTCCTCCCTGGTTGGGTTGTCGAGCGCTGGGATCGGAGCCGCAGCAACTCGCCGTCCGGCCGGCCATGGTTCGGATAGGATCACCGTTACTTCTTTAGCTGGCCCCGACGACGACGATGACGATGACGATGAAGGTCTCCCTCCTTATGGGGGCGTCGACGACGAAGGCGTGGATGCCAAAGATGGATACCAACAGCTAGAGAACGGCCAGCCACTGAACCTTGCTCAGAGTTGGAGTTTTGGAGCCATAGGTGATAGCGCTGCTGAGGACTCTACAGGCGCAGATATTGGCTCTGATGATGTGCAGCTGGACTCATCAGCTGACGAGCGTGGGTTTGGTCAACCCGACGAACCCGATATGCTCATGATGGGTGATGTTATGGATGTGGACCATGAACCTGCAGCCTCCCACAAAGCAACTTTCGCAGATATTCAGAATGCAGCGGCTGATCACAAGGCGGTGATCGACGTACCAACTGCAGCAGGTAGCGATCGAGATTCGAACGAAGTGGCTGAGATTCACCTAAAAAGCGAGGAAGGAACCAAGACCGAGTAGGACGGCTATCCCAAGTCGAACAACAAGCAGCTCAGGGTCATAATGACATATGGCAGTCGATACTGTCGAACCACGAGAAAATGGCTACATGAGAATGAGATGATGACCCGGTACAAACCAACAGATGCAGGACATGCCGAGAGAGTTGTGGATAGAAAGAGACGGCGTGTGGAATAGATGGTACATAACTACTATCCCTGTGCGTCTTGCACTGGACTGAAGGGTAGAGAACGGCGTTTGGTATGATTATGTTTGCATCAAGCATATTTAGTTGAACGCACCTTAGAAGGTCGTGGAAACACCCATATAAGAGTAGTTCAAGAAACGGAGCAGCAAATCAATTGATAGTTCATGTCAAGGAGACTAGATTTCTCAACTGCTAATACTACGTGATACGTTGCCCCTTCGATTAGACGTCCCGTGAGGGACTGCTCAAAAGGATGGCATAGACCCAAGACCAAACATACATGTAGAGCCTTTGTTTGATATGATCATCGTGAAGTCTGAACCCGCAAGTCTTTGGCAAGAATTCACAATCTGGAATATGGATTGCATGGCCTTCACAAACAGCAACCATACTATAACTATCTCCAATTCGTAGTTTTAACATATATCACGCAAGGCTAGAGCGATATCGCCATCTCCACGTCGCAACTCGGATGACATGGTTTCCCCGGGTTAAGACCCTTCCTTCAACAATCAAGAGCACCCACTTACACGGAACACATGGGTCATTCATGTATAGAAAATAACGAGATTCAGGGAACGGTCTGTATAAAAACAAGCCCCACATCCCCAGAAAACATCTTGATGAAAGGCCATTGCGGTCGAAGAGTGTTCACAGATTGAGATTAGTAGATAAGTAGTTGCCAACGTACTATATCTCCATGTTGATAACAGGAGCGCTACAGTCTTATAGTAGTAATGTGGTATACATGGAAAAATCCAAAAGACATCTTTTAGCTTAGGGCCTCGTGATAATCGAGTAGCTTTCTGATGACTCTGGAGAAGCTGGTTGATATTATCTCCCGCTCCACTTAAACGGGCTGTAATCAAGAACAAGTAAGCGGCCGCTGGATTGAGGGCGTTCTACAGCGATGGGATCTTACTTACCAAGCATCGATATCTATAACAAATAGCTAAGGTATACAGACGAGATTGAGTGACAGCACAGTGAAGGTGCATCCCGCAGTTCTCGAATGACTTTTCTTGTGTCGGTTCAACTACCAACCACCACTCCAGAGCCCGAGTCAAACCTAAACCAACAAGGGCTATTCCCTAGACAAAACAAAGAATATTCAGAATCCACAGGGATTATGTTGAAGAATGGTGTCAGCGTACCAACAAGACCGAGAGCCAGCAGCCAGCAGCCAGCAGCTCGGATAGCCCGTTACGGCAAGAAGAGAGCCGTGGTGCCTGTTTCTATTGTCAACGACACAGGCACAAACGAATCGAATCACTTAACAACGAAATTTCATCGTTGCCGGTCCGGTTCGGCGGGGATCCGCTATGGAGAGGTTCGCGGGGCTGGCGGAGCCTCTGTAGTGTCTGTCAGCGAACCCAGCACCGGAGACATGGCCAATATGGGCCAAAATCGTTCTTTAGCCGACAAAAGTTCAGGCTAGGGGATTGATCAAGAAAGCTTCAGGGGTCGACATAAAATCAGCTTGGGCACGCATACTCGCTGAAGGACAAGCAGATAATTCAGTAGCGAACAGACTCTAGCGTCTGTACATCACAGGCTATGGAGTGCTCTTAAAGTCCAGATGATCAGGCTAACAGGCACAGGTTGCGTACCTCGGTTCAAGGGGTTCCTGAGGTGGAGTTGGTTTGTGGATGAGAGCATCTTTTTTCATCTTGAGGCTCGAAGTGGGTCTTGGGAGTAGCAGCAATTCTAGCCCTTGGGGGCTGCAGGCTTTCGGGTCCTGGCGTCATGGCTTTGACATTTCAAGATGTTGAGCAGCTAGGGCATACACGAGTTCTTGTTGTGGTCCACTGCCGGTATGGAAAGGCTGGAGAGAGAGCATGCGCATGGCACAAAATCGATCAAGGTTGACTTCCCCATCATTCCCCAGAACAAGTGGTAGACTGCCTGGAAGCCACTTGGTTCGATAGAGCCCTGTAGCACTTTGCCATTTTCGGCACAGCTAACCAGGCCAGAAAGCTTGTGTGAGTGTTTTGTGTCAGCTACAGTAGTTAGGACCTCGCTTCTGAGGGAAAGCGAGCCAGAGAAGTCGGGGGTTGTGGGGTATCCTTGTATGAATTCGAGAAGAGCACAAAGACAAGACGAAGCTGTTTTCATGCTCTGTTTTGCATCGCCATGACTTTCAGTGACCACTGGCAGTCATCCTATACCCAAAACGTAGCTCTTGCGTACCTCGTCCCTTGGTAGGCTTATTTTAGAGGCGGGGAGGGTTTGAGCCGGTGTAGTGCGGGGCAGCGAAACCTATGTCCTATGGTGAATGCGAATAGCAATGGAATGGAGCAATGAGAAGGGAATGAACAAGCAAGACAAGAGCGTTCAAAAGAATGAAGGCGGACGAGGCTGGCGTCGAAAGGACGGTTGACGACCATAGAGAAGTAAAGTCTTGGCGTCCGGCCACAGGATTCGAGTCTCGAGCTCTCTCAGCCAGCTGCAGGTGACACCTTCAAACAATGAAGTTGAAGTTGGCGAGGCTGAGCGTGTCGGTTTATATGGAAGGTTGTATTCGCTTTCGGTCTCTTTTTAGATCTACATCGTGGGTTAATACTGCTGTTGCAATTGCTGTTGCAGATGAGCAGATTTCATGTAATGCAAGTAAGTACGGATGCCTAGATGCACGGAATGACATCCCCGGTTCGTACCTACCTTACTCTGCTTAGGCTATTTACCCGCCTGCCTGCCTGCCTCTTACTACCTATCTGGCTTAGGAAAGTCCCCAGCTCACAACAGGTACTGCATCTGGGGAAGGAGATAGTTAGTAGGCACACGGCACTTTCCTGAAGTCGAAAAGTGATTCCTACGCAGGTGCAAGGCCAACAAACTTCCATCTCGGCTACTACGTGGATATGATATCGAGGTACCTGGATAAAGGCAGTCACAATAGAGGGCAATGCCTCCAGAGTTACGGCAACTATCTACCTAAGGTAAGGGGCATTTATATTCTCCGCTAATCGGGCTACTCCAAAGCTGAGATATGACACTGTACTGTACTGATCAGACCTGTAACTGTGTGGGAATTCTGACGGTTCTCGTTCGCAAAAGACTTTGACTATACAGGCCAGCTAAGAAAGCTAAAAACTTTGATTGGACAGTATACGAGACTCAGAGTATGACGAAACGTGAGAACACAAGCGGTTGTTGACGTGATTGTGCTTGTGCATGTCATTCTTCGAACTCTGCAACGAACCCTGTCAGCTTTGACGTTATACACACAAGAGAGGGAAAGAGCTCGATACACAGAGTAATTGATTATCTACACGTGGTTCCAGGGAGAGCACTGTGTGAATCAGACTGTGCTTCCTTCGAGAATGATTCTTGGTTCCCCTTTGGACTGCAGCCTCCCATGCACCCCTGCTGAGTTATTGTGGAGACAATTCTCGAAGACGGCCAGAACAACTGCAGATACGACGTAATTGGCTGTTGCAGCACAGAGTTCTGATCCCGGTCGACTTAGACGTGTGGAGCATCAAGTGGGCTTAGGTGCCTAGGTGCCTCGCCTGCTCGCCTCTTTTGTAAGTCTGCGTCTGTTCCCCTGCTTTGACGACGATCCACGAAAATGGCTGGATGTCTCCAACCTCACCCACGATGCTGCTTCCTTGATGCAGGCGGCACAGCAGCGTACAGTAACCCTATGATGACCACGCTCTACGTTACTGCTCATACTTATGGATAAAAAACCTGATGATGTTGTCGTGTCGCTTGCTGACTAGTAGCCTCTCGCCACTACGAATCACTAAATTGAGGCCTCAAAATCATATGTCATTATTTTTACCAGGCTTGTTCCAACATTTCTACAAAGTCTCTTTACACGTTTTCTTGTCTGTGGCAGTACAGTACTGTACAGCAGCGATCAGTGGGCACATGGCTTTATCATCCAATACTCTGACTAACTCATTGGTCTGGCTTGTGTATGCGTGTCATCTTTTGTTCTAGAATTGTCGTTTTCTGTTGCAGGTACCTCGTTGCAGATTGCTTCTGCCACCTGAAGCTGCGTCATTAATCCATGTTTATGATACCTCCCTACCTATTGTATTGTACTGTAGTGCGCATCTTATGTTAGTAGGTAGTTTCAGCTGAGCTTACCATAAGGCACAAGCAATGGAAGAAGTCTGAATCTGTTCTTTGTTGTTGTGTACGGTGCGGAGCATTCAATTTCCACTTGCTTCTGTTCTTGTGATTGTTGTTTTTGCTTCTTTTTCTCATTGTGTAAATATTACATCCAGACATAGGGAGCCCTTTGTTACCTTGACCACCCCTGGCAGGGGGAAAGAGACCTGTAAAGTCCCCTAAAAGATACATAGTCTCAGGGTCGCCTTAGTTGATGGCTGTTTGCTTGAGGGGCGGGTTCTTTAGAGACAGGCTGGGCTTTCCCTCTCTTTTCCCTAGCTCTGAGACCTTCTTCTTGTTCACTTTCTTGTCCCAGGCTCTGTCTCGCACCTTGTTAGCTTGTACCAATTCAATTTCTACTCTCCAGATGCATACAATTCTGACTCGCTATACAAAGGTTCATTCTTCCAAGGTAGATCCGACAGTATTTCCTGCGGCCTGCACGGCAAGTCGTTCCACTAAGGCAGTTGTCAGTGATTGAGCAACTCGACTGCCGGCGCCAGGCTTGGTTCCCGCCTCTGCTTGGTTGTCTTTCCTCTTGGCCTCGCCTTGTTGGTTCCTCTTTTTTTTTCTTTCTTTCCCTTCCCTCGCTCTCGCCGTCACACTCCACATTCGAGTTCGATCTACGGACAAAGGTTAGAAATCTGCTGTGCTGCGTCACAGTTCAGTCCAATCGCGTTGCGTTTTGGTCAAGTTCTCCCATGATCAAATCAAGCTGCGACAACATCACATACCCAGGTAGGTAGGTAGAATTATACAGGCTCTTAGTACTATCTTCCTTATCTTACCGACCCCTGTAGTGGAAGACTTCCAAGCTCCTCCTCTGTTCTTTATTGTTACGTCGCACCATTATCCCGTCCGTACACTGCGCTGTGCCATACCTTACCTTACTGCATCGCGCTGCTATACGCTAGGTAGTACCTACCTTCAGTACTGTACACTGCAATCGGTTCTCCTCCGCTTGCAGCCACCGGCGCAGATCTTCTCCTTCCTCCCCCGGACCCGGTTACCGCGACTGTCGGTGCCCTTGCCCTGCCTTTGGGTCTTCCCTTATCCTTCCCTAGTCCTTCCATTCCCCGACTAGGGTCAGACACCTTTTGCGTGCCGCTAAGCAGCTCTCGTCCTGCAGTACAGTGCAGTAGGCAGGTAGTACCTGGGCTTGAGCCAAGGAAAATGCTGTAAGCTAAAGCCCGGGCTGATACCTTCACATCATCGCCCTGACACCATCCATTGTTCGATCCCACCTACCTTGCCCAGCGCACGCGTGCTCCAGGCCGTTCTGCCCACTAACGTACCTACCTAACTTCCATCACTCACTGCTGCTGCTATTGTTACCTTGCTGAGGTGCTGTCGCTATTGCCATTGTCGTCTTGTGCGTACCTACCTGCGTCCTTGTCAATTCCATTCATCCAACCTTCACTTCAACCACGTCCCTGCCTTATCTCTTTTTTCTTCTTCTTTTCATCCATCCCCTGGTCATTCCTTGGTGGCCCTCTCCATCCTAGTCCAATCCGAATTTGGATCTGGAGTCTTCTTATCCCCTCCATTTACAATCCATCGCGTTTCCTCCTCCTGCGCCTTCATTTTTCAAATCCCTCTCTTGTTCCCTTCGGACCTTTCGCCTTCACATACATCTCTCGCGGCGCTGCTCCCCGACGCACCAGCTAATATCCGCTCCTCGCCCCTCAGCTTCGATTGGATTTTCGAATTGTACGAACCCTGTCGCCTACCGACAGCTCCCGCCACCGCGACGCCAGTTTGACAGCCCGTCCGACCCTACCAGGCGGAAACAATCATTTGGCTGTACCACCGAACTAGGTTGATTGAATCAACACGACTCGACAAACGTCGCATACGTCCACCCAGAGCCGACTCGAAATCCGGGCTCCTGCCCTGTCTTCTTACGGCTGTTTCCTCGTATCGGCTCGAATGTCGTGCAGCTGCTAGGTCAATCCTGCTGGGCTACTTCGCGATCGCTACGTATTTCAATCACCACTTCTCGAAAACCATTCACATTCTGTTCGCACTTCTTGCGTTCCTTCTGCTGGACTTGCGAAGTAAACTGGTCTCCGGCATTGCGCGAGGCTACCCCAGTTTCGTAAATCGCTTTATCTTGGTACAAATTTTCCCACTGCCCGAAGGGCTACGGTGCTCCAGTCGCGAGACTGGTAGCTCTCCATGAGCACCATGGACCGCGCCTCCTGTCACATTATCTATGTCAATCGCAATGTGAGCGAAGATGGTTTGATTCGTCGTACTTCTGGCATTGCCGCATCCGATTGGGCAACGGATGAGGCTCGTCAGGTTGTACAGCCTTTATTAGATGCCTTTGGTGATGGTTCGTTCTTCGTTATGATGTCGGCATGAGTCATTTCTCCACTTACTAACAAGTGATGCAGTTCACGTTTGCGCAACTGGAGGCGGCTGTCTGACGAAATTGTTCGAATTGCAGGAGGGTTCCATGCTTGATTTGAAGCCAACTCTGGTGCTTCTTGATACACCAAACGATGACCCGATTCCTGACAGGAGAAGACCGTCATCACCATCTCCTTCTTGCAATTCTTCCTCAGAGAATGTGGACATTCATACCCCCGATGAGGACCTATACGGCCTGGGTCTGCTGCAGAAGATCATCACCGAAGCGCATCTGCGTGGCATGTCTAAACTCGTTGTGCCTATTCCGGTAATCAGTAATTCCGATCCAGAACAAACCTATACCAATGGACAAATGACCGATGGCACCGTTGAGCAAAAGAGTTTGCCATTGGCACCGTTGGATACCAACCGTCAGCTCATAAGAAGATGCCTGGATCTGGGGGCAGTCGACGTCATCATCTGCCCAATGAGCACCAAATGCATTACGAGTCTGGAAATTTGCGCTTATCGAGCCCACAGAGACGCAGCCAAGGAACAATCAACCCTGTTAGAAATTAGGCAAGGGCGGAAGCGGTCATGGGTTGGTGTCAACGAGGAGAAGCCATTCGCATATCTTCGCGAGGCGATGGTTTCGGGACTCATGAAGGGGATTTGCCGCTTAGGCACCAGCGACGACCAAATCAACAACGCTCATGTGGCTGTTTCCTCGGAACGGCAATCTGCCATTGCTGAAGCGATCGGAACCTGGCGGTTCTGTGCTCATTCGTTCACTGATGATGAGCTACTAGTTGCGGCGATGGACATGTTTAGACACGCCTTGGCAATGCCCGAACTTGAGCGATGGCGGATACATGCAGGTACGTTGTTACTGTTCTAGACTGGTGTCGGCTGGTCGCATACTGACTCAGCTTCAGACCAACTAATCAGCTTCCTTGTTGCTTGTCGTGCTGCATACAACAGTTTTGTCCCGTATCACAATTTCCGACATGTGGTGGACGTGTTGCAAGCTACATTCAATTTCCTGGTGCACATTGGTGCTCTTGCGCCATATCCCTCGGGTAGCGAACCCCGATCGATGCCAGAAAAATCACCAATGGCTTCTCTCATCACACCCTTCGAAGCGTTGACACTCCTCATCACTGCCATTGGTCATGACGTGGGGCATCCTGGTGTAAACAACGGTTTCCTTGTGACGCTTAATGCCCCCTTGGCCCAGTTGTACAACGACCGATCCGTTCTGGAGTCGTTTCATTGCGCAGCCTACTCACAGATCCTCCGCCGATACTGGCCGTCCGCCTTTGAGGACACGAAGATGCGGAACCTTATGATCAGTTCCATCTTGGCTACGGATATGGGCTTGCATTTTGATTACATGAAGAAGCTCGGGGATGTTCAAGAGCGGCTCCAAGTGAATAACACTACTGATGGTTGGAATGGGCGACAGATCGAAGAGAACAAGTCGTTGGCTTGCTCGCTTCTCATCAAATGCGCTGACATCAGTAACGTGGTATGTCGATTTCCTCGTATTGCTCTGCAAGATTGAAAACTAACAAAGTCCAGGCAAGGAATCATGAAATAGCCTTGCAATGGACATACATTTTGTCAGAGGAATTCTCTCGACAAGCTTCCATGGAAAGTGAGCTCAGTATCCAATCGTCGCTTATGACGCCACCCAAGCAGGATATGGCTTCACTGGCTAAAGGCCAACTCGGCTTTATGAACTTGTTTGCCACTCCGTTATTTCAGGGCGTTGCCGACATCATGCCTGCTATGCAATACACCGTGGATGAGCTTGAAATGAATAAGAGCCTCTTCGAGCTTAAGCTCCAACAAGAGAAAGAAAAGCAGCCGTTAGACGATCCAGTCCGAAGGCGTCTTCTTAAGGAGGGTACGTTCTCGCCAAGGACTATGAGCTTCGCGGTACCCCAAGAGGAGGATAAAGAGGAGAGGAAGGATATGGCGCCGCTATTTGAAGCACTAGATCGGGCATCGGACACGACGCCCGTTGGTAATGGTGAGCTTCCAATGCCGCGTGCGGAAAGAGAAGATCTATCGCCGGCCGATAGTCAGAGGACGATGGGGCCGTCATCTGCAAATGGGACAGCTACGGAATCTAAGGGGTCTGATGGGTCAGCATCAACATTCGACGCGGTTAGAGAGCTTGCGAACAGTGACCCGTTCCAGACGCAGACCAGAAGGGACTCGGCAAAACAACGATCGAGCGAGACGACTGACGGAAGTGTATCCGGTGCTTGCTCGGGTGATTGGGTCTCACAAGCGACAAGTGCCACAACAGGCAAGATGCCAATGTCGCCGAGTACACGAGGTACGAGTATTGTGAGCAGGGACTCGACCGAACATGCAACTGGAATTCCCAAGATCAATGTCGACACAGCAAGTCTGAAGGAAAGTTCAGGGACACTTCGCCATGATTATTCGCCTATCGACGACGAGACGAGATCAGACGCTAGCACAACGGGCGGAAGCATTGGCAAAGCCGAAGGCAAATCATTACGGAAGAAGCCGAGCAGGTTCAGGATAAAGGACTTTCCTTTCTTCAGGAAGCACAAGGGCGCGAATTCACCGTCTACTGCAGATATGACTGGATGAAGGAGGTATCACAGCACTCGTCAGCCAGGAGCGAAAAGGAGAACAATGGCTATATTAATTGCCATCGAGGGTCGACTGAGGCAAAGAAGCAAGCAATCAGGCGAGTCGAACTCGTGGGGGGCTGTTATGGTGGAATGTTTCGAGACTGGTTACAGGCTTTTCTTTTTAGGGAGTATCGGTCTGGGTTGCCCTAATGTCGCAGTATATACTTGTACGATACCTGTGATGGTTGGGGGTCTCGGTGAACAGGCTCATTTGGCCTGTCACTTACAGAGTCCCAGCCAAAAATCACAGGAACGGAGGAGTGGAACAAAGAAGCATCTTCAGTCAGAAGCATCTTCATGGGAATGGAGGGACCGGTCTCAGGATTAGGATAGGGACCGGGCCTGGGACCGGAACCGGAAAGGGCTACTGGCGTTGGCGCAAGGTTGGTTGGGTTGGGTTGGAATGGGCTAGGACTGGGATTGGACGGTGACGAAGGACATGTATCAAAATCAAACAGGACTGGAAGGGCGCGGAAAGGATTTGCTTAGTTGTCTTGGGTTAGGTATACGGTATAGGATGATTGACGGACGGATGTGGTGTTGGTGTTGGTGTTGATTGAGTCAGTACCTTTGTAGTTTACACCGCTGCGAGGCCATGATGGCGTACATGTCGTCGCATGAGATATATTGTTAAATGATGAGGGCACTTTTGAAGCAAAAACAACGAGGCAGTCTATACTATTGTAATTGGCATTGTATATGTTATGTGACATGATTCAATATGTAGTCTTGACTGATGGTGATATGTGGCTTCTCTGATCTTGCCCTTTACATGTGGCCAAAAAGTCATAATAGCTCCATTGGAGTTGATGAATGATTCATTGATGAAAGAAATAGAAACACCAGCTCACAAGGTACTAACCTAGATCATGTAGTGAAGTAGGTAACGTACAGGCATGGATGGGCAGAATTGGTGACGAACACTCTCGGCTTTTGTAAGTGTCTGGCGTCGGTTGATTGGTTATAACCTCCGAGTAGGAGTCCCCCACAGTATCCACCTCATGGCCCACAGAGGAAAGACGACCTAGCGACTTAACTTCCATTACAATATCCGCATAAGGTAGGAGAGGAGGGTAACGATTTATACGCCGTGCGTCGGAAGTTCCTTCTTCTCGGCGAAAGTAAACTTGCGAGATGTCTTCGGGAAGGCGCGATACTGCTACGCGTACCACCAATAGTGAAACACGACAAGCTACTGGCAGACGGAGGACCAGTATGTGCTTTGTTTTTTTCTTTCTTATCTGCGAAAGATATTTGAAAATTGAATATCAATGGATATCTTATCTTGGTCTCATCTAGTCAGTCACTAACTGGAGATCAGATGGAAGAGCATGCATAGCCTGCCATCAACGCAAAGTCCGCTGCGATATACTTGAAAAGGGAACGCCATGTTCTCACTGTCAATCACAAAACAAGTCCAGCAGTTGCATGATATACGAGAAGAAAAAGACCAGATCGTCTCGTGCAGCTATCTCGCGTCCTACGATTCAACCTCTCCTTCAACCTCGTCGGATCGAGCAGCATCAACAGCCGCTTCGTTCTGACCAACAATGTCTTACAGCTCCGGCCACACCAAGTGCAACGAGGCTATGGCCAGAAGGCTCAATCGACCCTATCGCTCGGCCTAGTTCATCGATTGGGTACCATCATCAGCATGATTCCCCTTCGACTATGCAAGACTCGACTGAGAATGAAGAGACGTACGAGACTCGCAACCTTGCAGACTTTATAGGACAGGATCTTCCCAAAGTAGGCGAGATCTCGCGATCTGAACGTCTCTACTTTATCGGCACTGAGTTCTCCAATCTCAACTACCTCGTGCGTCATAGAGCGCTGAGGATGGACCAAAAGGATGTGTTGCACTTTGGGACCCGTCGCCTTGCCCGGAAAGTTCCTTCTGTGCCTGAAGAAGCTCTGAAGCTGCCCCCTAAAGCACTGGCCGATGAGCTGGTGAGGGCGTATTTCGTCCACGTAAATCGGGGGTTTCCCATCGTTGACGAAGATGAGTTTATGGAGAGCTACAACGGATCCGACGTACCGAAACTAGTATCACTACCTCTATTGAACGCCATATTTCTCGTGGGCGCACATGTATTATCTTCAACTCGCGAAGATTGCAGAAATAGCACTTATGTGTTCTTCCGGAGAGCCAAGCTCTTGTTCGACTACCGCTTTGAGCAGCATCGAGAGACTTATTTACAGGTTGCTCTTCTCCTAACATGGCAATGTGATAATCTTGAAGACATTACGAGCAACAGTTGGCATCTGGTCGGCGTCGGGAGTCGTGTCGCTTTCGGCATGGGTATGCATCGAGATGCGAGACCATCTACACTGAACGCTATAGACAAACGTCAATGGGTTAGGCTCTGGTGGTGTCTTTTTCAATTCGACGTTGTGGTTTCAGCCTCTTTCGGTCGACCGCAAGCCATGTAAGAGTCGATTGTTCCGAACACATTCTTTAGCTAACATGAACAGAAACCTGGAAGAATCAGACACGCCTATGCTTGACGAGAGTCATTTCCAGGGTATCCCTAATGGAAACTCTGCTTTTGCTATCGAACACACAAAACTCTGCATAATCTTCTCCAGGGCCATGAGAAAAAGGGTGGCGCTGAGAGCCACGGAAGCTGATCGAGCCGCTGCGACAAAACAAGCTGACGAAGAGCTTGCTGAGTTCATAACCCAGCTGCCGCAACGTCTGCAACTACCACACTCTGAGCCGAGCAGCTGGCAGGCCATCCTCCATCTTTCTTATAACAATTTCCTCATTCTGCTTCACCGACCCCCACCCCATCAAGACCCAAGCCAGTTTTCTGCTGATTCTGCCACAGATCGCAGTATCTGCAGTGACGCTGTCGTGGCAATCAACTCAATCTTTGAATCTCTTAGATCGAGGAACACGTTATGCGACCTGTGGCTACCTTCAGTCCATGTATTATTTACTTGTCTGCTGCATGTTGCCAGCGAGCTGAACTCGCGCAATCCTCTCGTGGCTGCAAAGTCATCACGCGTATTTGACTCTCTTCTGCATACTCTGCGTGATATCTCACAATATTGGATATACGCTAAAAGTCTTTTGCGTCTCTTTGAGGAGCGAGCGATGTGGACCAAGAGACAAAGGAGTCATACGCAAGGGTCTGAAGAGCAAGCAATACAACCCAGCGACGGTACTGGTACATCCGAGTTCTCCCTTCGACCCAATCCTATCAATGTTCCTAACGCCATTCATAACTCCTTGAGCGATGCTACAACGAGTCTACAATCTTCAGGTCAAATACCAGGGGGGCCATCGTATGGGTTCAACTTCGATTTTGGGGGTGGTTTAGGAGGCCAAGATGCACAACAGGGCCTTTCCTACGGTGATGGATTTGTTGGCAGTGGTCTCGATATGGCTGGCGGTGGAAATGCTGAGGGCATGAACTTGTTACCGGTCCCTTCAGTGCTGGAGTTTTTATTAGCTGGTGTTGACAACCAGTATGATTTCTGATTTAATTATAGATTAGCCTATAATAATATCATGATGAGTCTGGCAAGATACATCCATTATGTCTTCCCATTTGTATGTGATAATGCATCAAACAAACCCCCACGTTGACTCCAGTATAAGAACCCATCTGGTAAAATCCATGAGCATTCTAGATTTTTCTGTTTCCCTAACTCGCAAACCAAAGCACGCCCTAAGGCGCCGAGCGAAGAAAAAAATCATGAACTACTGTCACTTAGACAAGGGTCTTTTGGAGTCTCGGAAGTTCTCAGCTAATCGTCTCTCACCATTATCTAGTCTCGGGAATTACCTCTTCGGTAGTATAGACGCCATCGGTGAGATCTGACCAATTAGAATCTCTCAATGATTCTGACTTATACATCAACAACCGAAAGGTCGCGCCCTTCTTCGCTACGGTGAGAAGAATGGGAATAAGATCAAATAAAAATCCATCAGATGACGTGAGAAAAACTCATGGTTTTCTTTTTGGGTTTCATACCAGAATTCATCGATATCCACTGTGGAAACATAGTCGTGGAGATGGATACTGCTGTTTTACTATATAGAAGGCATCCTCTGCTTCACTTTACTTCACTTCATTCTAGCCATACTTGATTTGATTATTGAGAATAATTTGTGGTTTCCTTCTCAAGATCATGGGTTTAAACGAAACAGAGCTCTTTGGCCAAGATGTCACAAGAGACAATGCAACCACCGTCGATGTTAAAAACAGGCAAGACTCCTCAGATGAATCAGCCTGGTCTGATACAGAGTCCTGGGACCCTCTCAAGCTCTCTTCTATGAGAAAACTGCACATTGTCATCGCTGGCTTCACCTGCACTTTCAATGGCAATTTTGGTTCCTCTATGCCCTCGGGCGCTCTTGATATCATCGCAGAGCAATTCAACGTCACAGATCCCGTCTATCTCATCCTCCTCAATTCTTTGTACATGGTCGGATATGTCCTTGGTCCTCTACTATTTGGACCCTTAAGCGAATACATCGGTCGACGCCCTGTCCTGATCGGCACATATCTGGGTTATATCCTATTCACGTTCCTCGCTTCTGTATCGCCAAATTATGCGGCCCTGTTGGTCTTTCGATTGCTATGTGGAATCAATGCTGCCGCTCCTACGACTGTTATCGGTGGTCTGTACGCAGATATCCTTGACAACCCTTCTGTTCGAGGCAACGCCATGGCTCTTTACATGACCGTCACCACAATCGGTCCCTTGATTGGTCCCATTGTCTCCGGCTTCTCATCTCCAATCTCGTGGCGTTGGCCCTTCTGGATTGCTGGCATGATGGCAGTTGCAGGTCTTCCTCTAATCCTCACCATCCCTGAGACGTACGCACCTGTTCTGCACAACAAGATGGTCAAGGCGCATATCAAGAGAAGACAGAAGGAGAAAAAGAAGAACAGGGTCGAGAATAGCGATGAAGAACCCCTCGAGCTGAAGCCTTTCAACGTTCGAAAGATCTTCTTCCGACCTATGAAGTTGCTCTTCACTGAGCCTATTCTTGCGTCTACTTCTATCTATCTCACCTTGGCGTACTCGGTCTTCTATCTCATGTTCCAGGCATATCCTCGCGTGTTTCAAGGTATATATATCTCTATCGCTTCTTTTAGCTCTGATGATCTAACTTGTTGAAAGGCTTCTATGGTCTATCCCCTGGAATGGCGGGTCTGGCATATATCCCTTGTAAGTTCTATCTTTTGGATGCCACTGTCACTAGTGAACTAACGTCGAGAACAGTCTGCATCGGTGTCGTCCTTTCTCTGGGTGTTTTCGCCATCTATACACGATACCATGATAAGCAAACCGCTGCCGGGGCTGAGTGGACAAAGAATCACATCTACCGTCGCCTTCCTCTAGCCTGCATAGCATCTCCTTGGTATGCCATCCTCCTCTACATACTCATCAACCAACGACACGCTAACAATTCACTACAGCATGGTCATCTCCCTCTTCTGGCTCGGCTGGACCGTCTGGCCTTCACTGTCTCCCATCATTCCTTCTCTTGGTGGCATCTTCTTCGGTCTCGGCTTCCAGCTTCTCTTCATGGGAATGACAAACTATCTCACCGACGTCTTCCGAAGCCACTCCGCCTCTGCTCTCGGCGCAGCCGCTATGCTTCGTTCCATCGGTGCTACCACCCTGCCCCTTGCTGCTGACAGCATGTATACCAACCTGGGAATACACTGGGCGCCTTCAGTCCTTGCATTTGTTGCTCTGGCCATGGGCGTCATCCCCTTTGTCTTTATCAGATATGGTGATCGTCTGGCCCGCAGCAGCAAGACTGCTCGGGAGGCATTTGCCATCCAGAATTGAACAATTCTCTGTAGGAAGATCATGGCAGACGACGACACGACATCATTTTGTATCATGAGCCAAAAGGCAGATGTTTCTGCCATCGCATACACGGAGTTTATTTAGAAGGGGTCATGTGTTTACGCATTAGAGCAGTAGTTAGAAAGTAATACTTAATCATAGAGATCCGATCTTACCGAAGGTATTCCTGAATGTTAAGTCTGCAGTCATTCAGAGTTATGTTCTTGTTCTATAGTACCAAGTTGATTAAGGCATCATCATGAACAAAAACATCACATCACATTGGTACCAACATTTCATTGAACATCTTTTTTATTTGTTTAGTTGAATTAACTAATACTGCAACGACAAAACAACGAGCAGGGACGCGTTGTAGCAAAGCAGACTTGTCCTTGTGCAAGGAAACCACCACCAGGGCATATCCTGTTTCCTTACACGCCATTCATACCAGCATCTTCAACCGCTGGACTCATCAAAGGTCCAGAGAAGGGTGGTATCTACTGCTCGGCAGTCACCGTTCCCTCCTCTTTGGCGGTTATCCGTCAGCGCCGCGACAGATCTGGCAGACCAAGCTGCTCCGTGACCTGTCTGACGCCGAGGGCTTGTAGGGAGATGATCCTACATTCCACCCTAAACTATCCTTATCCCAACTCTCAGTATATCCATCACTCCGAATGCGAACAGCTGTAGACCCATCCTCGAAGCGGCGTCCTCCACTCGCCCAAAGGCCCGTCTAGCAGGCTCAATCAGCACAGTGGTTGTCACCTCAACTTGGCGATCTATAGTCGTTCACATTCGGGACGCTGGAAGCGCCTGAGAGTAGGGGTGATTAGCTAGGGCAGATCGGCCAGACAGAGACTGCAACTGAATCCGCACAGCAGATGTGAGGTGCAGCTCATTGGAAGAATCCCATGATTTCACTCCGTCTTTCCAAACTCGTGTGTCATCGCCGACACAGAGTGGTGATCCCGTTTGACAGCCAGTGTCAAGCCTTAACGGGCATATTCCAGATATTTCCGCAGTGGCTACGCGATGTGTGGTCGAGACGGCCTCGCGGTCAGAATTGGTGTCCTGGAGCCGGTCCAGTCACCATCTGTTGGGCTAGTCATCGTGCCGAATGAAGTGTGAGGTTCAGCGCTCGATAGGCTTTCGAAAAGAAGTCATGTTTCGACATCAAGTCGATTGTTCGTGATTCCGTTCGTCAGTCGCATCATGTCTGAAAAGTAGTCGTCATTCGTCATCGAGTCGTAGAAAAGGTCGTCATTAAAATAATATCGTCGTAAATCGGGAAACAAAGCCAAGGAAAGAAGCAGAGTGTGTCGGTTCGAGTTGTTAAACTCTGGTATCGGTCGTCCTTGATTGGGGGTATCTTCCAAGACGTCTCTCTAAACCGAACAAATGAAAAGAAAGGGAAAAGAAGGGAAAAGAAAGTTCCAAGGATATCAGCGAAGATTCCATAGAGAAGTTTCTGTCTCGGACTTGGGCCGAGCGTCGTGCATTGCTGCGTGTACGTCTTTTTCTTGAGAACCAAAGATAACGGAAGGAAAAGGGCCAAATAAAACAAGCCGCCTGTATCGAGTCCCTGCCAGTTGTAAATGCATCCAAATACCCGCCCCGGATCCAGCCATGTGGTGTTGTGGTAGATGAAAGAAAAAAAAAGTCCAGAGACGATAGTGAGTTGTGTGAACGACCGTTGGAGAGTGTTTCCCGGAGAGGAATAATAGACCAGATTCCCCGAAACCCAAAAGAACGCTTGCTATGAAGACAAAAGAAAGATATAAAAAGAAAATCAAAAAATCAATGCGAGAGGGGATATTCTTAAGACTTGTTCGAAACACCGTTCCTGATGCAATAAACGCCGATATGCCGTGTCCATGATGGATGATAGTTCTATGCCGCTGCGAAATTTAAAAGCTTCAACTTTTCTCCGGGAAACGAGGAAGGGATGAGTGCAGTATTAGTAGCTCGAGGAGGTCGTCACCACTGGATAGCTGTCCTGGGGCCCTGGTTGTCACATAATGGTCGCATACTCTTGGTATCGATCCCAGCCGAAGCCGCCCATACCACCCATGCCGCCCATGCTGCCCATACCTCCCATTCCTCCCATACCCATGCCGACACCGCATTGAGCAGGAGCGAGCATGCTAGGAAGAGGAAGGGCGGGGATGGGGGCTGTCACTGGAGGCGAACTCCAGAAGAAGCCAGCGGTAGAGTGAGGCTGAGTGAAGGCGGGAGTAGGTGACAAGTCACTCATAGTCATCGGTGCCCAGATGGGACTTGTGTTGGAGTCGGCCGATGATGTGACACTGGGGCTTGAAGGGAGCACTCGCCAAGAGTCGACGGTAGCCAAGTTACCATGGTAGCTAGGTTGCGACCACATGTTGTTGGCGGGAGAGCTGGGCAGAAGTGTGGGTTGTCGGACAACTTCGATGACTCGAGGAGGAGGGGGAGGTAGCAGGGGCTTCATAAGAGAGCTGATGCTGTTCTTGACCTCTTCGCTTTTGCCGCAGAGAAGTTCACCAGCACCCTCCTCCTCGAGACCCTCGAGGGCTGAGACGTGGGTGCGGAAAACAAACTTGTTGATGTCCTGAACGAAATCATCGTGAAGCTTCTTGCATTGCTGTTCCTTGTCGGTCCAGTCGTATGTGCTGGCCTTGGCATCAACACAGTGGATCTCCTTGTGGTACTCAACCAAAGCATCAATGGTGTCTTTCGTGAGCTTGTAGGCAACCTCGTTTCGCAAAACCATATCGACATGAACAATATAAGCCTCAACGTGGACCAGCTCATAGTTCATGATAGCCTCAACCAGAGGGTTGGCAGCATCCCGCTTAAAATCGGACTCGGGTGTCTTGGGCAACATAAGCGAGGTCAATGTCCAGATGGCATTTGGCGATGAGAGAGTCTCGGTAAGACATCTCTGGTGCTGAGGTACAGAGTTGAGAGGACGCTTGACTCGGTTGATGCGCTTAAGTGTTTGTGTAAGCCAAGGCTCAACTTTTGAACCCAAGACAACGTTGACGGATGAAGCCCGAGGAGCGAAAGCGGCGGCCGACGCCGGGAGGAGTTGGACGGGCATGTTAGTGAAGCGGAGGCGGGGCGTAAGAAGTCTAAGCGGAGCGGAACGGAGCGGGGGGAATATCGTTTGAACGGTAACGAAGACGTTTTATAAACGTCAAACGTTTTGTCGCAGCGTCTATCGCAAAGAATACGGCGCGGGGGATATCGAACAAGAATATATGGAAAAAGGGAAATGTCGGGAGACGGAGCAGAGCAGGGATTCGGTAGAGGAGATAGGATAGTACTTTGTACGGGCGGATGGGCGTTTAATAAGTTGTTTCTGGCGGTAGGTACTATGGATATTATTGTCGTATCTTTCTGGGTGAAATCGCCTGCTAAGCTGCCGCAACCGAGTAAAAGAAAAGAGAACGTAGGACGAATTGGTCGTAAAGAAGAAGAAGAAGAAGGGAAAAGGGAAAACGGAGGGTGGCAGGTGGTGTGGGGAGATGATATACCACTTGGGGGTGGCAGGTGCAGTAGAGTCAAGTAAGGCAAGTGCTCTGTACTGCGGGTTACTGTAGTGGTAATAGTAGCGGGAGTAGGTAGTGGGTGGTAGTGGTTGTGTGGGTAAAACCTGAACGGAAGGCGTCGGTCAGGTCTGGGATGAGTTATCCTTTTAGTTTAGTTTGGTTCGGCTTGGTACAACTTTGAGCGGGGGGGCTAGTGAGCTAAAAAGCAGCCCTGTATTTTGTAGTCTTTAGTGGTGGCTATAGGTGACGCTCCACTGAAAGGCGAGAGGGAGCCAAGCCAGCTCACAACTTTGCGTTGGCCTAGCTTAGCTGCCCTGTTGTTCATGGTAGTCAGTCATAGTTGCATTTTGGAGATGCATACTGCAGACGCACGAGCACACTGACCACTTCCGGGGTGTCTCGGAGGAGAGAGGGTCAGAGGGTGTAGGTATTCTTGGTAACCTACTCGGAGGAGGCGTGCGGCTGTGTTGACCTGCATTGCATAAGGTACTCTAGATATGTACCTCCTAGCCCAAGATAGAGACGGGATGGGAGGCAATAATTCATGGCTGATCTGTACCATCCGTACCTTGCGTCTTGCAATAGCAACAGTGACGGTGTAGTACTGTACCCAGTAAGCTGAAAGAATGCATGCGTACGGCACAAGAAAAATCATTTTCTAGGGCATTGACAATGGCATTGATTGAGTCACAACCTCAATAGATCCCAGTCTAGGGCAGAAACTTGGATATCGGGTGGGTGTGGCGTTGGACCAAGTACCGGTACCTGAGGTAGCATCGAACACAAGTACCCGCTGCCTTTAGGTAGTAGACTCTGTCAGTGCAGTGGAGGCTTAAGGTTCTCTCCCTGAGAATTGACTTCCATGGTAATTCTCTTATTCGGACTCTTCCAAGACACTCTGTTGTAATTGCATCACCATTTTTCTCACAACGCTGCAATTGATATCACGTACTAGCTAGGATCTCTAATGAATCAATCAATATCACATGTTCCAGATAATCTGACCATTTGACGTCTTACCACACTCAAACGCCTAGGCCTATGCCATGGATGCCATCCCATACTACCTTACAAACTACCCTGCCCTAGCCGCTCTCCTGGCTCTGGCAGGAAACAAGAAACGAAACAACCGCCGGCGCTTCTTCTAATCCCCTGTCTCATCCCAGTCTCTTATCAATGCCGTGGGGACTAACTTTGAGATTAGTATACGCTTTCTGGACCAAGGTTATAGCCGATCAAGTAGACGATGACCCCCTGTGTACGGATATTATTCCTGTAGCTGATATAGACCGTTGTCGTGACCAAACTCGAACATTTTACGAGCAAAACTTGAAAAGTGACGAGTTATGTTCCTGCAGCTTCACTTTACTACCTAGTACATACCACCTAACAGGCCACTTTTGTTCTCACATAATAACCTAAGTAGTTAGAACATAGGCTAATCATACAACTCTTGCAGAGGTTGGCCCGCTTCTTGACGATACTGCACTCTGCAGTGTGGTACGGACGGTATAATGCGACCTACTCTTGGGCCGATCAATGGCTTATTGCGAGTCTTGACTTCACACCTTGCCAAACTCTACTGTACTCCTGTAAGCCCGTACTCTTCTGGTCTGTCCTTCCTGCCGAGTCTTCCCGTAGCTCATTATCACAAGCAAGCGAGGAGAACCTTTGGACTTTTTGAAAGAGGGGGATCTTGAAGCTTGCATAAGCGGCGCTTCAGAATCTAGCAAAGCCTTCAGGGCGGATCTGCCCGCCGTCTTTGTTTCCACAAGAGACATCGACCGTCCTGCTCATTCGTGCCCTCAGTCTGTCTGGACCGAGCAGAGACAGAGGCGTGCTCCGTTATTCCGTGTTCCACAATCCTCGAGGCACGCACGACTCGGTCCATCACGCCCTAATCCGGGTTTGGTGAGTCGCACATCACTATTGTTCTCTGACAAGCTGATACCCCGGGTTCTTTCAGCTGAAGGGATAGTGATACTGCAATATCAACAATGGGACAATCCTGTCAATAAGGATGCAACAGACGCTTTGTCCAGCCATCAGCAATATTGAGATATGACTTGCATACGCATGCGCATAGCATAACACCTGCACTACTAGACGCACGAATGCTCGGCTTTTTCGACGCCGTTGCATGAGTTCTCTAGCTGGTTTAGTTCGCAGCATCAAGCCCACTTCGTTGATGTGAGCCGCCGTCCCCCCGCCGTGAATATTATCATCTTCTTGATGACAGACCATGCCCTAAGAAGTGAGAGAATTGTGCCGTTGCATCACGGTGGTTCTGGGACCGGCGAGGAAGCCCTGATCCCCGTCCCTTCGCCCTATTCTCAAGATTGAAGCACATCTAAGGGGCATCATGACCATCAACGGCTCGGTCCCCATAAGGTAGCGGTCGCTCCCGTCGCTCCCGTCTCGTCTTTAAGGGGAAATCAGGCTTCTCACGATGTGGTTGGCCATAAGAGATTATACCATCCCTTCAAGTCTCCAAGCTGAGGGGACATGATCCATGCATCGTCAACAGCCAGATGCCAGAAAAGGAGAGGACACTTATCCAGATGGCAGGAAGGGAAGAGCGTGGAGGTTAGATCAGGGCCAAGGGGGGATCCCAAAAGACTGGAGAGAAACGAGAGCCCGTCGATGTCCTGGTACGAACAAGAGCCATCCATGCTAGTGTCAGACGTGATGTGAGGCTCTCATGAAAGTGCCATTATAGCCTCTGATTGGTTGTTGGGAAGAAGCTGTGATCCAATCACAGCAACGAGCATTTCTCGGCTCTAGTCCCACCAGCCAATCACGACTCGTAGATGGCTCAAGACGAAGAGAGCTGGGGAGACCAGGCAAAGGGCCATGGAGTCGACGGAAAACCCAATCCTAAAGAGGAATTTGAGTGACTTTGACATGCCCGTAAACTCTTCAGGAGGCGCTTGACCTTGTCGTGATGGTTGGTGTTGGAGTCAAAGCTCCATCAGTAAAGACTTTTTGGAGACTTGATGCATTCCAGCGAACGAGTAATCCCTGTGATTTTTCTTGGAGAAATAATCAGGGGGTCCTCTCCGCATAGGAGGCCCGACCAGTCGTCCCTTTGGCTTCTGTTGTTGGACCTCGTAGTACCGTTCTAGAAGCATCAGAGTATCAGACAATTTACCCTTGCATGACCGCGCGGCCAATGGCCTTTGCCTCAGGCCATGGCTGTCGACGATGGTGAAATGAATGATATGTACGCCGCGCTCACAGACGCAACTATCAATATCGGTAGTACTGTATCCGTAGGTACTCTGAGGCACTCCGAGTCTAGAGTTGGGTGGATGGAAAATGGCTGGCTGGGTCCACTGATCGCTCGGCCGCTCGCTGGATCCCAAGACTTGAGAGACAAAGAAGATTCAGCGAAGGCACGTGCATCTTCAAAGTGACTCTCCAAAGGTACCGATACCAAAGGCTGTACAAAGCCGGTTGTACTGGTGAAAATGCAAGGAAACGCAGGGTTCAGGTACGGATTGGGAGTGCCACTGAGCCGGTACTGTGGCGCAGTATACGTACCTTTTACTATTTTTGGGGTCCAAGAATGCCATCGCAGGTACGTACCGCATATTTTTCTGGGTCTCATGATACGTTACGGTAAGGTTTACTCTTTGAATATTGGCACTATCAAAATGCCCAGTAGTAGATCTCCTGCTACTGTTGATCTGTAATTCTGTACTATACTGCAATTCTGCCTTTCCTATGCCCGCTCTGATAGCGCATGAATATGCATGCACGCAGTACGACCGAGACGGAGGATCCGCATCCGTTCTCCAGCCGTGGCCGCTCACTTGTAACCTGCAGAAGAATTTTCTAGGTTTCCGTCATAAGTCAGTCACATGGGAATGTCATTTTGTTTCATGGGGCTGCCTACGTACGCATTGTGTGCGTGACTGCCAGAAACCCCATGTTTCACAACGTCTCTGTAGCCGCCCTCGGAGTCTGGGATACTGCAGTGACGTCGCTCGCCTAAATCACGGGACCCTTGAACACGGTCCAGTTCACTCTGCCTGCTGGTTAGATTCAATTCATGCACGGTCAGATCAGATGTGGCGCTTGCAGTTGGAATTTGGCCGCCTGCTAGCTGACCGGATGCAGGTATTCATGCCTGCCTAGTATTGTAAGATGGTCAATTGCCTGTCTAGCTGGTGTACTTTCAAGCATGATATGCGTGGCCATGATCTTGGCTTGTACTCCTGGCCGGTACCGTGTCATCCGAAGTTATAGGCTAGATAGATCGCCAAGGGAAACATTCAAGATACTTTTGATAGTTTACTGATGCATTTAGCTTAGCGACCTCGGTTGGATGTTTGATGCCAAAGCAGGACGATCATTGGTACCAAAAATAAACGAAATGGCAAAATGTCAATGATGAAATAGGACGGGATTGACATGTTGAAGTGCCGGAGCGGCGCGGACCCGAAGACGGCAAAAAGGTCCCACAAAAGCCGACCGGTTACAGGACGGACAAGTCCGAGAATGTGGCTGGTACCCCAGGGATATGGTTCCTAATCAGGAAGTGGTCCCGGGAGCTGGGGCTTGACCACAAGCACTTGTCACTGGTGACTAACAAAGTCGGTAAGATAATCGCTGGTTAGCCTAGAGGTAGATACAGTAAGTTACTCATTTTCGCATACCGGTCGGGCTTGTGGCTACGTATTCGCGAAAGAGTACAACGCATTATTGAATCTTGAAAAGTAGATTGTGCGAGTCGATTTTAGGTACACTCCCCAGCATCTCGTTTGTGGTTAGAGGTCAAAGTTGGTCGTGGCCTAGTGTGATCTTGAAATAGAAGATACCTTAGTACTTACAACTCAACTTTGAATGATCTTCAACTAGTGTCATCTATGTAGATGGTGGATGTAGTTTATGTTTATTACTCCCAATTAGATATTGTAAATTGCAAATTACCTAGTACAGTATTACTGTAATATCTTGTAATTATCTGTATCTGATTTGATACCCTGGCAGTACTCAGTTGAGGAGGAGTCATCTTCAACTCTGACGCTCTGACCCTGTACTATGTACTATGTACATGTAATTCATTCTCCCATGACGTACAAGTCGAATTCGGAATTCTCATTCCATCGTCACTGGCACCCAACAACAATGACACATTCTCGGTACGCTTTGTCCCCTTGGACAGCTGAAATACCACCAAAACAACTCACCAGCTAAGGCTGCTGATCCCAGCCCGGCAATGGATTAGAGATTTAGAGTATCAGAAAGTCGGACGTGGCTTGCAGATCTCCGGGTGGCTGTGCTTCTCGCTTGTGGCGTGTCCCCGCACATCTGTACACAGATACAGATACAGAAGACAGGAGGCCTACGCTAGATCTGTGCGACTGTCAACCGAGGCAGGGAAAAAAAAAAAGACCGTTGAGAGAGCCTCACTGATCACTTGAAGCCTCATGCGAAACGTGGCACCAACAACCGCTCCCTCGGGTACAGGGCCAAAGCTTTTGAAACGGCGATTCTTCCTTTTTTGATGTTTGAGAATAGAGAATGCCTAAGCTAGTACTTTAGTAGTCTCCTGTATCCATTTTGCCATTGCCAGCACCTCTTTGTTGCCGTCTAAGTGGGAAACAACTTCGGACCTGTTTTTATCCCCGAACCCTAGACTGCCTACCATACGTGGAGAAAGACAGCGAATCCAATATTTGCCGAAGCAGATTCTGCTTTACGAGTTAATGTCACTTCACTTCGTTGCTAAGATATGCCGAGTCCAGGGGCTCACTCATTGACCCATATGGACTACACTAACAAGACTAGACCATGGGTCACAGCTCTATCAAGCCCCCTTGCATATGTCTCTTGAGAGATAACACCCAGTCATTGATAGGATGAGCATGGCATTACATACAAGTTGCAGATACAGTACAGCTATAGCAGTTCGCTTCTAACCATGACATGGTACATTACAGTACAATATGCACCTACATTCAGATAGTCACTCGAGTCCTCACACCCTGAGCTCTGCGTCCACGCCGCGTGATATCCAATCCGCAATGGCCATAATGGTGATCATGGGATTCACGCCACTTGCGCTGGGAAACACGCTCCCGTCTGCAACGTACAGGTTCTCTGTGCCCCAGACTCGACCCTTCTCGTCCACCACGCCCTCGTCCCTGCTTGCGCTCATACGGCACGTGCCCATCTGATGGGCTGAGCCCCAAGCTGTCGTTGGCGGTTTGTTGCCCACTTCACGGACGCGGCCGATCCAGGCTGCAAAGGCTGGGTCGCTGGTCTCTGGGTCGGCCACTGACCCCTGAGAGTCGAGAGAATGCTCCGACGAGCTCTCTCCGCTGCGGAGAAAGGGTTCCAGACCGGGCAGCAGAGGGCGTATCTCGACTGCTCCCGTGACATAGCAGATCTTGGCCAGAGCTTCTACGCCCTGGATAGTGTGGGCTCGATCATAGTCTGAAGGAGTATAATCAATGCGAGGTCGACCAGTCGTTGGGTCAGGAAAGACGCTGCCTCCATCGCGGTCCCTTGTCAGAGAAATCCAGGCATCCATGTGACGATATTTCGACATATGGAGCTTTGCCTTTAAGCCGCTGGCCCATGATGGTTGAGTCAAAATTGTAAACGGCTGAAACAAGTCAGAAATGATTCGTCTGTACTATTGGGCTTTATACTCACCACCATGCAAGTGGTCTCCAGTTTGGTTCCGTACCCACTGCCGTCAGGGTTATCAAACTGAGAGGAGTAGCTTGTGATGATACCTCCCTCCCAAGGCCTGGTTTCTTCCTTGTATACTGCTGTGACGAAGTTGCAAGGATGCAGGTGCAGATTGGCTCCCACATGTTGGTTCTGGACGAATTAGCCAATAATCTTAGGTCAAATGCTGAAAAGAAGACGTACAGTAATGCCGCTCTTCATGAGAACGAGCGGACTCCATATTGAGCCGGCAGCAAGGATCACCTTCTTGGCCTTGACCACAACTCGCCTCTTGACTCTGTCACCAACCGAATCGCTCACGCCTCCTTCGCTATCCCTTGAAGTCCAGTCTCCTTCAACGCCAATGGCAGTCTGTCCATCGGAATCAAAAGTGACTTTGTCCACCTGGAAACCTTCCATGAACTGTGCACCGGCTTTGGCAGCATCCGGCAGCCAGCTCGCGGCCGGACCCCTCTTCTCGGCCAGACCACAGCCCAGGTGACACTGGCCGCAAAAGTGCTCCCTTCCGCCCGTGTTGACAGGAGCAGGAGATGACGCCCATCCGAGCTTGCGTGAGCCATTGAGCAGAACTTTGTTGCGATGATTATGGCGTATCTGATCGGTGCCAGCCCCCTGAAACTCCCACACGCGGTCTAGACACTCGTCGAACTTGGAAGATGTGAAAAAAGGAAGACCTGCATCTGCCCATTCCTTTCGCACAAAGTCCTGGGGCTTGAGGCATACGCTCCAATTGACGGTGCCTCCTCCACCCCAGGCGCTGCCCGCAGTCACGGTTGCTCCAGCATCTTCTGTTATAAAGAAGCCACCATTGTCGAACAAATGAGCGCAGGCTGCTTCCTGTGACATCGGAAGGTGCTCAGCAGGGTAGTGATAGGCCTTGTCCACGACGAGAACCTTGTGACCAGCCTCGGCCAAGTTTCTAGCAGACACGCCTCCTCCGCAGCCAGAGCCAACGATGACAACATCGGTCTCAATAATATGCGGCTCATCATCAGCCTCGACTTGGATGAAGCTGAAGTCGAACGATTGCTTTGGCTGCCAGTGCTGGGGTGTATCTGAGTAGCCCGAAAACTCGAACAAGAGCGGGCTAGTCTGGGAATATGACTTGAAAGATAAAGATGACATTGTTTTGGCCAGTGCGGACCAACGCTCGCGAGGGGATGTAGCCCACGATTTGATGATGGCTTCACGGACATGGGCAGGTTGATTATATATAGGTTGCCAGTAGCCAGTAATAAAGTAGCTACCCGGACGAGTACTTTTCAAGGGCGACTTAGCTTTATGGCACATGAACATATAGGCACGTAATTGGACTCACGACATTATACTGAGTAAGCCGGCTAGACGTTTCTGCTGCGCTGGAGGGGATAAAGCCAGAGTCCTCATGAGGTTATCCCTGAAGCGCGCGTCATAGGCTGGCCTCTCTTGGAGAAAGGCACGAATATTGTCCCTCGTGGCTGGAGCAGCCAAAGACTTGGTACTAGAATCGAGAACATTGTCAATCTCATGATCGGGCAGTTGAATCTGGCCCTGGTGGTCGGTCACAGCAGACTCAGAGGTGATGGAAGGCAAAACACCATCGACGAGGGCAAAGAGAACATCCCATTGAGTGGGAGTGAAGAAGTCGAATGGTGGAGCATCCGGTAAAGCCGTGGCAACTGGACGTTGAGGCGGCGGTTGTGGAACGGTCATGATATGATGACGATGAGAATGAGGGAAGCAGTTGGACGAGGAGAGAGTTTGAGACGCTTCTGTCTCACATTCGGTTGACACAAGCCCAAGACATACAGGCACAGGCACACGAGTATATAAGTACTGACAGTACAGTAGGATCAAGACCTAGAATACGGACGGATAGTGAAGAACATTTGGCCTGTGCCACTGGGTCTAGACTAATAGGGGAAAGAACAGGGGGGGCATTAGCCTACTACTGTACTAACTGTACTTGCTTTTTGTGATAGCTCTCGAAGCAATCCATCCATATCCATCAAAGCCACCAACTATAGTATCCAACTAGACTACCTACCTACCCTTCAATTCCATCCTTATGATATAAAAGTGAGGGGAAGCTCCCCGAAAGCGGAAAGGTTTACCTTGGTCAAGCGACAATCATGAAAGAAACCCTCGGCAATTGAGACTCTATCTTGTGATAATTGAACCCTCGACAGGTTTAGTTTGCGAGAGAGAGAGAGAACCAAACACACCTGCTCAGGCTCGGGTCACAGGGATCATCGTCAAGCGAGCAGGACAAAGCATGAAAAGATTCTGAATTCCAGTCCAGGGCAAGGTAAGGTTCCACTGAGACTGAACCTGACACACCATCAAAATGTTATCTTTGACTCATTCTTTGTATGCTCAATTAGTATTTTATCATGACTGACAATCTGCATTCTAGTAATTTATATATACATACATCGCTTACTATTCTTATAAGTGCAATTATCCAATCATGTCAGCTCTCTTGCCTGTCCGGAACTGGCCCCGCCCATGCATTGAAAGTGCGCCCTCTTTACAACCATCTACTATATCACAGCGACTACTTATTCTCTGCTTGTTTTACACTTGACATTTTATCTTTCAAGAAGGCATAGCCAAAAAAAAAAA